CCTCCAACGTTTCAAATTCATTACTAAAACATTATCAAACAAATTAACACAAGAGACGTGACTTGGTGACTGTGACGATTAACAAAAACGTAGGACAATCGTCACTTTTAATGCAATCAGAGTCATCACCCACGATTGCTTTCTCACCTCATACGACTGCGGCCCACACCGAAGCGCAGGTACTTAGCAGCGAGAAAGTAATCAATCACGTTGCTGGTAATTATCGATAATCCAAAACTCATGTAAATGTCATTACAAGCAACAATAAACATCGATCAAAGTGTGAGAAACGCCCACGAACCTCTAAACGAGTTGTCACACCGGTGGCAAAACACCTCAGAGCTGGAGGGCGATACAAAGAATTACAAAAGGGTGCGCAAACTGTATAACACGCGGGGATGTGCAAATATATGCGTTATGCATTTATGTGCGCATGTTGTGTGCGTTCTTGAGTGAGAGAAGATTGCATACATTTTCAGCTGCAATACATTCAATGTCTAATTATTATTGCATAACCACAGGCGCTAAACGTCAAATTAAATGAAATAAAGCACGCATGCAAATGTGTATCTACCAACTGGTATATGAAGGACAATGTGCTTCACCGCAAATCAGACAACTGCCTACAACGGAACGTACGAGTAACGGCGCATAAGCATGCGAGTACAAACGTCACTCGTACGGTTATGTATTGCCTTTCGCGATGCATTAGCACGAAGACAGCTGAATTACACGGCCTGCAGCACCAATTTTACCTTACAATAACGTTTAATTATAAATATGTGTAGCGAATACTTATGTATGTATGTACTGATGGAATTTTTTGAAGTGCTTGTCATATATATATCTCTGCTATTCACGAGATTGCTCCGGACTATATTTCACCAAAGAAGAAACACAACAACAGACCTGAATTAATGAAGATATTACTATTAGCGTGCACTCACTTGTGCCAATTAAGCTATGCCTTCCACCAACATACAACCTGGAGCTTGCGCACATACACACATTAAACTGGTATTTAAAAAAACCGAATGACTATTCTAACGATCTTCCCGATACTCTTCGAGTTGAGAGCTTTCACAAAAGACACACTTGCAAACGCCAGCATAAATAATGAAAATTTATTGGTTAAGAAAAAATGGCACAATATACTGACACGTCTGTAGCACTCCTACTTGCTACAAAAACTATTACTTGTGAATACTTTTATCGTGGAGAAACTTTAAGATTTCAACTATCACCGCCTGTGACACATTATTACGTTCTAAGTGTGACGCTAATATCATGTTCCCAACAAAATTTTTAAGTGTTTAGATTATCTTTAATCTAGTCGCTAATCTAGACCGTCCGCATTGCAGTCTGAGATTTATAAAGCATCTGTTTTGACTAGCCGATCGAAGCTCTGGCATTTTTGGCCCAAAAACGGAAAAATATATGAAAAATAAAAAATAAAAATTTTAATCTTAAGCACATAGTTAAATTTAAAAAAAATGTTTTGAAATTAACATTTTTTCGCATTCATTCAAATCAAGAAGTAATATTTTCAATTTTTAATTTTTAGTCCCAAACATTTTGGATAAAACAAATGAATATTTAATTTTTGATCCCAACGTCGAGATTAAAAAATGAAAATCTAATTTTTACTACCCACATCGGAATTAAAAAATAAAAAATTTTGAATCAAAAAATTCGCAAACCTGGATATCAACAACTCGGTATGTAAACCTTTTTTAATGAAAGAAAATAAATACGAGTGAAATTTTAGCCATATTCCTGTCAATGGAAAATAGAATATTTCGATTATCTACACCGGCATCAAATTCTAGAAAGTGCAACTCAAAAACTTTTGCTAATATTCAAAGCTTTAAAGTTGTAATTAACATGCGGACATACGCCTAAATACTCATATGTATTAAAATCAATCTATATATACACCTCTACAACAACTAATTATTAGACAGTCATATTAAAATGTGTAGCGCTTGCAAGTCGAATTATTTAAGCAAGTAATCCCAACATAATGCCTCGTAACTTCAGTACACTCGTTCGCAATTCAGCGTGAGCAGCTAACTTAAATTACTCTGCAAACACTTTTCACTATGCCCACCACTTTGTAATAGACAACTATATTCAGTCGCTATTGCCGTTATTTACAAACGTATGTATTCTCATGGTCAAACAAAGCTGCCTTCCAGCTGTAATCCCTTCATGCCGCAGTCATTATTTTATTTCATATCATCTTTTATTTTTGTCTAATTTGTACTGTACGTTTGTCCAAAACCTTTTTCGGTTTCATTGTCTCTACAGCTTCTTCCACTCACATACATATGTAAATATGTTTTTTTGTATGTAGTTGTGTACAAATGTATGTGCATATATGAGTGCTTTTTCTAAAAATTCTATTTGCAGTTTGCGCTACAGCCTCACCGCATTGCAGTGGTCTTTCATGTATATATTCACAGTTAAATATATGCATTTAAGCATTTAAAGTCTTAAAGGCTTCATTTCCGGCCACAATATTTTTCAACTGCGCAAAGGCAGAACTTGCTGCGCTGCTAACATTTCATGCAGCATTTATGTTGGTATTCGCCGCTTACCGAATTTCCGACTTGTGAAAAATGTCCAAATGCATAACGGTTAATATAATAAAGCAAAATAATGCGACACCAGCTGTTTTTAGGGCTAGAGCAAATGTAGATATGCAAGTTACGAGCTAAGCACAGTAGAGTCACTGAAAATAATAAAGCATTTATATCCAAACTGAGCCAGATATTAGTTCAATTTCATTTTTGGATATAATCAGTACTGACATTTTTCCAGTGAAAGCATAGAAAAAATGCTAAACAAAAATTATAATACAGTAAACCACTAATCTCAAATAATAATGGTAAATACCGCTAATTAGAGATCTGTTGTAAGTCATAAGAGAAGATCGCGCGATACAATACTTTCATAGACATAACTGAAAATAGAAGAAGGCAAAAGAGTGATTTCTTCTTACTCCTACAAACCTCAGAAATAAACAACACAAAGTGAATTCTTGTTCTCCTGCTTGGTGAACCTTTTTACAGTTTATCATAGAGACCGATAGCGAATATGCCTAAAAGTATGCAATATAGTTGCTCTATAAACTATTGTATACAAGTTGTATTCCGACAATTATTCGTTTCCATTAAACAAGCTGCAGATAACAGTAAATTAATAACCCTTGCAAATGCACTGCCTCCATAATAATTTGATGACGTTCTACGGCAACAAGTCTGCTGCCCAAAGCAAGTCGGTAGTTCCGCGACTTCTAGCGCTTTTGCATTGCTATCGCTTGTTCTTTATACACACTTATAAACATATGTACATAGATGTAAGCTCACTGGGAGAATGCTGAAATTGTGTCATTTATTGTCGATGTTGAGCAATCAACATTCATTGTCTGAGTAATTGATACCTAAACAACGCTCAAGGGCAAGAGCAAATTCAAAAACAACAAGCGCAACAACCGCCATGTGAGCAGTTGCAATTGTAATAAGAATAGATATAAAGCTTACAAGCTATACAAACCTTGGCCACATGTTCGTGCAAAAACAACAACACGCTTCTGCCATAACAAGAACCAGTCCTCTATTTTCCCACCCCTTAGAATTCACACACCAAACGTAATCAGTCACCGGTTATTGCCAAGAAAATTGCAACGAGTCTCGCATTTGCCATGAGCAGCCAAGCCAACTCCGTTGAAAGATGCCAAGCAATTGAAGGCGTAAAAGCGAAAATGTCAACGAACGCAATGTCGGCGACGAGGACAATGGCAGTCAGTCAGTCGCAGCTGCAGCCATACCATTTCCTGCCAGCTTTCCTGCAACAGACGACGGCTCAGCAGCAAAAAACAATGCAAGCCAAGCCGAAAACACAAACGCACGTTGGTGAGCGAGAGAGTGAGAAAGGGAGGGTGAGAGAGAGCGAGCAACCAAGGATGACGAAGAATGCAAGGATCAACGTTTTTCAGTTTCCAGCCGGCATGTGAAATAACATTATAACTTGATGTGTGCGTGCTCCATGTAAATTATTAACACATATAAGATAAGGCATTACTAAATCACAAGTACACACAGGAATATGTGAAATTAGTAAGAGACAGAAATTAAATAAGAGCGATAAAATTAAATATTATGCTATATAATATATGTATTTACTAAATATAGTAGTATTACAAATAGAGAAGAAGAATGCGGTCTGTTAGATGCATGTGTAATTCGCCTGAGTAAATGAGAATGTTTTGGTTTGTGCCGCATGGCGTAGCTTTAGTTGTGATTCGTAGTGGGTGGTTGCATATAAAACAACTGTAGCAACGCTAACGATGAATTGTAAGTGTAAATGCAACAACAACAACTTCACTATTTTGAATGAAAAGCTCTACTACCACGTAGTGCTCGTGCACATCTGAATATGTATAACGGTGGGGAGGGGCAGTGGGAGGTGCGGGAAGGCAACGAGAGAGGGTTGCTTTTTCACAGCTACGTTTTCCTACAACGCAAGTTGCGTTGAACACTCTACAAACGTTGCTTTCTCTATTTACTATTTGCTGAGCGCCGTTCTATGGAAAATTTCTCTCCACTGTCGCCAACGCCATTATTGACACCCACAGCAAACGTCGCACGCTAACGGCATTTTGCATTCAACGATTAAAAAGGCAGACTACAAATTGCCTTAAGGAACAAAAAAAATTCCTTCGGAGCCTGTCTATGGAAGATAAAAGCATTGAGTGTTGCAGGAATGATTGAAGTAACTTTAATTACAATCGACTAATATAGAAATGGTAATAAAAAAAGCGCTAAATTTTATTGTTACCTATTAACTATAAGCAAAAATAAATTTTTGTTTAGCATATCGAAACACGTACTACCAAATTTGCTGGGCCATATCTAACACATAAGTATATAATACAAAAAAATAAATAATAAATATATGCATATGTAGGTTGTATACCTATAACAATATCTACTTACATTTCTTTCAACAAATGTTGGTTGTTTACTTTCCAAACACCACGTTGTTACTTAGAAGCCTCCACAAAAAAAGATTGCATAAATATTTTCTATTAAAAACTTTTTCCTATAACCAAGCTTTTTGCATTATGTTTTGCTCCATCTATATTTCTGTTGTTGTTTTTTTTTTTTATTTTTTTTTTTTTTGTATTCTATTATTATTATTATATTGCCATAAATAATCACAGCATGCACGCCATGAACAGCGCGTGCGCAATTTTTCGTTACTGCGCCACTTTCAGCACGCTTCCTTCAACACAGCAAGGTAGAGCCAACACCGACGCCGACACAACACAAACGCGAGCTTTTAAGTGCCTTTCGTGCGAGTGTATGCGAGAAGTGTTTACGATGTATTGGTACGCCAATTTACATACTTGTACGCGTGTACATATAGTCGGTAGCGCGTCGCACACAATAAATTATATACCAACAACAAATATGGCTGCACTCTTTGATTTTCCACAGCTCGTGCTTTTCCGGAAGTCTCGCGACGCCGTTTTGTTGCTTCATTAAATACGCAAATTTACATACTTCGAATACAATTTCTAGAAATCCAACAAAATTTGTGTATCAAACACTCTGTAGTATTCCACTATATTGCGCCTACTAATTGGAGCGATAAGCGACAACACCTACGCCTCCACGCCGCGCGCATACACAAACCAACACAAACTTACACATTGCAACAGTCAATACACAGACACAATTATAACACTAAACACTTAACACTCAATATAAAGCGCCGCGTCAAATTTAAGATATGATTTACACATCCTTTAACCGCGAATGTTCGCTCGCAACTGAGTTTATGCAGTAACGCTGCATCGAATTTTAAATCTCCAATAGACAGCAATGCCGTTTGGAAAGCTTGAATAGAGCACAGCGTGCTGGCTCGCACACTCTTTATGTGCCTTTTGTAGATGCTCTCTTTTATCCTGTGCTTATATTGCAGAGTAACCAATGAAGCTTAAATAGTGATATATTTAAATTTGGCATAATTATTTAATTAGAAATATACTTTAGTTTTACTTTAACATATTTTTACATATAACATTTACAGATCTCTTTTACTCTCAAACTTGTGTGAATATAGAATTAAAAATAATTAGCACTTAATTTATTAAAAGCATACATGCACTTTCTTAGTTTAAGTGCGTATACTCACGCGTGCTAAAAGCAACAAATCTAATCAGTCAACGTTAAGCTGATTTTCCATTTAAAGTTAATTTTCATAATTTGAGTTAAGATGTTTCTGTATTTAGTGTGGAACATAACCCCCAAATCAAACCACTCGCGACAAATATATACGAAATTTAGTTAACAATAACATGCTCTGTACAGAGTATTAATTTAGCAGAAAGCTTTCTCGTAGCTTTTAACAGCGAATGTTAATGCATATTTATTAACATTCCCTGCTTTTACATTTCTTAGCTACTTGCTCACAGCTACTTTTTATGCAACTACAAATTACAAACAAACAGCGTTATGTTTGCATACGCTATATTTATGTACATATGTCTCTTTTAATAAACGGTTTGAAAGAAATACTATATTTTTCAACCCATATATTTTTTTTTTTTCTTTGCAGCACTCAGAAAGTTTCATTTTAAATATTTGTTTACAGAAATTTAAACCGTCAAAAAAGAACTATAACAAGAAACAATAACTAAAGCTTACACTTAAGGCTTGAAGTCGCTAATTGCATTTTTATAATATAATTAGTTCGTAGATTTTTGTTGAAAAATTTGCTGATGCAATTCGCGCCAATGAACTATCATTTGAAATAAGACCTTTTCTTACATACATACATACATATGGCTGCATATTTCACGCACTCACATGGCGGTGCAAACAATTTACTCTAAGAAAGTAAAGCGGCGTTCAATTGACATTTCACCAGAGAATGTACATTTACATTCGCTGGTTTCACTACAAGCAAGCAGAGAGAGCAACAAAGGTGCAAAAGCAAGAGCGCGTTGCAGCGTAGAGTGACCTACCTTAATTAAAAACAAAATTATATTTGTAAACATTTATGTTTACAGTAGTTTTTGTTGCAAACCAAAAGCTTTCACATACTCTGAGTACAAAGTAATTGAACAATTTTTATTCGCCAACTAACCGAGCGCGCTTCCATAAACACTTCAGTTTTGGTTAGATAAGCAGTAATTTTGTAAATCTTAATTTTAATAGTGCTTACATTTTTTTTGACTCGCAAACAGGGCGGTAACTCTTGCGCTCTCTTAATTCGTCGCACGTCAGCTGTTCCAATTGCACGTGCTCTTTGCAGAGTAAAACCGCTGCGACCGGCGAAAAAGCCACCACATTTATCCATTCGATACCGATTGTGCATAATAGCTATATCTTATATTTCTTAGACAACACCTAAAGTTTCGATATTCACATGTGAACTGTCCACAAGTAGAAACGCAGCATGAGCACGCTCCATCTATTAACGTTCGCCGCGTATTTAGTGAACAGTTTATTACTTAATCACCAATAAAATATAATCGGAAGTAATTTGATTTCGCAAAAATAAAATTATAATTAGCACACATATTTTGAATAAAGTGAATTGAAAGTAAGCAACAACTCGACACAGAAATGGAGGAGTTCCTAGAAAGTTGCGGGTAAGTGAAGCAGCCGTGCTAGATTCTTAGTTGGCGGCTCCAGCGATAGGTTGAATAGAAGACGCATATATGTATGTAGGTACATGTTTGTATGGTTGTATTTGCACCTATATTCATATAAATGCCCATATTGCCTTGCCTACGTTGCAACTGGCTAGAAGAATTCAATTCGGTCGGGCATACAATGCGTTCCCAAACGGCGATTATTTAATATTTGACGGAATTCACTAAGGCAAATGTGCAGCGAACGCATATCAATGCATACATACATTTGTGCGAGAGTGTATGCGATATGCTATTTTTATTACACGCGAAACTAAATTTAGGCTTTCAGACGTATTCCCCCAACAACAACAAAATTCAATTATCATTCATATGATTGCTATGCCATGTGGGAAGTGGACCTAGAGACATACATATATACAAACTATTGAATATTTTCCGTTGACTTACTAATTCACTAGCTAGTAGTGAGGTTTAGTAAACGAAAGAGAGCGCAGCACATGCTTGGCGGCGGAGAAGAGAGTGTAAGATAAGAGCGCACTGACGTACATATATTATATGTATTGTTGGCAAATTTTAGTTTACGCAGAGTTGCCGTGTTAAATTGCATATTTGTTGTCTGTAAAACACGGTAACTCAATATATAGAATAGCACTTTGAAAAATTAAAAAAGAAAAGAAAGAAGCTAAGTATGAGTCATAGCAATTTTACGTGCTTTTTCCAAAGTATAATGCAAAGATTAAAAAATATATATATATATGTATGTAAGTACATAACCGATAAAATTGATTTTCCTTGTATTCTAATCGGCAAATAAAATAAAAGCTAATAATTTGAATATTCATAAATATAAAGGGTGATCCATTTCGAGGTTCCCTACTTTATTTTAAGAAGAAAAACACAGAAAATTCAAACTTAATGGGGAATGTTTATTATCATTCAAAAAAACATTCTTCGGCGTTTATTTTTTGAAGATTATCTCTCTCAAATGTTAGCCCCGAGTACGTCCCAAATGGTCCATCCGTTGAGTCCAATTCTCGATGACTCGTTTGAGGATTACGACTGGTAACTGGGGAATGACACGCGTGATGTTTTGCTCGAAATTCTGAATTGAAGCGGGGTTGGCTGCATAGACTTTAGACTTTACATATCCCCACAGGAAAAAGTCTAACGGTGTGATATCACACGATCTTGGCGGCCAATCCCCGAAGTGTTCTCCAAATAAATCTATTGTTTGATGCAATGTTTGGGAAGTGGCGCCGTCTTGTTGAAACGAAATGTCGACGAGATCACGAGAGTCGGTAATCATGGCGTGATAATGGTCGCTATTAACGGTTACGTTCTCACCGGCATCATTTTTGAAGAAATGTGGACCGATGATTCCACCGGTCCACAAAACACACCAAACCGTTGTTTTTTATTGATGAAATGGCAGCTCTTGAATCTCTTCAGGTTGCTCTTCGTTCCAAATGCGGCAATTAAGCTTGTTAACATACCCATTGAGCTAGAAATGGGCCTCATCGCTGAACAATGTGGCTCGAAAATGTTGAATATTCTTGTAACTTTTCAAGAGCCCATAGAGCGAAGCAATGTCGCTTGGGAAGTTCGAACGGATTCAGTTCTTACACAAGCGGTATTTTGTACGGTTTCAATTTAAGATTTCGACGTAAAATGCGCCAAGTCGTTGCATACGTCAGTCCAAGTTGCTGCAAATGGCGCCGAATCGACTCTGCACGGTCCTCGGTACAATCTCTGCTACGGCCGCTATATTTTCTACACTGCGTGCTGGACATGGTCTATTCGGTCGAATATTACTTATATGTTGACCATAAGTTAAGCGAAACGCGAAACACATTCTTTATAGTACGTGAATTTTCGTAATAAAGTTTAACGATTTTCGTGATAAAATGCGAAACAATACTGAATAAAAATAACATAAAAGCTTCACAAGACTCATACGTAATCTGTCAAAAAAAGGCTATTAAAAACAGTAGTTATACTTGGATCAACCGATATTTTAATTCTAAATAATATGTTTATAAGTTCAATTATGCTCCTTGAAGCTTCAAAGATCTTACGAAAGCTTCACTTTGCTGCTAACGCTCTCAATTTCATTGTCCGATACCTGCCGAGAATTATTAGTGTGTAGACACGACAATTTTATGCTGTAACCTTTATGGTGTTAGTTTGATAGAAAAATGCAATAGCTTGCGACGTCATAAACGAAATAATTATAATTTATGTTGAAAATTTGGTCTATGACGTTTCGTGGCGTAATCGTATCGCTATTTTTTTGATACTTCTTCTTCGCTTATCCAGCTTAGAGCTTAAGATTAGCTGCTAAATCTTTTTTCACAAAGTTTTAAGTATTGATTGCAATTTTCTATTATTCCATCAATGAGTATCATCCTTTAAACAATTCAATAAGGCTGCGATTGAATGCGTCCGAAGACAATGTTTAAGCGAAATTTTCCAAAATATCAAAAAAATCGTACACGACTCGCTGCAGCATAACACACAGCTTTTCAACCCCATTTCAAATCTTTCATTCACATTTTTGTATACATTACTTACCAGCTACCAAGTAAAAGCTTTCATGAAAAAGCTTTGGTTACGTTACTATTTTACGCGCTAAAATATCGAGCTTTCAGTAATTTACAAAAGTGGATTGCGACTTGGCAGATGTGTTATGTACCGCTTGCATGTCAAATCGTCACCGACGCTCAAGCCGCAAAGAAGCCAATTGATCAAAAGATCTCAAACTATTGGCATTCACGAATCGCAACAGATTAGTAATTGCCTGTGATAGATTTTTAGTGTGCTGAATTTAAATGCAAGACAATTGTTTTAACTACGACAGCAACGCTCAAAAAGGATACACAAGGGAATACGTGGCATTGTGTGCTGTAATAGTGGAAGTCGAAAATTAAATAGTGCGAGAGATTTTTATTAATTTTACACCAACGTAAGCAAGGTATTTGTTTATGTGAAAAATAAATAAAAACACTGTTATTTATAATTTAAGCTAAGTGTTGTTTGGAACGACCAATTAGTGCGTTGCATTCGTAGCTGCGAGCGTTGAAATAAACCTTTTAAAAATTAAATTTTAATAAGAGTAATTGTATTGCAAATGGCATATATATATATTTAAAAAAAACAATTAAATATATATGCTTTCATCATTCAGCTGCGCGCTAAAATTTCTGCTTGCAATTACATCAGCACTTCTTCGAAGGTCTTGCGCGCCACAAAGAACTGCATGCTTATCCCCCAAAAATGCAATTTTAAAGCAAAATTGGATTTATTTAATAAATTTTTACTGCAGCAAAATTCAGACGCGTATCTGCCGAAAATATGCTGCACACAGTGGGGAGCTTGCGTTTTTAACTTACCAATTGGTTAGCAGCCCGAGTAATATAAAACGCTCACGCACACGCTTAATAAATATTATTTTTTATATATTGTACAATATAGCCATAATCTATAAAAATCTTAATTGAACAATATACAAATTTAATTTCTACGAAAAGCTGAACAAAAAAGGTGTTAATAAAATAATGCAGAAATTGTATTGTTGTTTGTTTGGTAATTGTATATTTATTCCAACCGTATACTAACCGTAACTTGTGATCGTTTTTGTTTTATAATTTCGGTCGAGTGACACCTTGTAACCGTACATATAACGTACATATTCAGTTTCGACTAAAGCCTCTAATTTCTACTTTATATTGTTTAGCAGCGCGCATAGTTCAAATTTCAAACGTGCTAAATGCTTTATTTGTTTCTCTTTGTAGAAAATGGAGTATTTGAAATTTTATTCAATAAATTGATAAATATATACATACATACGTACATATGTATCGAACATTTTAAAATTTTAGTGGCACCGTGCACCCCTAAAACCCAACAGTACTCGTACATAAACGTGACTTATCTTTTTCAAAAGCGTCACAGCAACAATGTATTGTAAACACGCCATACAAAATATTTATTACTTAACGAAGTGCTTCGCCAACTAATGATCCTAAGTAAAATACAAATTTCTTATTTTCACCGCCAGAATGCCTTCGCTCAGTATATCCGGCGCCTATCATGTGCTAACACGACGCAAACCCATGGAGGATACAACCGAATCCAAACTAGCCAAGGTACTATCCGCATTTGATCTCACAGCACTCGGCATTGGCTCAACATTGGGTGTCGGCGTTTATGTGCTTGCTGGTGAAGTTTCGAAGGTCTATGCTGGACCTGCGGTCGTTATAAGTTTTCTTATCGCCGCTATCGCATCGATATTTGCCGGCCTCTGCTATGCCGAGTTTGGCGCTCGTGTGCCAAAAGCTGGTTCGGCATATATATACAGTTATGTGACAATCGGCGAATTCATGGCGTTCATTATTGGCTGGAATCTGATATTGGAGTATGCAATCGGTGAGTAATCGGTTCATTTTATTTAAAAAAAAAGTACGTAACTTCAAAACGTCGTTCGTGCTTGAGCCCTAACAACTCGTTGAATTTGCACGCACATGTAGAAAAGTCGTTGCCTAATTTGATGCCGATTCCAATTCGACTTTGGAGTACGCTTAATTGAGTGTAATTTACGTCGCGTTTTTCAATTTAATGCTGTTGTATGTATATATATATATTATGTGCGTAAATACATACATATGTATCCGTATCGAATAAAGCATCATGCTTCTGTGTATGTGCGCTCTGGAATCACCATCTCACTTCGATCTTTGATGTCTAATTTAAAATATTTACACAAACACACCAACAACTGCAAGCTCATACTCACATGCCATTGATAATTGTGGACCTCTTGGGATATTTAGTATGTACAGGTTTCTTGTCGGTTTCAGCCAATACTAACTGGATTGTGTGCGAAAGCGATGGTAGTGCTAATTTTCGCCATGAAACTTTTCTTTTCAGTGTCACTTTTAACGTAATCTCAAATTACAACAGAAATGATAACTACTTTTACTCTCTTCCTCTCTTATGTGTAATTAAAGGTGGCGCTAGTGTGGTCAAGGGATTGAGCACTTACTTGGACAAACTTTTTAATTATGCGATGCGTGATTATTTAAGCAAGAACTTCGCTATGAACATCGAGGGTCTTGGGGACTATCCGGATTTCTTTGCGCTGATCGTTACGGTGCTTTTTGCATTCGCCATTGCAGTGGGTGCCAAGGAGTCGTCTCGTTTGAATAACGTCTTCACATTCCTAAATTTGAGTGTTGTGCTCTTTGTAATAATCGCCGGGCTTTTTAAAGGTAAGGCCTTAACCAGCATTCCTACATATATTTAAAGGATTATATAATATATATATATACACATATATTAGGGTGGTGCGAAAAAAAAATTTTTTAAGTTGATAACTATTAATTGGCCAAAAAGAGAACTCTAGAACACATATCAAAAATTTTTTTGTCCAGAAAAAAATTTTAACTCGAAATTTACTTTAAAAGTGCCGCCTCAAGATGTTATAAAAAAATATTTTTTTTTCCAAAAATTTTATTTTTTTATAATCTACAAATTTTTTGCTCCTCCCTAATATACAATATATATATCTTATATACTTATATCAATACTTTTGTGTCACACAGTTTCACTCAGCAACTGGTCTATACCGAAATCGGAGGTTCCTGAAGGTTACGGTAATGGCGGTTTCAGCCCATATGGTCTTACGGGCATCATACGCGGTGCTGCGGTATGTTTCTATGGATTTATTGGGTTTGATTGTATCGCGACGGCTGGTGAAGAAGCCAAAAATCCCAAGAAATCCATTCCTTTTGCGGTGGTCACATCGCTTGCAATGATTTTCCTCGCTTACTTTGGTGTCTCCACCGTGCTCACAATGATGCTACCTTACTTCGAGCAGGACGAACAAGCGCCACTACCGCATGTCTTCAGTCGCTATGGCTGGTGGGTAGCTGAGTATTTGGTAACAATTGGTGCGCTGTGTGGTCTTTGTGCCAGTATGATGGGCGCCATGTTCCCATTGCCGCGCATTGTCTTTGCGATGGCCTCAGATGGACTGCTCTTCAAGTGCATGGGAGAGATTAGCCAGCGCTTCAAAACACCCTTCAAAGGCACCTTGATTACTGGCGTGCTCACGGGATTGCTAGCTGCCATATTCAAACTCAGTCAGCTGGTGAGCATCATGTCAATTGGCACGCTCTTAGCCTACTCGATGGTGGCGAGCTGTGTGCTCATATTACGCTATGACGGCGAAGACCGCAGAGATGGTCGTAGTATCGGGAATGGACGTTCCTTAGCCGAACGCGTTCAAACTAATTGCAATCTTTGGCGACAGTTATTCAACACCAACAATGTAACATTGGCAAATGGAAAGAGTAGTAGGCTGGTGACTTTTATGATAACATTATACTGTAAGTTATATATCCTTTAGAGTGCTGACGTTGTCATTATAATTACTTTTCTATCGTTTTTGGCTTTCAGTTTCTTGGTGCTTTGTATTCTCACACTTTCTTCAAAAGGTGGAAATCGAACCGCAAAATATAACTCCGCCTTATATTGTTCTCCTAGTCATCACTGGTCTGCCACTACCACTGATATTGTTCATAATTTCGCGCCAACCGCGCTCCAGCACACAATTGGCGTTCAAAGTTCCAATGGTACCTTGGCTGCCCGGTCTGTCAATCTTCATCAATGTCTACCTGATGGTGCGTCTGGACGTAATGACCTGGGTCCGCTTTGGCATTTGGATCGCTATCGGACTGCTGATCTACTTCAGTTATGGTATTCGTTACAGCCGTCAGCGTAAACGTGAATCTCGTCTAGTACTTCCAGAAACAACGGAGAGCAGTGAGTCCGGCCTGCCAGTACATAATGATTACACCGAGGTTCCACTCATAATCATGAATAATACAAGTTAAAAGAGCAAAGATGTGGTACCGAATATGTTAAACAAAACATATATCGGGAGTATGTATTAATTGGTTAGACATAGAAAATGGCCTTGTTGCTAAAAGGGGCTCGAAGTGTCCGAATACCGTAGTTTTATAATAGTCTAGCATTAACTTAAGTTGGTTTAATTTTCTAAGTATATCAGTAATGGCAAACTCGTGACAGTCTTAAAGGGTGGCGTGATTTAAACCAAAAACGTATTAATTACTTAATTAACGCAAATATTTTAAAGCTTCTCTGCCAGGCTGATGATACAACCTCCACGTCAAATCAACAAAGACTATCCCACCTATTACGCTCGGTCAGCGTTGCATTTGTCAAAACAAAGTTTAAGTAAACCACAAAAAAGAAATATGTACCATGGTATGCTTTAAAAGCTTTGATTTGCTGAACTTTAAGTTTGAATATTTATATGCATTTTTGCATAAACTATTAGCAATAGTTATATATTGGGTATACAGTTACTGTTATCATGGTATTTAGAAAGTAATATACCGATTTGTATTTTTCGTTGCTTAAGCGCATGAAAATTATTTATTAATGCAGACATCTAACTTAGCGTACTTAACTCTTAAATATATACCATAAGTTTTGAAAAATGCTCTTTAGCTTTTTAAAGCTACTAGATCCTACCAGCAAGCAAAGCAATTCTGATAATATGAAATAAAATAGCACTGCAAAAGGTTTAAGCAAATCTAATTTGAAGTTTTTTAACTTCCCGCTAAGAAAATGGAAAAATTTCTAAAAATCGGGAAGATATTGGTTTCACCCCATTTTGCAAAAATCGAGTTCTCAACAGATCTCGACGTTCTGAGGGTCGAGGAAGCTTCCCCGAACATTTCTACGATGATGTCCGTATGTCTGTATGTATGTGTGTGTGTGTGGATGTATGTGACCCTCTTATAACTATTAAACTGCTCAACCGATTTGAATAAACTAAACGGCATTCCAAAGGGTTTCATTGCACTTGAATTTCGTGTAAGTTTGGACCCAATCGGACCATTAGATTTCGAGAAATCTCAAAAATAGAATTTTGAAAAATCGTTTTTTCCGGGTCGAAATCGGTTGATTTACTTGCTAGATATCGAAAACGAAAAATTTCGAAGAGCTCAAAAGCAGTGAAAAAAGCGAAATTTGAACGTTAGCGTATGAAATTAGAGGGAAGTTGCAGGGATGGCCCTTGAGGCCAACCGTTTTCCACATTTTTTTTAAGTGGGTCATAAGTTAGTATAAACTAACTTATTTAGTAAAATCTGGTTCGAGAACGAATAAAACGAAGAGTAATTTCTTTTGATAAATCATAAACACAGAGTAGCGGTTGCCGGCGTGTCTTCCGCTTACTAGTTCTTCAGGGTGCCGTTGTGGTTCGTGTAAATTATCGGCTGCCGATTGTGATTCTAGCGATAAAGTAAAAATCACGAATTAGTCACTTTCTACCCAATTATTGACCGCAATTATGTTCAGCATATTTGGCTCGTTCAATTTATAATTAACACAAAAGTATTTTATTTAACAAAAGCGGAGTATTATTCACCCGAAAAATGTTCTGTCAACTCATTGATTTCTAGGTGCCGATATTAAAACAATAGAAGACATTCGAACCTTTGTTAGATAAGCGGTTGTCTACTTATCAAATTGGAACTGCAATCCACGATAGCCTCTTGGAATCGTGAAATAGTTACAAAGCAAACTTGCTGTATTTAAGTAATTAACAGTTACGGGAATCGCAACGAGTGTACAGTATCACCTGTTGATGAGATGATGAGAGTGAGAGCGAAGCAAGTGGGAATCAACAAAAATAAATAAATAATACAGCAATATTTTTTTTAATAAAAGCGAACACTTTGCACTCGGCAAATTAAAGGTTGATTGAAAGCTTTCTTCATTTGTTGGCACACATGCTCAGACTTGGAAGTTTGTCTCTATATGCTTCGTTGTTGTGTGGGTGAGCTGATTTTTTCTCTGACTGCAATTTTCAAGTGCAAGCCAACAAAATGTGATGCGGCATTTTCGTGGCGTCTGATAAGTGCTTACTTTTTCGCGCAGTCCGTAACCAGCGGCGAATACGCGTATCTTATCACTATTAACTGACAAAGAGTCAGAGCAGCAGAGAACGCAGCCGAGCAGCAAAAATCCACCTTAGGTGAACATGACAGCTTACCGTTGCTTTTAATAAAAACGATACACGTACAGCTGCAAAGCCACATACACGCGCACATGCAACAAGCGTAGGTTTCGTAATTTATATAAGATGAAGATCTAGAAAATCCTTCACTGTTAAAAACAGCCAGCCAAGATAAGTTTATTTTTTTTCGGCAAGATTTGAATATGCGCAAAGTTATAATGTAAGAGCGCCTGCTCGGAAATTGTTCTAACGTAATGTCAACAAACGAACTGGCACTTGTAAACAGAGAGCAGAGGTTGCCCTTCAGCAGCTGCTTACACAATATCACAACAAAAACAACAGCAATAAAGCAGCGCTCAGCCATCACGGGGCTGCGTGCGGTCTGCTCCACTTGATTACAGGTGCAGCCGAGCGCTGACGAAGGCTGCTGGTGTATATGGGCCAACAGGTGCTCGGCGCGCTAGCGCTCGGTGCTCAGTCAGTCGTAGCTCAGCAATCGCAGCGTTTGAAAGTATCATAAGTGACGGTATCGGGCTTGCCGGCGATACCTTCTAGACCGTAAATTCTCACGAGACGTACTCTTAGCTAAACTCAGTAATCAAAATTCATTGTCGTTGGCAGCTTCGTGCAGCGTCGACTATTCGGCCAGCTTCAACTTGGTTAGTCACTGCACTGGCGCGGATATCTTGCTGATAGTGGTGGCTTGAGTTACGGATTATTTGTATTCGTTTTTCTGGCGCTTCTCGCATTTTAGCCGCAATTAGCGTTTTTTTTTTTTGTTTTTTTTTTTTGCGTACTGGTACTGAAACTGTGCGATTATCATTAAACAGAAAATGTTAATATTTGCCACACACAAAGAAATCGTATGGAATGCTTGTGCGCGTGTGTGCGTTTCAACGAAATATGTGTGCACAGATACACAGAGAAAACTAGATCGTGAATGTGATACGAACGTCAGTTTATCCTTATCTGCGTTATCAGCTCAGTTGGAGATTGTGTCAAATTTGTATTTGTGGTTGTTGTGTTTACTGAAAGTTTTGCAGATGTGAAAATGTTTACGTAGTTCGGTTCGTCTGAGCTAAATTAGCGTACATGTGTGTGAGTGTTATTACGCTTATTATATATTTAACGGCGCTTACTTTCAACAATTATATGGCAATATTCAACATTTTCACGTTCATTTGCTCAACTGGGCAGCGCATCAATATGTATGCTGCAGAGCGAGGGGAAGCGGTGATTAGCGCGTAACATTTTAGGAACTTTGATCGTTTGCCATTAATTTAGTTACGCCGTAATGCGCTTTATTGTATTTACTAGAATGAAAGTGAGAATAATTCATGACTTATTTGTTTTTTATTTACATAGTTATATAATATATGTACATACACACGTCACACGCATATATGCGCACTTCACGGTAACTTTCTGCTACAATTATAATTTATAATGAAATTTTTGTAAGCTTTATAATGCTTATGAGCTACGCCTTCAACCAGGTCGAGCACACTTTAACTTGTTATCCCGCTACCTGTACATATGTACAAACGTGTATATATTTGCACGCGTATGTGTAACAAACAGTTAAACACACTAAAGATCCAAGACTTCTTACTGAAGTGCACTCTAAAAGATATTAAATCGGTAAAATTATAGTTTACATACAGGTTGGTTGAAAAGTTGCTCCGCGCGCAATAAAAAAATACTGTGTTTGTTACCAAATATATTTTTTTATTCAAATTAACTTTAATACACGTATACGAATGACCCTCTAATTATTTTATGCCATCCTTACAATGACTTTCCGGTAGCTCTGCAAAATACCTGTCTATGGCTGTAATAGCTTCTTCATGCGATGAAAAACGCTTTTCACGAAGTAATTGTTTCAGGTTTCTGAAGAGCTAGTAGTCGCTGGGAGCCAAAGCTGGTGCATACGTTGAATGCTCAAGCAATTCGTACTTTAATTCGTTGAGTTGAACAACCAGCTTCAGTCCACCGTAAACGTTCTTGTTTCAATTTAGGATCATGGTAGATCCAAGTCTCATTCATAGTTATAGAACGACACAAGAAATCGGTTTATTCCGTTTAAAATGCTCCAAATTATGCTGAGTTGAATTGTTAACGTGTGCGGCACTAACTTTCCAAACATGTTCATATGTAATTCTCCATGTAAAATATGAAGTACCCGTTTCACTGAGATTCTTATGGTATTAACAATTTCATGCATAGTCAAACTTGGATCATCACTAACAATATTATGAACTTGCTCAATGTCAACTTCAAATAGCTTGTAAACAAAGAATTAATTGTAAATTTGCATGTGTTCTCACGGCAGATGTACGAACTTGGTATAAAAAAATTTGGAGCTAGTAGCGCTATTTTTTGGTGAGACCAACCAACTTTTCAACCAAACTGTATGTACATATATAATATGTATATCGACAAGAATCAATGCAAGTCAAAACACAGCACAAAGATACTTCGGAAATAAATACATAACTACATATACATGATTATATCCGAACATGAAGAGTTCCAAAGCTGTGTATGTATGTGTTTACGGGCAATTATTTTTAAATATTACCCACGTACACACCATACATACATACATATATACAAACGTCACAACCGTTTAATTTCACGTCGCTTTTAAATATTACAAGCACTTGCATATACAAACATACAAATTGTTATTGCTGTTTTTTTTTGTTTTATGCAAAAGCTTGCACGCTTCAAAAATATACGCGAATGCATCTCGACGTCGGCTGACCGCTAACCACTTAACCAGCAACCATTCAGCCAGTCGATCAGTCAGTCAGTTAGTAAGTGACACCGGGCGACAAGTAAGCAAATTAAGTGAGTACAATTCACTCAGGGGAAGAACGTTCAAAATACGCCAGGCAATAACAAACATGCTGGAATAATTAAAAGTATCAAACAACAACAACAACAACAGCAGAATAACCGCTTATAAAATGCGAAAATTTATTGTGCACATGAAACGCCAGCGTATAAATACATACATATGCACATGCTTACATACCGACAGGTACGCGTTGTGTAAAACACCGCGACAAAAATAAAACGTACTGCTCACAATAGCAACAAAAACATTATTAAAAACCGCGCTTTGACGAAATGTTAATTGACCACGTTCACATTCGCGCTCGCATTCGAAATCGAATTCAAATTTATCTTACATATATGGCAAACGCTTGCACTATAAACAACATAACTAAAAAACATTTAATTTCGAAAACAATGTGGCGCTTATATTAAAAAGCGCATATCAAACGGAAGTTGTGCTATGCTTTTACAATTAACTTGTGTTTTAAAAGCTATTGAATTTATTAAAGAAAAGTCGGGAATTTGTATTCGAGATTTATAAGCTGATTAAGTTTAGAGAATTCGATTGGAAAAATATTCAAAATTTATGTAATAACGTGTTACGCTCTTCTACGAAAAAAAGCGCTATACTTATTTGAATACATATTTACAGTTGTGTGTGAATTCGCTGGCTTATACGTCAAATGGTGTTGCGTGTCGCCTCACCTTGCTCTCGGCGTTCAAACTACTGTGCCGATGAACAAAACACAATTTTGATGGAAAATTTAATAGTCAACAACACTAATTACAATATATTGCTAAAATTAATTATTTTTAGAATATTATTTATTGTGCGTAGAAATGAATCGGGACTTGTTTAAAACGTGCATGGCGCCGAGCGATAGCTGACATCGGGTGAATCGAATTACACGGATTTGCGGAAGTATGTATTTCTGAAATTCAATTAAGTACTATACTTAGTAATGTAGCAACAAAAAGTTGTCATACCAAAGTACGCGGTGTTAAATAATTAGTAATACGTGCCTTTGAGGCATACAACTGAAGCAAATGTATATTAGTGCGCCGCAACACATTCCGACGATTATTTCGAATTCCGCAGCTCGGTGGGTCTATAGATCGGAAAGAACTCAAAATTATGCTTTCGATTTCGTATGTCAATTGATAAAGCCTATAATTACTGATGCATACAAATGTTGATACCAATTACTAGTTGCAGTACAGGCGGCTTGACTCAAATCGTTTATGAGCGCATTAAAGTAGCGTGATTGCCATGACTGACATGTACATATGTATATATAGGGATTATTTGCAAGTCTGTTAGCATAGTAAACATCTACATATGTCAAAGTAACTTAGTTGCAAGTTTTTCATATTTATTTTAATATTTCTATTAAATAAAAAAGTTAATAGGAAAATGTCATTCATTTTTATAAAGAGGATTATACTTAACGCAACGAACCTCTTTCAAGATGTATGTATGTACATATGTATGTATATGTATGAGAACAAGAAAAAATGTTAACTCCAGTTGCACCGAAGCTATAATACGCTTCACAAATACAAAGGCCTCTACAAGCACTTGATTCCGATCGTTCAGTTTGTATGGCAATTATATGATATAGTGTTCTGATCTGAACAATTTCTTTTTAGATTGCATTATTATTATTTTGCCTTAAACAATAACTCGTGCTTAATTTCGTTAATATACCTCGTCAAACTACAGATTTGTCCATGCAAGCACTTTATTACGATCGTTCAGTTAATATGGAAACAATATGCTATAGTTATCCGATGTAAATAAATTCTTTGGAGATTACATTGTTGCCTTAGAAAATAACTCATGCAAAATTTCGTGAGGATATTACGTCAAATAAATGATTTTTCCATACAAGCACTTGATTCCTATTGTTCAGTTTGTATGGCCGCTATATGCTATAGTGATCCGATATCGGCCGTTCCGACAAATGAACAGCTTCTTAGTGAGATAAGGACAGGTGCAAAATTTCAGTTCGATAGCTTTAAAACTGAGGGACTAGTTTGTATATATACAGACAGACGGACAGACAGAGGGAAATGGCTAAATCAACTCAGCTCAGCACGCAGATCATTTATGAATATATTCTATAGGGTCTCCGACGTTTCCTTCTGGGTGTTACAAACTTCGTGGCAAACTTAATATACCCTATTCAGGGTATAATAATGCTGTTATTAAGCAAACACACAAGTCGAATGTGTAAATTATGTGAAAAATGTGGCAGGCATGACAATATGCTGTTTCAAAACAAAAACCATAACAACAAATAAAAATCTACACGACATGGTTACCAACATATATACCTGAGTTTACATATATATGTTTGTATGTGCGTATATATTTGCAAAATTGTACTGACTTCCTGAAAACACGAAGCAGCAGCACTAACGCGCCCAGCCGTTCACTACTCGGAGATTGCTGAGCGATTAACAAACAATTACATTTTTGTTGTTTACTTTTACAACAGTCTATTATGTTGCTGATGTTGTTGTTTACAATAAATGCAGTTTTTCGCCAGCTTCTTGCCCTGCCTGCCTTGTGTACCTGCCACACGCCGACGCCATTGCTACTCCAAACTATGTAAACGTACACTAGTCCGCAACTAATGCATTTGTAATCAGTATTGGAACCTGCGCAGCAATACAAACTGGCCTACGATTGACACTTGACGATCGAAAGTGCATGCCAAATGAACAGATGCTCTATGAAGTTTTCAATTTTTTGCTGCTGCTCGGCTGCGCTCATGTTATCAGCATCTGTGAGATACTCGTACATAAAGTACATACAAGCGATATGTGCAGGAAGACACATATGACAATAATGCCTTATGGCACGCCGCTCATTAATTACTCGCTCTGTACGGCCGCATTCGCTGCGTCTTATCTGGAGTTCCATTGTTTAAGTTGTTTACTTGTTTGTTTGTTTATTTTACTTTTTTTTTTTCCACATGCAAACGGTTGTCTGGCTACCTACTTTCGCGTATTTGCATGCATGTATGTTGATATGCGTGAGTGTGTGCGTGTGTACTGTTTCTTAGCCTTTCCGCACTTTATTATACTTTTGCATTAGCTACTGTTGTTGTTGTTGTTATTGCTTTTGTTCGATTTGTTGTTATTAGCTTTGTTCACTCCATTTGATTGTAGCTTCGCCACAGCGCACAGGGCGGGCGGACCGTATGCGGTCTGGCAGTGAGGCTGAGTTCGTAATTGATGCGTAACCCGATACTTGGCCTGTGCTCGGCACTTGTAAACACGTCGTGTGACAGTTGAGACGGGAACACCGACGGCAGCGGTAGTAAGTGCAAAAGCAGCAACAGGTTGCAAATTACATTTGAGCTGAGGGCGAAAGTGTCAGTGCTGAGAGGCTACCAGAAACGCATTAATTTTTTTTTCTTTTTTTTGGTATACGAATTAATTGTAATTTCATAAATTTCTTTGTTGAAAGTGTGCGTACTGAGAAGCAAAACGGAGAATCTCTGTAGCTGTGACTATCCATCTTATATAATAAAGTTAAATAAGATAATGTGATAAGAGACATTAAATGAAAACTTGTTGAGCGCGAACGCCAGTGTTTCACCAACTAAATATACAAAGTGCATAAATAATATCTTCCGGCAAATGAACACAACAAAAATAAATTATTCAAAAATACACCTAACTCAGTCATCAGAATTCAAGAACTGTAAAAAAAGTTAGAAAAACGGTAAGTATATAAAAAATTAGCAGTTTCAAATTTATTTACATACATCGCGCTTGCTAAAAAACGTTCAGAACATAAGCAACCGTTAGCATGCTTTATAACAAACGCCAATAAATTATAAATAGCGAAAATAAAATTTAATTTAATTTAAAAAAACCACAAATTTTAGGTTGCTTGAGTTCGTATTATATTGTATTATAATAAATATTAGTCACAATGACACAAACAGTCAAGTGGAAATCATACCCAGTTTTCTACATATTATTTCACTAGAATCCATATACATACATAATTTTCACACGCCAAATGAATTATAGCTTATAAAAGTTTCAAGAAAATTAGTCAAGTAATACGCTGAACACATAGACGACGACAAGCGACAGGCAGCATCTATCAAATATTAAAGCACACAAGTGCTTATGTACACAGTTATTTAAACCACAGCACGACTGCACAGCAACAGGCTTGCAGTTGTGGCTGTCGCCAAATTAAAACCATTTCTAATATTGCCGACGACAATGTGTTGTTATGTGAAGCGTAAAATTATCAAAAGCGCTAACAAATCTAATTTTATAAGCATAAAATAGCTCTGATATATCAATTGTTATTACAAATATCGAATAAATCGACTTATTTACTTACTTTTCCAAAAAAAATTCACTTAGAACACACTATTGAAATTTTATTGTACTGAAAGGTTTTAGTACAGCAACAACGAAATTATGTACAGCGGCTGTTTGATATGTCGCTGCCGTCTACAATATGTTCAAGCAGCTGGCTTCAAGACGACATTTGCAGACAAGCGAAATTTCGCTGTCGTGCATTCATTTTTGTGTACAAAGCAGAAAGCTCTCTAATGAAAGATAAGCTAGCTACACAAGATTATATTAGCGTAATCACAACCCTTCAACCACGAACTTCGCCACATATAATTATTATTTCTAAAATTTTACATATTTTTTCGTTAGTAAAATCATATTCAAGTAGGCATTATAATTGTGTGCGTATTATCTGTTTACAAAGTAGACCCTCGTGCATTTAATAACAACGTCTTATCTTATTCCACTACGTAATTTGTAATCGCATTTATAAAACTAGCCAACTAATAAGTATGTGCTAATTGTACATACAACTAGCTTATAAAAGCATTTAGGCTAAAAGGCATTTGACGAAATGCGCGTTGAATATTTATTTAATTTCATTAAATACAATTTGACGTTTGGAGAACTTTTTTATTAATAAAGGCCTAAAGAATTGATAAAGATCAAGCAATAAAAAATAGTAAGCCAATTTTTTATAATTCTAATCATTTAGCTTTCACTGCGTTCATTTGTATAGAGCAATATTTCCAAAACATCTCGGAAAGTCGGCATTCTAGTGCTGTACCTGTAAGAAATTACAAGTATTATGTACAATTTATCACAGTTTGAGCTGTGTTTTTGCATTTGTCGAACAGCAAAGCTTCTACCGCACACTCATTGTGTTGCATTGTACACGAGCAATGCACAAGCGTGTTAAACGGCTTGGCAGTTGCGGTTATTGACTTGTTGCTTCGCTGCCTGAATATTTTCGCATGAACTGGCTAATGCCGCACGCGTAAACTCTACTCAGGAAGCGTAGGCACCCACTTGTATGTATGTATGTATGGAAGTATGTATGTTTGTACATATATGCACGTGCGTACCCACCGCCAAGCACGCAAGCGTTGCGTCATATAATCTATTTGTAACAATTTGTTATAATTAGCAACTGAATCAATGCTTTTACACACCTCTCTTTGGTGTTTCGCTTATTTACGCAAATTTAAGAATTTAAGATAATCAATTAGCTTTGATATGGTTTTCTGTTCTCCGACCTCCACTAATTTGCGCTCTCAGAAGCTTCCACCATGTTCATGCATTGCTTATGTGTGATGCGTTTGTGTTTGGTATAACACGGCGTATGAGTGCCAATAAAAATTATTCAGCGTTTATACTTGTTTGACGCTTCAGAACGCTCTAGCCGCAGCGCTTTCGTTTATCAAAAAGTAAATAATTTGATAAGGCTATGCTTTTTTCGATATCTAGTTGCCAGAGCGCATATAATTAGCGCATATTTATTTTTATATTTTGCCTGTTGTGCACAAATCTCGGCTTAAACAAATATTATTTACTGCTCTTGACGTTCTATTAGCCAATAAAAGCTTTTTATTATTTGCGATAACAGCTTGTGTATTTATTTATTATTATATTAATTTTACTATTTAATTTAATTTTAAACTTGTGAATTTTAGTATTACTTCTGGTGGAATAACACAGCTGCATGTCTGTACATATGTATTAAATTAGTGTTACATATACATACTTACACATAAAGTGCATTTATATATTATTTGAGGTGTTTCCCCACTCGATTAGCTGCAGCTCGTTGAATTAGAAAACAGCTATGAGTCATAACTATTGAGAGTAAACACTCACTCATCACAGCTCCCTAATCATCAATCAATTTGAAGCTAAATACTTGTACGCGTATATTAATGTTTTTATTATGAAAATCGCTTTAATTTAATAACTAAACCTTTCACTTCTCGTGCGTTTAACACTCCGTATAATTCAGGTGATTGATCATCAACGCCGACACTCATTTTGCTAACATACTTATTTAAAAGTTAATAAGTTACTTTAAGTGGCTTAATAAAAAAAACAATAACATAAGTCATAACCGAACTCGCAGTCATCCATCTAAATAAATATGCATTATCAGCAATTTTAAATGATTTTCTAAATTCATTCGGCTTCCCGGTAGATAAAAAAAAATATTTCGAAGATAAAAAGAGATATAAAAAAAATATAATGAATTAAGGTAAACAATTTTAAGGTGACTGTTGAGCATATACGTATATATATGTACATATGAGATATCATAATATAAGTAGCAACCGACTATGAATACTCCACTACTAAGCTTTTATGCTGCCAGCCTTCGAAGCGTACCCAGCAGTTATGCCTGAACCATTTACAATTATAAAATCTTCACTTTATGACTGATAAGAATAAAATGTGTTCTAAAGTAGCACGCCAAGTGAAGCCCTGTTCGCTGACCTACATACAATAAAATGGGATAACCACAATCAGAGCTTCTATTAATAAAGTATAATGTTCAATAATGAATATAAGAATGCATTAACGACTTCGATTTGCAAATACGTTGGACTTTGCGCGGCAGATATGCAAATCCGTTCAGGAATGTTTTCAATAAAAAAAATACTTGTAAAGTGCACTTACACACATATACGTTGAATATGTGAATATCGACAAAAACCGAAACGCTTTATTTGGCAAACAATGCAAGTAATCAAAACGATTACAAATTATTTTTTTATGATTTATTATGCGCTTGCAAGTAACTTCGCAAAAAATCAATCAATAACACTGTTAAACACTGTATATGTCACACGAACTTTGCGATAAGTTTGGTTTATGTTGTTGTATACTTATTAACAATATAGGAGTATAATCAATCACGCCCAGTTTTTTGTGACAGCTACATATTCCTTTCTCATTTCATATATGTGACTTTTTTAAATAACTATATTTATATCACTGTATAACTATTCTAATCGACTTACTTACATCATTTTAGGTAATTTTAATATTTTTACTATCGATTTTTTTATCAGTTATTTATTAATAAAAAAATTAAAAAAAAAAATTTTAAATTTAAAAAACTGGCATCTAATGAAAGTGGGGTCTCAATTACCCATTATTTCACCCTTCTAGTCATCTAAAATGAAAAAAAATATTATAAATCTGCCATGATGTCGCAATTGTATAAACTAGCGATAAGTAAAAAAAAAATTTGCTTGACTAAATGGCGACTGTTTGAAAAAAAAAGATTTTTTTACCATTTTTTTAATTTCCTTTTTTAAAAATAGTAAAGACTTGAATTTGAAGTTCATACTCGAGAGAGGTCTATAACGAAGATTCTCTGAAAATTTCAAGTAAATCGGTTCAGTAGAACTCGAGAAATCTTGGATATCATATTGAAAAAGTCTGGTCCGAGAAAAACGCATTGAAAGTTTCGAGAAAAGTCTTTTGTTCGATTAGACCCAGCCGAACCAGTTTGCAGGCCGGGTTAGTAAACTGTCTATATCTTCGAAAATTATTTTAAAAAATCTATTTTTTTGAAATTCTACACTAGAATACCCCCTTAAAGAGAAAATATTTGTAGGTGCATAAAAACGGCATCTGATACAGGATAAGAGCTTTGAAGTAAAACTGAATGATCAGGAAAAGCTCGCATTGTGAACGTTGTCCAAAATTTTGTAGGAAACCATAAATTGGAAAATTACAAAGACTTATGCTGGAAACAGTCACCGGCGGAAACTCGTAGAGCGAATTAGCTGATACGACCGTTCTTATGAGAGCGCTATGTAAATGAACACTCACCGCAGCTTCCACCGTCCGCTTTTACCGACCGTACGGTGGGATATCCGCGAAAATTGGATTTTTTTCCGTAGAAACGAGTCAGCTGGTTGCTCTCTTGCAACGCAGGGTTGCCAGAGTTTCGATATTTTGTAGTAATTAAATACTAAACTTGAATATATTTGAAATATTCTTAAAGTAACTCAAAATCACAGTCGAATATATTTATTATAAGGCGAGAGATGTCATCAGGACATTTCCTTAAAGAAGAAGCGCTATCAAGGGGAATGTAGCGCTGTAATGCTAGTAGATAATTGTTGAATATTTAACAAAGGCCTTCCAAAATCCAAATATTCACGAAAATCATAAGTATTTTTTTTATATTAAGCAATAATTTCTCTAAGTGTATATGCTTTGATGTCACAAAAAAAACCTAACGTGTGAAATTATTTTCATTCACATATTATTGTTTACTGGTCCTAGTACATTCAAAATTCGATATGAGTTTTCATGTGATAAAAATTAAATTTTTGTTAAGTAGTGTAATTTCAAACAAGCTTACTGAATTTGCGTTTATGTAAGTGTCGATGATTCAATTATTTTTTATGCCTGGCGGTGCTAATACATTTACGGCAAGAAAGTCATATAAAAATCGAATAATTTTCTACACTTCGTGGCATCCAAAATATGGATAAGAATTCTAATTGCTTTCTTATACTGACATAATCTTTCACCGTTCGATACTTTTTACATTGTTTCTTTGGTGGGCGACTGACAAAAATCACTTTTCAGCACTAATACTTAATCGATTATGTAAATACTTCCGAAACAAGTGTCATAAATTGTGCATTTTCTCCAAAAATTTAAATACTTTCAACTTCAATTCATTATGTTTATGGCGATAACTCATAACACTTTAATTGTCTGTAATAATTATAAAATAAATAGCGACGTAAGACACGTTTTCTCAATTGTAATTATCTGATTTCATTAAAGTTATATACAGGTTGGTTGAAAAGTGTCTGCTCTCGCCAAGAAATAGCACTACTCCACATTTTTTTCCCCTCATATTTTTACATCTGCCATGAGAACACATGCAAAGTTACACGTCATTCTGTCAATTAATTCTTTGTTTACAAGCCATTTGAAGTTGATGTGTGGAATTTCAATATGGAAAAAATTGAATATCGTGATTATTCAGTGATTAGATTCTTTATTTTGAAAGGTTTAAAAGGAATAGAAATTTATGAACAATTGTGTTAGAAGTGTATAAAGAGTGCTTACCTTACAAAACCGCAACCGAAAAATCATTTTTCATCACGACAATGCTCCTGTTCACAAAGAGTTTTTAACAATGACAAAATTCAATGAATTAAAGTACGACTTGCTTGAGCATTCACCGTATTCACCATATTTGACTCCCAGCGACTACTAACTCTTCAGAAACCTGAAACAATTCGTTTTTCGTCGAATAAAAAAGCTATTACAGCCGTAGACGGGTATTTTGCAGAGCCTACGAAAAGTCATTATAAGGATGGCATAAAATTATTGGAGGATCATTGTCATAAGTGTATTGAAGTTAAGGAAGATTATATTGAATAAAAAAATATATTTCGTAACAAAAACAGAATTTTTGCATTTCGAGCGCAGAAAATTTATAACCAACCTGTACAATTTAGCTCTTAAACACCTCTTAAAATCGCTATCCTATATCTCTGGAGTGTGCAAGTTACAGCAACTCTAACGCTGAGTCCGTCAATTGTATATAATGATAGGTGTGCATTTAAAATTTACTGTTATTCGTTATTCGTATCAAAAGCCAATGCTGCTAGACTACGTCTACCAATACACACACAATAATCTAATTAACTGCACGACTACTGATAGAAAAACAATGATCTAGTTGAGTGTTCTCACCTACAACACATATGTATTTCACAATTACTGAAAAATTAGTCTTTAATTAATAACATATTATATTAATTCTTTATAGGTTTCTCAGAATTAGCTTGAGTCATAAGCACTTTTACACCACTTCGGATCGCATTCGTCAACGTCTCGTAGGGACAGTTTCGCTAAAATCGGTGTTGCATCTGTACGAAAATGGCACGGCAAACAACTTATTGGAAAGTGTTAACGCGCCGGAAAATATTACCTAACGAGGGAGCGGAGAGTGATACGAAGCTGAATCGTGTACTCGGCTTATTCGATCTGACCGCTTTAGGCGTTGGTTCGACTTTGGGCGCAGGCGTTTATGTGTTAGCCGGTCAAATAGCACGCGATCAAGCGGGTCCCTCTGTGGTGCTATCCTTTGCAATCGCAGCGCTGGCATCTTTACTAGCAGGTGATATGAACGTTATGCATGTGTATTGAAACAATTGTTTTTGAAATTATATATTTTGACATTGTACAGGCATTTGTTATGCGGAGTTTGGTGCGCGTGTACCCAAAGCTGGTTCGGCTTATGTCTATAGCTATGTTTGTATCGGCGAGTTCGCTGCCTTTGTCATCGGTTGGAATTTGATGTTGGAGTATATTATTGGCACCGCCAGTGTTTGCCGTGGCATCAGTCTCTATTTGGATACGCTAATAAACGATACGCTCAAGAACACCTTTGCCGAGATAGCGCCAATCAATGTTAGTTTCCTCGCAAGCTACTTCGATTTCTTTGCAGTCGGGCTGGTTATTGTATTTGGTGGTACGTAAAATTAAAGACTTTTCAATTTAAGATTCTCTTTCACGCACGCTTTTTCAGTTGCATTGGCCTTTGGCGTGGAGACTTCAGCTTTGGCTAATAATTTCTGTACGAGCCTCAATATTTTCATACTATTGTTTGTCATAATTTTTGGAGCTATCAAAGGTGAACTACTATTTATAAGATTGGGAGATGAATTCGCTTTACATTACTTTGTACTTTTTAGCAAACTTCGCCAACTGGTCTATTGATCCGCAAGCCATCAACGCCACCATCACAACGAGCAATATTGGCTCTGGTGGTTTCTTCCCATTTGGCTTCGCAGGCACACTAAAAGGTGCCGCCACTTGCTTTTTTGGCTTTGTTGGTTTCGACTGCATCGCAACCACCGGCGAAGAGGTGCGCAATCCGCGCCGCAATATACCACGTTCCATCTTACTATCGCTGTTTATCATATTTCTTTGCTATTTCGGCGTCTCAACAGTACTCACACTCATGGTACCGTACTATGAGCAAGACCCGAATGCGCCTTTGCCATTTGCTTTCAAACAAGTCGGCTGGACCTTCGCCATGTGGATAGTGGCCATCGGTGGGCTTATCGGTTTGTTAGCCAGTTTATTTGGTGCTTTGTTTCCGTTGCCGCGGGTCATGTACTCCATGGCAGAAGATGGTTTATTATTTCGATTTTTAGGAAAAATCAGTCCGCGCTTTCGGGTACCGGTTAATGGTTCAATCTGCGCCGCTATATTCACAGGTCAGTAGTGTCAATCACAATATTTACTGTACATTTTAACGAGTTTATAATTATTTAGCTCTCATGGCGGGATTGTTCGACCTACAGCAATTAGTTAATCTACTGTCAATCGGCACTTTGCTGGCTTACAGCGTGGTGGCCATTTCAATTACCATACTTAGGTATACAATTCAATTTGTCAGCACCTTACGTTGTTTACTCACACATCTCAATTAACAGATACATGGAGTCGGCTGAGGGTTCGGATTGTGAAAGCGGTATTCAACCGTTAACCGAAAACTCCATGCTCACATCAGCGGGTACTCGAGTCACCTCCAAAGCTGTATTACAACAATTGTTCAACATCAAACGCCTGGACACACCAAACTCTCTTTCAACTCGGATCGTTGGCACTTTAATTTCAGTATTTTGTAAGAATTTTATGTTTTCATAAGTTTTCTTTTTAACACTCTTCTCTATTTAGGTCTCCTCTCATTATTCATCGGTCTAATATTCAAAGAAGCTTACGATGCTCTGCTTGAAAACCAATTATGGGTACTTGTTCTATTACCCATTTTAGTGTTATTTGCTATACTTGCACTGGTCATGATTTGCCTTCAACCACGCGAGCCGGTTATAAAAACATTCCGCGTTCCCATAGTACCGCTTTTACCAGCCATCAGCGTGTTTATTAATATCTACCTAATGTTGCAGCTGGATGTGATGACTTGGATCCGTTTCGGTATATGGATGTTGATTGGTAAGTATGAGTATTACTCTAGGTTGCATGCCTTATTTACACAGTATACTAACTTTAATTGGCATCATCCATTTTTGGAACTCTGAAAGATACACGTACCATATAAGCATGTTTCTTAGCTCAATTATTTAGAGTACTAACAATGGAACTGATTTACTATTTACTCCCTTGCTTCCTGAACCACTCCACTAAAATGATTTACAGGCATACCAATATTCATTGCTTGTTGGTGCATGTATGACATTACTGATGTCACCAAACGAAATCCCGAGCGCATCGCATTTGAGCGTGCCTTGAAAGAGAGTGCGCGCAACCTAAAACCAGTCAATGGGCATTTAAACAAAAGTATAAAATCAAATGGTGTTCTAAAGAAGTCGAAAAGTGCCAATGGGGTGGCAAACAACACCACTTTAAGCTCTCAAAACGAACACACGGTGAAAAGTCTAGACGAAATTATGAATATGAATGAAGTTAGTGATGACTTGATCGAGATGCGACATCCAAATGGTAAAGTTTTCTACATTGAAGACAATCGAAGTCACTCGTCAAAGAATTCGTTAGATAAAACAGATGGGGAGAAAGATGGTACGCGAGAGGATGAAAAGTCTGTGATAGCAATGTTGGACGATGTGTTGCAAGCAGCGGATGTCGGCACTACAATAACATCCAATATGCCTGACTATCGCAAATTTAGCGTGGATTCTGAAATGCTGCCGAGCGTGATCGAAATGAATACAATAGCAACCGTGCACACCAGTAGCAATTCATCGGACGATTTGGAAGCTGTGCCCGAGGTGGAAAGTATCAAGGGCTCCAGCTGCAGCAGCCTTAACAGTGCTACTGAGCGTTTCACCGCCACCTATGCGGCAGCAAAGCAATTAGTTGATGAAATTATTAACAGTGCTGCGCTCAAGGAAGCTTTGGAACGCCAAAAATCTCTAAACGAAGCTGTAAATCTGCAATTTTCGAACAGTCAAATTGACAGCAATGCGACAGAAGATACAAATGGGCAAAATACTTTCACATCAACTGATACACCCGAGCGTAAGCCAATGCAAATGGAAGAGATTGTGCCACGCATCCGAACGAACTCAAAATCATCGTTACTCTCCGTTGATGATGCAATTCATTCCGACCACTTTAAGAATAAGCTAAGTAAAATTTTAATGCTCCCACCTGCACAAGCAACACCGCACAAGATTTCGCAAAAGGACCAAACACTGATAGACAAACCAACAACGGAAAACTGCTCTCCGCGACCGCAACTCAAACATTCAAAAAGCGAAACAGACATACGCCAACTCGTCTTGAAAGCAATTGTGAACACGGAGTTAGCCGAATTAAATGGCGTCACTACACCGTCTGATTCAAATGTTAACGGTATACCGAAACCACCGAAATTTGATCCAATACTCTACAAAACAATCAATAACCTGCGCTCCAACAAAGAACGACCCAGCTTACAGCAACTAATGGAAATCAACGAAAAGCCATTGGCGGTTAAAACGATCGCGTCACCAACACCAGCTGACACATCACAAGAAGAGGCATTGCCATTTAAACAAAAGCTGGAAGCAGTTTTGAAACGCGGTCCATCACATCGCCTGCAACAGCGTCCAGAATCAGTGCAAATACGTCGGCCAAAGTCAGTCGAGCCAATATCACTGCGAGAAGAAACCGAGGAGCAAATAATCCTTAGGCCCAAACAAAATGGCACTACGAGAAGAAGTATGGCACGATCGGAAAATAATCTAGCCACCAAAGTTAGCGACGACGGCGCAAATATGATTACAAACGCACGAAGCTTACTTAAACACGTGCCAAATGGGACCGTCGAGTTGTATGGATAGCAGACAATGGTTGCTCGTTAATCTTTATAATGGGTATTTACATGCATATACAAGCATATTGTATATGTGTATGTATGTAGCTGTATCCACATATCTGGGAATATATGTATTAACGTATTCATATATACTGCATTTTAGTATTGTAGTTGTTAAAGATATTTATTGTTGGAATTTATTAAACAAATATTTAGTCACAAATACCTAAAGCTCAAGTAACTGGCTCAAAGCCTTAGCATAAACTCGTTGTTGTAGGCGTAGAACTCGTTAGCTTAAATACTGTTATAACATAGGTATAACCTATATTTGTATTGTAATATTGTAATTGTTGATAAGTACATGTGTATGTGTGCAGCTTGGAAAACCACACAACGTTCACAAAAAACCAAATCAGTGCTTTGGTGTTATATTTTTTTAATTTAATTTTTTTTTTTTTTGTAATTATAATTAATTGTTATTAGTTCTTGTTTTCCCCAAAAGTTGCATGTGTGTAGCTTAGTCCTTACTTAGCATAAACTAATAATTAATCAGTCGTAATGTATCTATAAATTGGCGAGTGCATGCTATTATCAAACTTAAACAACTAATTTCCGTTTCCTTTAATTAACTAAAACTATCACGTAACACAATTAATCACGAATGTTTACGAAACTTATAACCGATCTACGTTTACATTCGGGTGAAGCGAAAAAAAATTTTTTTTTCTTACCCTGAGGGTAAAATTTGTAGATTAAAAAACCAAACAAAATTTTAAGACAAAAAAAAATTTTTTTTTTCGGTTTAAACTCTTCACATTTATATAAAAATTACCGAATTTAACGGTTTTTGACTCAGATTTTATTTTGACGCTTAGGGAAAGCATGTTGTCGTTTAAGACTCCAATAATTACCACAAATTTTTTTTTTAATTTGATAACTTTTAATTGGCCAGAAAGAGCACTCTCCACAGCTTCTAGAACACTTATCAAAATTTTTTTTCGAATGAAAAATTGTAACTCGAAATTTACTTTAAAAGTAAAAGTAAATTTTTTTTTTCCGAAAATTTTCTTTTTTTGTAATCTAAAAATTTGACCCTCAGGCCCGAACCACCCTAGTGTACATGCATCTAACACAACATCACTTTCTTCACCATATCTATGCGTACCCGTATATACATATATGTTTGTACACATTCTTCTAACCCCTCCACAGGCTTGTCAATATACTTTTTCTATGGACTACCAAATAGTTTAAGACAGTTAAAGAGGCAGCGTAACGGTTGGCAAAAATTGAAATACAGTAACTCGTTCTAATCATAAGTGCAACATCAATTAACAGTATCACTGTATAGCAATACATGAGTACATGCATATATACCTACATATATATGTATATGTATATTCAGCATACATATTTATTACGTACAGCTAATCAATTTAAATATATGTATTTTTATAAAACTTTAATGTATAGTTAATTAAATTGGATGGAAGTAATTTAGTAATTAAGAAAATGTAAAATAAATGCAAAGAAGTGAGCTGCTAATCTTTATAATGTGCTTGTTAGTAAATCATAACAAATGTATGCGCAGTGCCACACACCAAAGACCACAGATAATTCCGATTATTCGAGAACAAATCTATATTTTTACCTTAAATGTTAATACAAAGCATTTTATGGAAACTATAAATAAATTTTATTAATTATACTGTTCAAAACGGTTTTTTAACTCATTGCAATTTTCGCAAGCAAACAACTATGGAATATGAGAAAATAAATATTTTTGCTTTGCATGGCCTTCAAACGCATATGTAGCTTCCTCCTGTTAAGCAGTCTCTCTCAGAACATTCGTACGCGGTGTATTACAACGTAAAAATTGCGTATTAGTCTCGCTTATGATTGATTACAGCGCAAGCATTCACTAAAGGACACGGAAACACAGCACCTTGTGGAAAGCTGAATAATTTCAGTGCTTATCTATCACTTGGTATTAGGGCAAAAGCTGAAGCAAAAAATGTTATGTACACTAGGGTGGACCGAAAAAAAATTTTTTTTTGTGCTTAGGCTGAGGGTAAAATTTATAGATTATGAAAAAAGAAAATTTTTGGAAAAAAAAGCTTTTAACATCTCACTTTTAAAGTAAATTTCGAGTCAAAATTTTTCTTTCGTAAAATATTTTGATAAGTGTTTTAGAAGCTGTGGAGAGTGCTCTTTCTGGCCAATTAAAAGTTATCAACTTGAAAAAAAATGTTTGTGGTCATTATTGAAGTTTAACAAAAAAGTCTTAAACGACAACATGCTTTCCTTAAGCGTTAAAATAAATTTTGAGTCAAAAACCGTCAAATTCGGCAAATGTTAAGAGTTTAAACCAAAAAAAAATTTTTTTTTGCGAAAAAAAAGTTTAACTCGAAATTTACTTTACCTCTAGATGTTATTTGTTGATGTTTTTGCGAAAAAAAAGTTTAACTCGAAATTTACTTTACCTCTAGATGTTAAAAAATTTTATATTTATTTTCCAAAAATTTCCTTTTTTATTATCTACAAATTTTACCCTCAGACTAAGCAAAAACAACTTTTTTTTCGCTCCACCCTAGTGTACACTACTCGACAAGCAATCTCAAGTATGCGAGTGTTTCTCTTGCAAAGTCATGAAAAAGCTTTGTGCCTGCTGGCAAGTCTTAGCAGCCGTTTGGTAACGACTTAACGCTATTCTTATTTGTTGAAGAGTAGGAGAATGTTCAGCACAGAGACAAACGATGCTTAACTAACTTATTAGAAAACAATTACGACGCTTCGAAAGTGTTTTTGTAGCATCTAATATCTATTTATTAATCAATCGTCTATATATACATGTTAAGGACTAAACTAAGTTAAATTATAAACACGATAAACAGAAGTTTATTGATCATTCCGCTAAAATTCTAAAAATAGTTTAATACAACAAATTTGAACAAAATGGCTTCTGAAGGCTTTGCATCCACATACGATTATTTTATTGCAACGCGCTCTGTGGTGGTGTGAGCGGTGTCCAGGCTCCGCTTGGCGTATTTTGGCTGGCTGTGGCAGCGACAACTTCGGCAGCAGTTGCGACCGCGGCGCCACGCTCGTGACTAGCCGCAACTACACTAGCGTCTAGCGTTTCCAATTTCACGGCGACGGAGGACGAATGTTCCTTCAAATTGGTGCATTCCAATGTTAGTACTGAGCTTCCAGCGCCATCGCCGCCCGTCTGATGTGGTGACTTGTATATGGCGGCTTGTGAGTCTTCGAACGATTTAGGAACTTCGACGGGCTCTAGCGGATGCGTGGTATAGCTGCTGGTGCATAAGATAAATTGGTGAAAGACGGACGGGGATTTAGGGTTGTTGGTGGGTGAGTAGGAGGAGGATATCAATAAAAACTACATTCAATGAAATTAGTTTAAAATCGCGCTAAAAGCAGTTTTCTTTTTTATTTTGAATTTTTCAATTGTAAGTACTATTCGCGGTAATTACAAGTAATAATTAAAGTTCTTTTGTTGAGAACACATAAGCCTCACCAAATGTACGAATTTGGCGAACTTTGCGGTACTTTGCAAAGGGTAAAATTCAAAATATTTAGAGTTCAAATGAGATTTTGTCTCACATAAACTTACCCCAAGTCCGAGACTAAAGGTATATACTCCGGCTGGTAGCCATAAGCCGCATTCTGATACAATCCATACTCAGCGCCACCGCCATTATGCCACGAGCCGCCGGCATAACTTAACGCCGTTGGTGCATTCAGCACATTCGTGTACAACTGATGGGGTGGCGATGTGGGCGTGGGATGATAGACCTGATGTGTTGGCGGCGCGGCGTATGACTGTGTGGGTGCGGCGCTTTGATACATATCCGCTGCATGTGCCGCTACCGCCGCCGATTGTGCAACATTGTACTGATGAGAAGGATGCGATGTCAGATGGTGAATAGTATAACCAGGGGAAGGACTCGTGTAGTTTGGTGAAGCACCGTTAGTGGGAGATGGTGAATTATGTGCAGCTGTAGCAAAGCAAACAAATCATCATCTGTCAGATAATTACTTTTTTCAGAAGCTTTTTTATGTTACTACTTACACATCGAACGGGCAATACTGCCGCTGCCGTTGCTACTGTTTTGAGTGACATTTACCGGCACCGCTGTTGGTGGTACAGCTGGCACCGCCGCCGGTGTGCCCCAATAGCCACCGTTGCTTTGCCAACTGCCGGCATATGAAAACATCGAAGAGCTCGGCTCCACCGGCATAAAACTGGATTGCGAATAGGAACTGGTAAATCCTGAAAAAGTGCCGACCGCGCTCGCGGAACTAGTCAAACCAGCATTACTGGCGCCAGCACTCATATTGTTAGTGTGTGTGGACTGCATGCTGGTGGGTGTGTGCGGTGCCGATGGCGGCTGCTGCGGCGGCGAAGCACTACCAGCGCTGCCATTAATTACGCCCGCACCTACAGGACCTGGCGAGCTTGTGCCAGGTGTGCTCGAGGCGAGACGCGGTCGAGCGTACGGTGAGGCGCGAGCACTATGTGTAGCCATACCGCGAGTGTTAAGCGCGCGCCCATAACGATCACAACTCATACCCAATGGAGTGTTCGACACGGCCAAGCTGGGTGGCGGTGGAGGTGGTGCCTGTGCAACGCTTGTATAATGTGTTGGCGGCGGTATTAGCCAGCCGTATGGTGCCTCATGTGAATACAATGTATCCGGACGCTCCTTTGTGCAAGAGTGTGTGTTTTTGTTAGAAAATTAACGATTTACGATTTAGCGAAGTACTTACCTTGGCATCCAAAAAAGCTTTTGCAAACGGATTGTATTTGATTTTCAAAGATGTAACCTCTTCATTTTGATATGCGGTAACAGCAATGAATTGTGTCTCTGGGAATGCATATGTGACCACGTGACGCTGCTCTGAGCCCACGCGCACCAAATGCACACGTGGCTCATATTTGTGCAACGAATTTAGCATAATCTGACCATTGCCATTGGTTTTGTTCGTTAACTTCACCTTGGCAAACGAAATCGGTTCTTTCATCCAGTGCGCACCGAAGTTCGGCGACTCGGGATGCACATAGATGGGGTTTGCGGGTGGAACCTCTGCCTTGCCGCCGGGTACCTGAAGAAAATCCGCATGACACTGCGTTAATTATAATTTGAACTTAGCATATGTCTTTGTAAACTGGACTCACCCACTCGCCGTTGACATACTTCCAGCGATGTGTGTCCACCTGCACGAACTCCAGCAAAACTGTATACATTGCAGCTGGATCCAAGCCAGAAGTGCTAATCTTGACCACCGGAAACATGCGTCTAAAAAAGTGAGTATATTTTTGAAAATACGACATCAGTTAATTTCATACCGCCCTCCCTCCACTGCTTTGCAAACACAAATTTTCCAGCTAGCTCATTTGCAGTTCAGCCCTGCTCGTTTTATTTAATAATTAAACTAGATTTATTTTTAAAAGCTCTATTTGTAAAAGTATGAGGAAAAATATCACACCTCGTGCAAACGTTAACTATTAATTAGGAGCATCGTAAAACTTATTTTTCATATCCAAACAAATAAATAGAAAAACCTATTCAAACTATATTGAAACTATATTATAGAACTCATTGCCAATTAACGCGTAACAATAGCAGAAAGCACGCTATCTGTATACTCTTAGACTACAATAACAGCGTTAAACACTCACTACATGAACACATCAGCTCTACTGCGTGTCATGTTGACCAAGCTAAATCAACTTACCTGCCATTCTTTGTAACGATCATTTCGTTGGTGAGATTCTGAAAGCGCAACCACAATTCGCGGTCATCGAGACTGACATGCAGATTTCTCTCCATGCCCGGGCTGCGGTTCGCCGCCAGCGATCCGCCGAGTTGGTTCATGCTGCCGCTCATGCCGCCGGTGTTGCCAACATTGACCCCATTGCTGCCACTACTGTTGGCCGCCATGTTGTGGTGTGCGTGATGCGGCGAGTGAGCCCCCGAATGGCCGCCGCCGTTAGTGTTGTTGGTACCATTGTGAAGTGCGCCGCCAACACTGTTGTTGTCGGCATTAACGCCCGTCATATTATTGATGTTGTTATTGCTATTACTATGATTGCTAGCACCATTCATGCCGGCGGGATCGGCAGCAGACAAAATATGTGAGGTGGTCATCGTGTCTGAAAAAATTGTATGCATTTATGTTTACTAGTTGTTATATATTTATTGATTTTGACTTTGGCTTTGTGCAACAATTATATACATTTCTGAAAGCTAACCTTTGGAATACGTTTAAACATAATGGATTCGCACAAAAGTAGACATTTTAAAAGTAATTCTATCAGCTGACAAGCAATAGCTCTGTTACTCAGATTGCAGAGTTCTGCAAGCAGTGCAACGTTTCAGCGTTTAGCTCATAACTTTTTCTAGAAAACTAAATACTAAATCAAAAACTTTTTTTTCTTCCTTAATGAGCGCTAGCTATGGAGAAGACAAGCAATTGCACCTGCAGAGCAAAATAATCAAACTATTTTTACGCTCTCTAAAATGACCGAACTGCTCAATAATTCAGTGTTTGTGCCGAAACTCAACAATGTCGTAATTACTCGCACTCAAAGTGTTTTGAAGTGTTTTGAAGTGTTTTGAATGGCCATCGAACAAACAAATCCTTTTGTTAGCAACAGAAATACAAATTTTATTAGTTCATAAAATAAATTTATCACAATTAAACACGAGCATGAACTTAATGAACGAGTGAGTAGAACTGAGGGCGGCAACGCCAACACGCATACAAGTACACTACCTCAGGTTCGATCAAATTGAAATCGAAAATCGAAAAATAGAAGAGCGTTGTCAACGAATCAATTGTTGATAAAAGTTTTCAATTTACCTTTACTGAAGCTACAACTGTTTAATGCCAACATTTCTATCGATTACAACGACTCAAAACGTTGCGTGCATTCCAAAGCGGATGACTTCATTACTCAACTTTTCATTTACTAACACACACCATGAGACCATGAAGTAAGCAGTAAGCGCACACTATATGTTGCATATAACATTTTGAAGGTATATGGCGTATGGGTGCACTTACATGGAGCCGAAAACGTTTGTCGGCTTTTGAGTTTTATTGCATGCACCGGCCCTGCAAGCTCTGGGAACCGCAGCAGCAGTTGAACTTCGAATGCCGGCGGCTGCTGCGTTAACAAAGAACAGCACGCACGCAGTTGTAGTTGCGGCGCGTCGAATAACCACTAAGATGGCACGTTATAAAAGGAGCACTTATGTGCACAAAAAAAAAAAAAAAAAAAAACAAAAGACACTTCCCACAACACAATCAATCAGACACTTATAAGCATTTATGCCGGCCATTTATGATGGCTATGTTGCTGTTGTATCGCTGCTGTCATTTCATTAATGTAATTTCTCTTTTTATTTCAACTCCGCCTGCCGCAACCGCTACATTACTACTTTTACTGCGCGACCAAAGCCGCAGCCGTTTGCTGTTTGCTAGTGCTTGGGTGAGGTTGCTAGCTAGCCGTGCGGCTGCTCTGCATACCGAAGTGATGTCTAAATCTTTTTCTGCATTCTTTCCAACTGCACAGCTTGTGGGCATCTTGCCGCAGACAACCGTTGACGAACTGCCGTAAATGTCATAAATTAACAAAATGTATTAATAGTTTTGTTTATTTTTATGACCGTCGAAATTGGTGCTTTGCCGACATTTTATTGTTGCTTCTGTTATTGTTTTTGCCGTTGTTGGTATTGTTATTGTTGCCGCTGTACACTGCGTAGCGCTGCTTGATTTTATCACGCCATGAATTTGTAGCTATGTATGTATTAGGCAACGCTTCCTCTTTGGACCAAAATTTTTATTGGATTTTATGACGCGTTTTTGTTGTTATTTATCTATTTTATATATATTTTTTGTATTTCGATTGATACTGATTGAATTGTTTTTGACGTTTTTTTTTGTGTTATGGCATATCGTATGATGACGTATGCTCAGCGTGCAAAGGTACTTTGTAGAAATCATGCTTACTTAGTTTATCTATTCTGGAAACAGACAGACATGTGATAGTAAGCACTACAGCTTCTAATACATATCTACACATTAACTCGTCTGTGTAGTGCATGGCAACCGTGCAAGGCACTGCCGCAAATCGTGCATTTCAATTTAATACCGTAACTAGTTTCAACTTGAGCAGCCGAGTTTGTGTCAGTTGCGCTTGGTGCAAACCAAATTCAATCAGCAATAAAAACACGCTTGATTAGTGTAAAGAATGAACAAACAAAAGACTTAAGCGACGAACTTGTCACGCTTGTGACGGCGCATAATGTTACTGCACATAAATGCAGTGGCTTTCTGTTAATGCAGACATTTGCAACTTTTTGTCAATTGAGCATATGAAGCAGCGCAATAATGTGAGCGTGATCAAATGTTTTTAAACTGCACTCCAAAAGCAAGCAAAGAAAATAAAATTTTAAATTTAGTGCTGATAAATGATAGATGTTGCTTTCTTACTGTCACTGCTTACTGATATCAAGTATGGTTTAGAAGTTCCTTTAAGGTTGCTTTCAAGTAACATGTTGATTGTATATAGTTCCAACTTTTTAGTAAGCCAACTTGCTTTACTCGCTTTACTCGCTTTTTTGTTGAAGCTAATGCATTACTTTACACATTATAAGCACAAACGAATTGTCTATTTACAAAGACTAGACTTATACAAATGTATATTCACGCATAGCCGAGCCTGGCAACAAGGCAAATGTAAATGTTTACTAACACCGTTGGAAATAGGCACAAAAGAAAAAGAAGAGTAGAGTAAATATAAAATATAAAGTGTATGAAAACAAACAACAATGGTGTGCCATATGACCGCCATATTGGTGTGGCATCTACCTTCTTCCATAAGCAAATAGAAATGTGTATGTGTGTGTATGCGCGCATCATGATCTCCAGTTACTTGTATTATTTACTTAATGAAACTTTTAACATTTTCTTACTCCGTTTTGCATATATCACATGCTGCTACGCCGCCTCGCCTCTTCGCCGTAATGGCAGGTACATACATAAGTATGTGCGCTATTCGAAATTCATTTGAACAATTTAAAATTTTAATACAATATTTACACTAAAATCAAGCCAATACAAAAGCCACAAACAAACTTATTTACTATATATATGTATACATATGTATATGACAAACACATATCTACATATATACATATGTTATAGGAATGTATGCGAGTACACACTATTCGTGGCGTACAAAATGGTTGAAAGCCGCTCGACTTGCTCATATTATTTGCACACTTGGCTGAAAGGCAGTCAAAAGTATACAAAACAGGCTAATTTGAAGCGATATTCCATGAATACAAATGGCGACTCTTGCACTCATTTGAGCATATGTTTTTTCGTTATTTCTTTTTTAATTATTTTCAGAAGCCGAATTGCATGCATGTGTGTACGGATTATAGATTGACTCAAAGTTGTTGTTATCCTAAATAACACGTTAATTTAGCGCATGTTTCACGCGGCATCAGCCAAATACTGTAGCCAACTGAAATATCGCAGATGTCCCAATCTAAGTCCGCTCCACGTATGTATGTAACCAAAAACAATAAATAATTTTATTAAATTGCATTTCGTGCAGCACATGCACCTAAAATTAATTTCTCTTAATTAATTCTTGAATTCGATTAACACCTTTAAATAATTCAAACGCACCGATATTCTCACGATTACTTGCCAAATATCATTTGCTTCAGATTCAAAGTTTAAATACAAATTATTTTAGAAATATTTGAAACTTTTTAAACTTAACTATTTTTATGCTCTAGCAACATGTTGCTACAGAGTATAATAGTATTATTCATCTAACGGTTGTTTGTATGACCCAAAACTAAGCGAGATAAATATGGACTTATATATATAAACATATACATATATGTACCAATATAAATGATCAGAATGACGCGACGAGTTTAAATCCGGATGTCTGTCTGTACGTCCGTCTTTCTGTGTAAGCTGTAGCTTTAGTAAAAAATGAGATATCGTGATGAAACTGTGGTACACGTGTTCCCAGGCAAAAGAGTAAGGACGAGTACGTATATGGACGACAGCCACGCCCACAAAACTCAATTAAACGAAAAGACCATAACTAAGAACTAAATTAAGATATAAAACTGTAATTTGGCACAGAAGATCAAAAACTTTTGAAAAACTGGGCGTGGCCCCGTCCTTTAAGAGGTTTATTAACCAATATATCCTAAACCACTTAAGTTACAACAACCAAAAACGCTCAAGATAAATCCCTTAAGCACTTCTACCGACACTGTAAAAATGGTTGAAATCGGGTGATCACCCCGCCCACTCCACATATAACGGTTCTGTTAAAAACTACTAAAAGAGCGATAAACCAATAATAAACACGCCAGAGACATAAAATTTTACCACCGAAATGGTATAAAAGGATTTTATAGGAGCCGTGGTCAAAATTGAACAATGGGCGTGACACCGCCCACATTTCGTTGAAAATTCATATATGTGAACCTACTCGACCGATATCTACCAAATTGTGTATGTAATATTATATAATTTTATCTTCTTATTTTATTTATTTCTATGTTTCAGTGCGAAATCTGATAACAACCACGCCTACTTCCCCATATAACGCAATTTGAAATATATTATTAAAATTTCATCTGATGCTTTCACCTTCCAGTATGCAATTCAAGCACCAATGAATGTATCGCCATAAAACTTACCACAGATAGTGGCTTTGAATTGCTCCAGCTTATTACCAAAATTTGTCTAAATCGGATTGGCTATTCAAGCATCTGCAGGCTGATATGTGGACCACAGCGCTTACAACGAACATTTGATCGAAAATATCAGTCAATCTGTGAGATATATTACAGAAATTCGAAGATAATCCTTTTCGGTAAATAATATGTATATATATATGTTAAAATAGGGTTGTATCGGGTCAGTAACTCTTTTAGCCTCCATATACGTAATATAATGAATTTCGAACTATCGGCTGACTTTAAAACGAATATATCGGCAAATATGTAAGATCCTCAGCAAAATTGACTGCACGTATAATATTGGTTATGCTTTAGTTTATTGCGGAAAAATTGTAAAATTGGTCCAGAAATTACCCAAACTACCATATACTATATAAAGGGTGTTTTTTAGAGGTATAGAACTTTAAATTGCAATAAAAGAACGAGGGTTTATTCGATTGACAAGAATTTTATTTATCCGAAAGATAATATTGTGGCATATATATCAGCAATAACACGGCGAATGTTGTCTTCCAAATGGTCAAGCGTTTGTGGCTTATGCGCATAGACCAATGACTTTACATAACACCACAGAAAGTAGTCTAGCGGTGTTAAATCACAAGACCTTGGAGGCCAGTTCACAGGTCCAAAACGTGAAATTAGGCGATCACCAAACGTGTATTTCAATAAATCGATTGTGGCACGAGCTGTGTAACATGTTGCGTCGTTTTGTTGGAACCACAGCTCCTAGACATCATGGTTGTTCAATTCAGGAATGAAAAAGTTAGTAATCATGGCTCTATACGGATCACTGTAACGTTCTGACCATCATCGTTTTTGAAGAGGTACGGACCAATGGTTCCACCAGCTCATACAATAAAATGAACGTAGTGCGCGATACGTATTCCGCACAGCACCATTATTTTCGAAATAAATTTGCACTATTTGCAAGCGTTGTTCGGGCGTGAGTCTATTCATAATGAATTGCCAAACCAAAATGAGAATAAATTACTTGACAGCTGTGAAATCGGTCGCAATCTTGAGCAATAATACCAACTTAAAGTTCTATACCTCGAAAAAATCACCCGTTATATTGATTTTCGTTGATCTAACAAACCTTATGCAAATCAACGCATTTCCCTGGCTTTGCTCCTTCTTTTTGTTTTTGTATTTTTTCTTTGGTTTTGAACTAAATTCGAAATCATGGATATATCGGCAAACGCTTAAACTTTTAATAATTATTCATAATAAGCAAATTTGCGTATGTCATTTGTTGACTTTTATCGTTGTTATGATTATCAGCTTATCAGCCGGCTTTGTTATTTCACGTGCTGCGACACCATGTCCATATTGACATTGTTATTTCCGTTGGTATGTGAATTAAATGAAATTGTCAAATTTCACACTTTCATACGCGATTATCCACCGGCACTACCCCAACTGCTGTCAACTTCCGCTGCAAAGCTGCTAATCACAGTCGCTGTCACACGCTTCAAATTCCAATTAGCTTCAATGGTACGAAAAAACGCCTCCCCAGAATTCAGCACGCAACAAGTTTGCCCAACAGAAGCGATGGCGCCCACACATTGTGTCTTTGTAGAAACATCACACACACACATACACGAATACACAAAGGCGCTTTAGTGTATAATGCGTGTGTATGTGTGTGTGCATGTTTTCGGAAGGAGTTTCACACTGGCCCGCCAAAGTTGTCACCAGTAGCGATAATTTCAGTTAAGGCGCGCAATATTTGAGCTCTTTAATCGAGCACCATTCACACGAAATCGCGGTAGAGGGCGATGCGCTGCGCAACAATATCTAAACTAATTCATATGATAAACAATTCAAATAGTAATTCCTTCGGCTGATACAGCTAATTGCCGAACGCACTTTTCATAACCAATGAAAGCGTTGGACTGCTCCAAACCAGCCCCTTGCTGCCAGTTACTAAAACTTTGTACAAACTGCAATTAATTAGTATCCATTTGTCAAGTATGTACGCGCGCATTCGTGCTGTCTTTATGATCGCCAGCGTCATAGCAGCTCAGCTGCTTTCCCGCCAACAGTGATGCGCTGCGTCGCCGAGTGCTGGTCAATTCCTTCAACACGCAATTCTGCTTTTTGGCGACTCTTACATTTGTGTATTGCCATAACATGCTTGCATACATACATACATACATACATGCATAAGTATGTACGATTTTTTTTTTACCAGCTTTATTTAATAGGATAATTTTCACATTGGTCGTAATTGCTCTGCTGGCTGTATATAGCAGAATTGGCCTTTCTTCCTCGGCTTCTCGCACTTTTTATTAACGTGTTATAATTTTTTCGACGACGTTTACTGTTGTTGGCTTTTGTACGGTTATTGTGTTTGCCATTGTATACAATTGATTAGTGTCAGCTTATTAAAATACCATTTTTTGTCATTTAACGTGCGAGTATTTACTTTTGTCTGTGACAAGCGGGCAAACTTTTATAACTTTACTAATTTGCGTGTGAAAATCTCAAACTAGAAACATTGTGTCACCTATATTATAACGCTACGCTGTAAGAAGGTAAATACTTTATATATAAAAAAAAAAATATTTTTTATACAATATTTTTTATTATATATACAATATTTTTTTTATTATATTATATATAATTTTGCGATCTGCGAAAAGAAAAATAAACAGTTTTAAACAGCTTTTAAATAGCTTTTGTATGAAACGCCGATAGAAGACTTAGTGCATCTAAAAGTGTCTAATGGCAAGGCAATACAAAGAGTTACATAGAGAAACATAAAGCACTTGTTAAAGGGTTTTTATAAAGGGATGTAGAAATGTTGCTGCTGTTAGCACGCTAGTCCTTATGTTCAGACTCGTGCTACTTATTGTAGCTGTTAACTTCAAGTGTTAGTCAGAGCGAAGATGTAAGATTATCTTGCGAACTTTGCTTTTTATGCAATATTTTGTCTCATTATGCACTAAACGTATCTTTATATACTGCACTGCGAAGAATATGTGAATAAGCTAAAGAATCTATAACACATGCAGTATTTTATACTGACCCTATGATTTACACAAGCTTAATGAAAGTGTTAATTTGCATCAGAATTAATGATATAATTTGGAAAAAGACTTTCATGTCATGTCATTTAATTACTAACATTTCATTATTGAAATTATGTTAAAGCAGTCAAGGCTTAACAATTTTTATTTTATTCCAATATGAACCAGAATGTAGACTAACAAACCTGCTTGCTTAAACTTACTCTGTTGGAACTGTAGAATTTCTTTTTGCTTTCTTCGCTCCAAAAGAAATGACTGACGTCCCTGTTGCAGTTGTGTATCCTATTTATTGCTCAGCGCACACTATAATTTTCCACACACTTTTTTGTAAATATGAGTTAACTCGCTAACTTATTGCACTTATATTACTTTATATAACTACGTAGATCCTTATTTAATTATTAAATATTCTTAGTATTTTCGGTAGCTTGACGCTTGTTTCTATTGTTTTGAATATTTTGGTAATTTTCTATGTGTTTTTTTGTTGTGGTTTTTTTTGTGTGGCTATTTAGCTCATTTTGATCACTTTGCGGTCACCTTTGCGTACGCGATCGCATTCGCGTTATTCGCATAACTTTTTTTTCGGACTTCACACCCGTTTGCGCACTACCAAGCTAATGATCGGTGCTAATTTTTTCAGCCATCACAAACGTCCGTCTTCAGCGATATGCGTTCGTTGTCGTTAGCAGATCGGCCGGTCGAATGACCATTCGGTTGTAGTCGCCAATGTATGTATGTATTTATTTGTGTTTGTTTTTGTTTTTTTTTCATATATATAGATTTCCACAAACAATACACTTTGTTTTTCTTCTATCTTTCCTGCTTTGACATCAGCAAGCTACACTTAAATCCCACCCTTTCGCTTGTGCTGCCAACTCAGTCGCACACATTGACGTTGCCACTCACACTTGTTGCGAGCGTTCACCGGAGCCACACCTTCGTGGCACAAACAGCCATGTTCAGCAGGTCAAATCGTTTACCGACTTACCTGTTTCGAATGCTCGAACGCTGGCCAGCCTCACTTACGGTGTACGCACACAAGAGCAAAAAGCACAGCGCTCACATGTGTCTGTTGTGTAGCTACTGTTGTTTTTGTCGCAAGTCTTGTTGATTTGTCAGATTTATTAACTAGAGATCACTCGCCATTCAGTAGCTTTCATATCTTGTCATTCCGAGTTGATCATGTGGATAATACACGAAAAATTGTATTCGGTTCAACGTTAGAGAATATTTTGCATTAGTAAGCACACAAAGTACTCAAGTAAATAACCACTGACAAATAGATCTGCAGTAGCACGATAAGAGACTAATTGGTGTGGTTGTAGCAGCAACTTTACAACATGTCCAAGGTCAAATGTCAGCCCTTCTTTTCCTCTTCTTTTCTAAAAAAAAAAATTTAATGCAGAAAAATGCATAATCAATCTAAAGATTTTGCATGCGCTTCATCTCTCATTTTGATTTGATATTTCGCTTCATAGATCTTGCTATTAATAATTTAGACCAGTTTAAATGGCACTAAATAAGTGGTTTTAAATCAGCTGAACGCATTCGTTGGGGGCCAGGTAGAGAACAACGTATAATAAATAAAAATAAAAAAGGAAATACTAGAATGCTAGAATGCTAGTTTTTGTAGACAGCCTTCAGTAAGGATATATTTGAATACATTACTACACTTGTGTTGCGTGTCACCAGAAAAGCAGATCTTTAGGTTATCTTTTTTTTTTTTAATTTATCCCTATGACTTTATGAAAAGAACTCATTGGCTATCGATATTTTTAATTTCCAATTCAACATTATTTAACGATTATTTTTTACTTTTATGCTGCAGAAAATCAGATCTTTAGGTTGTCTCTTTTTTTATTTATCTCAGTGACCTTATCGATATTACTTATCGATTATTTTTTACTTTTGTGTTGCTACATTTTCAGTAGCATAGCTTGTTAAAGACCAACTTAATTCCCATGTATCTCATTCCAAGTGGTGCTCTCCACAATAATTCAGCATAATATTCAACTTTTTCACTTCGTCACATAAACATTAATATTTGTTCATAGCGAACGCTGTACGCAGAATCTGCTTTTCAGCAGTCAGCCCATTGTTGGTTTACTTATACAAGTACAAGAGTATAAACATTTTCTGTCCATTTACAAATTTGTTGATTTTTCTCATTGGCACATTATTTGGTACGTTTTACAGCGCCTTCTACAAATGTTAAATCTGCCCGCAGTCAGACATGGGGCATGAGCATATTGGTACACAAGCGTAATCACATTCAACTCTTGAGCATATTCTCCTATACTGCGAGACAGTTTTTGAATGCAGTGGTAAAAAGCGAGTTGTAATGAAATGGGTTATCACAGAACGTCAGAAATAATTTTCAATTTACTTAAAAAATCCTCTAACTGCGAAAAAAACTACACTCTAGTTTAAATTTCCTATGTAAAAATAATCTACTGTCATCATTAAAATTAAATCATTAAATAAGTTGATATTTTTTTTACTTTTTTCATAACATTATTGGATCTTTCGTTACATATCTAAATACTTGCCGCTTCTTCCCCTACTCCCTGGGTGCGCCAGTTTCTTCTTCTACAGCTGTTACTTGTATATACAAAATTCAGGCTTCCCACCCTTTGATTGTCAGTTTCCGTCACTTTTTGAGCTCAGAAATGGTTTCAGAAATTTTAGACAGACTACTGAACACGCTTGAAAATATTTCTTCCAATAATAACCGAATACTGCTCTAATTTTATTGCTATTACCTACCGAAAACATTTCTGTTATGCAAACAAATATGCAAATGTTTACCGATTAGATTAAAGTAAAGGCACATACGCTGCGCGCAGAGCAAAACGCGAGCACATTTATGTGCAACATATGTCCAAGGTCAAATGCCAGTCCTTAAAACAATTAAGCCACACAATTATACATGCTACGCCCGCAGCTACCTGCTTACCAACAATTCGTTCAATTCAGGCGTGTGTATGTGTGAATGAGTGCAGTTATATTTCAATCGAAATAGAACGTAGTCGCATAAATCACCAATTGCACACTACAACTTTGCTCATTTGTTTCTGAATATTTGTTGTTTTAAATGTTTCGCTCAATATTTTGCAGATCGTTTTTCTCAACCCTTACTCTAAACCTTGCACGCTATTGCAACCATTCAACGTCAGCGCCGTAAAGAGCAGTAAACAAAACTCAATCCTTTAGCTAACCTTTGCCTAACACAAGAGCCGCTAGTCCTTTATGACACTAAACACGTTCGGCCTCACTTAATGGCAGCTTCTTAATTAGTCTGAGGTTATTAACACATAAATATCGACAAAATGTGCAGAAACTGTAAACAATAAATTATTATATGAAAAGGAGCAAACGTGTGGAATGACCAGCGGTCGACGCTTGTGCAAACCGACCGCCATAACAATAAAACGGCGGAAAAACCACGGGCACAGCGGGCAGGGCAAACGGTAGCAATGCTGTGATGTAATACTTTCGAGGCCAGACTTGCCGATATCGTACGAGTATTGCTCGTTTATGTTCCTGTGGCCGAGTACAGAAGACTTAAAACACGAACCCGCTGGCTGCCACTAATAATGCATTTGCTTGAAATAATGGCTAATTTCTTTGGTGTCATAAGGACGCTTTGTGTTGTGCAATTTGAACGCGTACATACGCACTCGGTTACTGCGTTGTATGCGTTATTAAATTTATAGCAACAAATTTTCTAAATAATTCAAATTATTTCAAATATAAAATAGAAATAAAAATATTGTTGTTGCCTTTAAAAATGTTAAAATAGTATTGCGACTAAATTGTGTTAAAACCCTGTATGGCGATCGGTGCACCAAACACGATTTTACATACATTTTGCTGTTGCTTGCACACTGTTCAACTGTCTGTTGGAAGTAAATGTTTAGCCAATATTTACCCTCTTCATCTATTGTGTTGTTAAACGCCTGTAGGACTGTATATACATATGTATGCCAGTTTCTACGTACAAATACATACATGCGCACGATTTTAACTATCAGTGCACGGCGAAGTGTGCATGCGCTTTGATTTGTTATTTGATTTGCTCAATGTTACATACCTGTTGGCTTATTGTTCATGCTCTGCTTGTGCGCAACCGACTAAAATGCTAAAATGGCTGCGGCACAACGCGAACTCAGTGCGAAAGTAGGAAAAACTAAAAACTAAAAACCTAAAACCATTACTAATCATCGTTCAAAGCATATGGCCGCCGTCAATTTTTTTTTTCCACTGAACGCTGAACGCAACGGTTAACTTGCTTTGGATATTTGTGCGCGGCGCATTTTGTGTGTTTATGAAAATTGCCGCAGCATTACCAAATGCATAGACAGCGTTCATTTGCAATCGATAAATACGCTGAGATTTGTACATATATACATATATGCATAAGCGCGCAAATGTCAGTTTCTCAGCTTAGTAATCAGTCAAAGTAATTGATTTCCATAACCATAGCACGATAACAATTTTTGGGTGCTTCATTTCACTGGTGTTTACCATAAACATTTTGTGCGTTTATTTCATTTGAAAATAGCCGCTTAAAGCAGTTTCAGTGATGAAGAAAACTTTCACCCAAGGCCTCTGTCCTCGGAATTTTAACATTGGCATACTTGCTCTATAACTTCGAGACAACGCAGCAGAGTTTTGTATCCACACCACAAAACATATAATATATGATATATAATTTCCTTGCAAATATACAGTTATAAACTATGTTGATAAGTAGTTGATATACTATATTTATTTCATTTATGTGTGTGTATATATAATCAATTATAATAACAATCTCTTTAACCCAACAATGTACGCTAGTATTTACAATAAAAATGCTTTGTGTACATGTGTGTGCATATATGAAATGATATTTTCATGCAACTGCTCACGCATTGCAAATGTCTGTCGTCTATTGGCCAGATTATATACCAACTCGCATGCAGCTCGTTATAATCGATATTTGCCGTTGGTTGTTTTTGTAGCATTGCAATCCAGCCGTTCAATTACCAAGTTACAACAAGAAAGCAATAAAATAAATATGCTAAAAACTAACAACGGTACATAGTTTTGATATTAGGTATTTGATATGCTCAAGGTACATATTTATGTTTCGCATTTGCTGCATACACTTTAGTGTGCATATGTATTTATTCTATATGCATTTGGAAAGTATTTAAGTATATATATAATATGTGTTTTTTCCAAAACTCGGCAGCAAAAATTCAATTATTTTTAATTCAAAACTAACACTTCAGCAAGTTGTCTAGATTAGCTTTCCAATCAATGCGCTTTGTCAGGCATTTAGTTCATATTTCTGCTAGATAATATATCTTAAGCTTATCTTCGTATTCATATTGATATATTTTTCTATTAAAATAAACCTTAAATTCATTTTTGTTTATATTATATTTATATAACGCATAAGCTGTCAGGTTTTCTTAAAAAAACATAAATGTTTATGAAAATGAATTCACAATTTTATTTTTTGTTGTTGCGCCCCTCTACAGTTCAAATGTCAATTATTCTAAAACAAAATTTTAACTATTTTTTCGGCAGCAGTAACGTCAAATTTCCAAACTGCTTTAGGCCATCATTAATATTTTAAAAATTAAAATTAAAATAATTCACAATTTTATTTTTTGTTGTTGCGCCACTCTACAGTTCAAATGTCAATTATTCTAACAAAATTTTAACTATTTTTTCGGCAGCAGTAACGTCAAATTTCCAAACTGCTTTAGACCATCATTAATATTTTAACGTGTGGCCAACGTTAAACATGCTATATGTATGTTTATACATATATGTAGGATTTTTATACCATATTTGTTACATGTTAACAACATTAAGATTTCTTTGAGATTTTTGTGCAATTTTACTATAATTTAATATGCAATAAAAATCGATATAGAATTTGAGAAAGTTAAGATTTCAGATTTAATATGTCCGATTTTGTCAATCAAATAGAAAATATATACTTATTTAGTTAATTTTATTAAAATGCATGAGAAAATTGCTTTTTAGTTACATTAAATTGTTAAACTTGCCTTATTATAATTTTCTCGCATAATTTTAACCAAAAAAAAAAAATTAAGAATTTCACTCTCATGTACATACGTGCAGGTATGTATGTGTAGATTAATATATATATATATCATGCATATGCGGTTATATGCTCACTGTAGTGCGCATACATTTTTACTACACTTTTAAATTTGTTGTTTTTGTTTGTGGTTTGTATTTATTTAACAATAATGGAAGACTTTTTGCAATTCTCATAATTTAATCGCATTTAATGTTCGCTTTCTAATTACTTGCTACATGGCATTTTTCATTTCCTTACCGTTTGCTATTTGAATACACAGATAATTGTTCTTAGACATATCAATTTGAAAAAGAAATATTTTACATTTGACATAAATTACGAATAATAACCAGATATGTACAACGTTTTTCGCAAGCGGAACACTTTACTTTATGTTTCGTCAACTTTTGTAAGGCTGCATGTTAAAGAACTGAATTATCTTACACGAATCCATTAAGACAGCGACCAAATTGTATGCAAGTTTCATTTTCTGTCCAGATCCTCCTTACTCCATAGAACCATATTGGACTTTCTTGATTTTGAAGTAGCTGCATGTGAGAAATATAAAACAGTTTAAACACGTGCTCTACACCGTCTGCGCCGTTACCTACTTACCGCCAACCACCGTAGCCGGATATAGTAATTAGTACCGCTATCGCTAAGGCGGTGCCCACCGCTAGTGGTGCCGTCTCATCACGATATGATCCCGTTGCGCTGCAATGGAACGGCGGGCCCCACTTGCCGCTTTCCTTAAACATGAAGCTTTGCATGTGCAAGTCACGCAGGTAGAGGCGCGCAATGTGCCCCGACATGTCACCGGAATCTATGGGTGCATACAATACGACGCTTTGCTCCTTGTCACAAACGTAAGACTTGCCGACGGGCGTTGGAAAGTACATTGGCGTGTGTATCGGTGAGGTAAGTTTCACATCCAGATTTGGGCGATCAGGATGTTCAAAAAGCGAATTCGATGAAGAATAGGTGAGTTCGAATTGATTTATGTACCATCCTTCGCCACCAGATGACTGTTGGAAGTTGGAATTAAAAAGTAATAGCATTGAGCTTGGTTTTGAAAGGGCTAACGAATATTTGCATATATAAGACTATGGAGTATATATATAGGTACTAAGTGGTCAGGTAAAAGTTCCAAGCCAGCCAATAAACTGTGTAATAAGCTAATATAGAAAGAGCCACTCGTTGCTTTGGATTTATAAAAGAAATATTATAATGCGGGATTAGCCTTTTATATTTTGGGTTAAGCTTTATTACTTTTCAAAATACTCTCCATTAAGTTGTATACATTTTTGCATGCGTTTGAACCAATTTTCGAAGCACTTTTGCTACTCTGTTTGAGTTATCTCCAAAACATGCGTTCTGAACGCATCAACTGCCGCTTCAGATGTCGAAAAACGTTGATCTCTTAGTTTATTTTAAACGTACGTGAATAAAAAGAAGTCAAGACTACATGGTGGAGGACGCATCAAATCGATGTTTTGAGTGCTCAAAAGTGCAGTTGTTTCAGTTATTGTATGAGAGCTCGCATTATCGTGGTGAAAAGTGATCCGTCTTCGGCGGTTGTTCTTCCTAATTTCTTCAAAGACAACTGGCAAACAAATAGTTGTGTAGCACTCAGAATTTACTGTTCCACGTTGCTCTAGTAGTATCGTTGCAATATACCCAGTTTTTACCAAAACCAGGCAACGATTTGCTTGAAAGTGCTACGTGCGCGAACAACTTTTGTTGCATTCGTCTCATCTGGAAACACCCATACAGTCGACTAACTGCTACTTGTAAATCCACGATCTATCACCTGTCACGATGTCATAGACGTGTTTCGAAACACTGCTACCATTTTTTTTTTTTAATTTTTCTCGACCAATCGCCTTTTTTAAGCAATTGATAAACTGTGTGGGATCCAACGTGAACAATTTTCTTTTACAGTCGAATGCAGTGTAATATTGAAGGTATGCTGGTCCCACTAATGTAATTGATAAATTGTGTGGGAGCCAACGTGAACAATTTTCTTTTACAGTCAAATGTAGTGTAATATTGAAGGTATGCTGGTCCCACTAATGCCTATAGTTGTCTCAATCTCACGATAGTTCACATGACGATCTTGCAATATCAGTTTGCGCACAGCATCAATAGTTTCCAGAACAACAACTGATTTTGAACAACCGTTACGAAATTCGTCTTGGAGAGTTCTACGACCCCGATTTAATTCACCATGCCATCGATTAGCATTGGTTCTTGATGGAGCTTAATCGCCAAAAATTTAATTAAAAACTGATCGCTTGAAAATTTTTGCAATTTGTTCCATTTTTTAATAATAACCCAACGATTACCCTCCTCCCGCCCAACCGACGCGAGGGGCGCAATCCGCATACGTGCGGAATTAGCCGAGTCAGAAAAGGCAAGAAGTTTTTTAAGTGTTGAGATCTTAAACTGCTCAGCTACAGAAACAAAAATGTCAACAGCCAAGATTTAAAGTTACAATATAATAAATTGTTACATATTTATTTATTAAGAGAAAACAATAAAGTCTTTTTAATTTTGAAAAGTGAGTCAGATAAGTCAAATGTGCTGGAATGAGAATTAAAATCATGACATATACGGCGGAATAGCTCGTTTATTTCAAAATTTGATCTACAGGATTTTAGCAGTAATGGTCTAAACTGCCTCAAAAGGCGAACCGGGATATTAAATTTAATTTCAGACAGGAGAAAAGAACTGCAAACTGTTCCATTCAAAATTTTCACTAAGAATATTATGCCAAGCATTTCCCTACGACTATAAGTGTAAGTAGATTAATAAGTTTTAAACGACTAGTGTATGGAGGTAGACTTACCCTAGAATCCCATCGGAAATGCGCTAAGGCGAAAAGTAAAAATTGTTTTTGAACAGACTCTAACTTGTCAGAATGGATTTGGTAGCTAGGGTTCCATACAACAGAGCCATATTCAAATATAGGTCTAACCAAAGTTGTATAAAGTGTTTTAGTAATATACGGATCTCTAAATTCTTTAGACCAACGTTTAACAAAACTGAGGACAGCTTTTGCTTTCAAGACCATGGTATCAATATGAAGACTAAAATTAAGCTTAAGGTTCATATTAACTCCCAAATCAACATAGTTAAACACTTGCTCTAGAATATGGTGTTTTATTACATAAGAAGAGTGGGTCATAGGTCTACGGGAAAAGCACATCGTCTTACATTTATTGAGATTCAATGGCAAATCATTTCTATCACACCATGCAACCAAATTGTTTAAGTCTGTTTGTAACAGACACCTTTCCTAAGTTGAAGTCTATGATTTAAAAAACTTTACGTCGTCAGCGTAGAATAAACCTTTTGAGAATTCTATTACTGAAGAGATATCATTAATAAACAACAAGAACAGAATCGGGCCAAGATGACTACCTTGTGAAACACTTGAAGAAACATTAATTGTATCTGAAGGTGTATCCTCAAATATAACTCGTTGTGTTCTATTATAAAGATAGGAAGATACCCATTGAAGGAATCTTGGCTGAAAGCCCAGCAGATCAAGTTTATGTATGAGAATCGAGAGATTTAGCCGAAATGAATATTTTAAGTTATTGTAAACAACACAAATGGCACTGGTATGTCAAAACGTCTGTATAACATTAAAAGTGTCAAACTTTACGATGAAGTCGTGAGTAATCTAGCAACTTGGGTTGTCAAATGCTGAAATATAAAAAGCAAACTACGTAATAATAATAGTCTGAAACCTTTTTCGACTCTCCATTTTTCCAACGTCGTGCTTTGCAACCAGCAACAAACAATTAATAATTTATGAAATAGGAGCATGGCCGGTTTTGCCGACGGCGGGTCTACGTAACCGGAAAGGACACGGAAATTCTGATAACTCGGCAGCGTTCCTTAAAATTATTCAGGCAATGATGCCTGCCGCTAAAATAACGAATGAATTTCACAATTTCAGGTACAGATCTCTGTTGCAGAAAAGTTGGAAGTTTGACTTGAAACACTTCTTTTTTAGTTTTCAATAATGCTAAGTCGGTATAGTCAACCAATACACATATCTATAAATAAGTTCGAGACAGCATTTAAGCGAAATCATGTAGCATATACGGTGGTATTGTAAAGAATCTGCCCGGTTCTTCAACTGCGGGCATTATCAAAACCTGCTTTTATTATGTATAGCTTACGTAAAAAAGCTTCTCATAAAATCTAACAGCTTGGAGCCATCGAACGGATACATTTTGCTACTTAGCTGCAACGGCTGCAGACAATATTTTAGCAGTGTTGCATTGGTAGATTCATTAATAGCCATTGCTATATTTTCAAGGCAGCAATAAGTTATTCAATGTCGATGATGTTACCCCCTACGAATGCTTGGTATATGTCATGCAGTTGTCATTATATATTAATATAACAAACTTTGGTGATCATGGGAGGCTTTGTGATCGACGAAACCGCAATTAATGCTGGTGGAAGAATTTAAAAGTAACTGTATCAATACGCCTAAAGGAATTTGTGTGTGAGGCACAAAACTATAAAATGATCACTCCTAATTATATATATTATACTTAACATAAGTCAGCCACTGTTTTACAACTATGATATTTGAAGGTAAATCTTCACGCTGTCAACTTCTTGGCCAGTGACATTCGGGCAAATGCACATACATACAAGTATTTAGTAACTAATATGAACGATGCCACTTTTTACTTGTTCACTCACCTTTCGGAAAGTCATTGTCAGAACGAATCCTTTGAAGTCTAATCTCAATATTTCCATATTGGATTCCACACACTCGCCAGTGAGTTTTGGATCATCGGGTAGATAGAGATCTGCCTCAACATCTTCGTTCAACTTATTCCGATACTTAATACTGATGAGGCCATCCACACTAACCAAAATGCAGGTGATTCCATTTGTGGCATTGAGCCGATAAATAGATGTTGTAGCATCGTGATTCATTGAGGAGGACTACAAAAGTAAATAAAATTTATCAGCTTTATAATAAATATGTTTTATAATAATACGCGCAAGCGATAACTAGACTAAATATGCACTCGACTTAATTTCTTTAATGATTTGTTTTTTTTTTTGTAATTTTCCCAAATAAAAGGAAGCCATTAAAAATGTGTTTGCCATTCGAATTATAAACATATTTCGTTTTCTACCAATACGCGCTCATATTGTATTATTTAACTAAATATTATGTGTATTGGAACTGAAGCTGCAGTTCCACTCATTAGCGTATAAAAGCATAACTTATACAGCACACTAATTGTAGCTGTGCACCAATACAAGCTTATCGATCGTAAGCGGCTGACTTTGCCTTGTCTTAACATTGAATCAATTAAAATTTGGTGACGAAACAGCTAAATACGCCCACTGCTTTACCAATGCATACTTACCGATGCTGGCTTCGTCGTGTACTTGGTAACCCTGGGCGTTTTGGTGGTGAAGGCGCCCAGCTGCAGGCTATCACAAAGCGACACTGAAATTTAAGAAAATAATGTCTATTTATATTACAATAATGATAGTAATAGTAACATTAAAAAAAAAATGACTGCATAAATATTATGTATTCCATTTTTAATTCACTAAACTGTAATAAATTGTAATATCCTGCCTGTGGCCTCGTGCAAAACGCTTATCGATTTTCTGCTGTTGTACTGCACAGATATACTCACCTAATACAAATACTAGAAGACAGTGCACAATTTGTGTGGCGATACGTCTTTCCTTAAGCAGCATGATTTTACTGATATGTAACTTTTTAGTTTATCGATTTTTAATTTAAAACACAAAATAATATTAATTGCTATTTTCAATGTTTTTCTATTTTTTACACTGTCACTTTTCCTCCGAAGCAAACACCATCCGTGTGTTAATCTGGCTTGCGAATGAAAGTGTGTACAAACGCTTTGAAACCACTTTCGATTACTTGTCCTGTTGCCGTAGCGGTTCTCAATGTTGGCTGCCAATAGTCGACATTAGACAATGTCCTGTGCAGGAATTCGTACACTTCTATATATACATTTTTTGTTGTTAGTGTGTTCCATATGTACGCGTTCGCCCATGTAGACACTTTGCTAATTATTAAGTTGTATCTCACAGCTAGAGAAGCGCTCCCATTTTCTGCACTGTAAGGAAAGCTAGGAGAATAAAGTTAATTTCCACGCATGAGCAAGGTTTCTGCATTTATTCTCTCCGTTAAAGCACTCGCTAGTTCATTCAAAAATTATTCGAATTGATATGCAGGAATTGATAGTAATATCGTTAAAATTTATGACAAACTACTACATATACATACATACATATATTACGTACAATAAATGGAAAACAAATAAAAGTATCCACAAAGTAATATCCATCAATCGGCATCCTTGTATCAGAGCACGTATATTATTTATATTTATATGAATATTCAATAAATGTATATTATATGTATATATATATATATATGAATATACGTTCTCTGCCATCGTTAATGGCCATGAAAGCTCCGCATACAGATGGCGCTGTATTAGCTAGCCGAGCTCGGCACACAAGTATTTGCAGCGTATATGACACTGGTAAACAAAATAAACTTTTTTTTGTTTTATGAAGTTTATAAACTGTTTCTTATTAATTTTACTCTGATTCTAATTTATCCCTAGTTTCTTTCTAGCAGCACTAGTTTTAATGATACATGTACTTCTTGAAATATCGTTACGCGGCTTACTTGAATTAAATTTTAGGGCAACATATTACTACCCTTTAGAAATAGATTATAAATGTAGACATGGCGGTTCTACATTAAGATGAACTTGTTTAAGAGGAAAAACCAATTAAGGAGGCCGAAATTCGAATGTTTTTGCGATATTTTTTAACTTAGAATTCGCTTAAACTTGCAGCGTAGTTTATTCCTATTTTAAACTACAGTTTTAAGTTTTTCGATGCCATTTCCGCCGGAAGTGGTGGAGTTAGAGGCCTCTGAAGATCACAGTTTTGATCTGAAATCATTAATTTTTTTTCTTTCGTTAGTAACATATTTCCCAAAAATGTTAACCAAACTCTGGCCAAAAGAGTTGAAAATTTAGTGTTTTGGTGGTGTTTGAACAATGTGTTATGTTTTTATATCATTCTTTTTCACCTTTCTTACATAAAAAAATATATTTTACTTAATAATATCATTCCAGAGTTTATTTCATATTTTTTGGACTTGAATAAAATATATTCACACAAATTTTGAGATCAATTCGTCAATAACTTTTCGAGCTAGGATTCCAGCAAGTTGAAAAAAAGTCGTTTCGCGAAAAACGTTTTTGAAAAAAAAGTGCGCTTCGCCACTGAATCGACCGGTGTTTACCTTAGTGCTCGGAACTAATTGGAATTTCGTTTTGAAACTTGAGCAACACTTTCTTAAATAGTTCTACTAACAATTTATGCAATAAATGCTTTCCCCCCTTAAATAATCCGAATAATTTTTGTGCTGTTTGTGATGACTATATGTTCAGAGTAAGGATGGGGAATGTTTTAAACATATCAGTAAAATATTTCCAAAATTGAGCACAGAAAACATTAAACCTAGTATTTTTGACGGTCCTCAAATCAGGGAACTAATAAAGCACCAACATTTTACTGATTGTACGACAGATAAGAAGAAATCTGCATGGATTGAATTTGTTTGGGATGTGCAAAATTTCTTAGAAAATAAAAAATTTCCAAACTACATTCAACACATTGAGCAGCGCATCTTGCACTTCCAGAGACTAGGATGTAACATGAGCATCAATATGGACTCCCTCTTCAGCCATTTAGACTGCTTGCCAGGAAATTTAGGCGACTTAAGTGAAGAACACGGAGAACGCTTTCATCAGTATATTCGCACTAAGGAAGAGCGATACCAGCGTTGTTGGAATGCAAATGCATGATGGCTCATTACTAATGGGGCATTGACTGCTGTTTCGACTAAAGCAAGAAAAACACATAAAAGAAATTTTTTTTCATGTAAAATAAGAGCAATATATTTTTTAGTTCTAAAGTTTTAGTATTTTTGACTGAAAATATAATTAGGCACATAGTGCGAAAACCAGAGCTGCTAGAGAAAAACGATTTTTACAATCGGACACACAATTTTCGACTTCTGCGTAGGAATCGAAGTGCTACTCAGCCAATGCGTGTCCCATCGATGAAAACAAATGGTAATCGGCAGGTGCCAAGTCTGATGAATACGGGGGGTAGTATAGCAGCTCCCTGCTAAACACTTTGATTGTATCCTGAAACTATTTTGCTTTGTGTGCAGGTGCATTGTCGTGTAACAAAATTACTTTGCCGTGTCTGCTGGCCCATTCTGATTGTTTTTCGATCCATGCATGGTTCAAATTGATCAATTGATTCTTAAAATAAATCCATTTTTCATAGACAGTGACAATTCGATGAACTGATTTTCTTTCGTGTCTTTAAAGCAAATCTTTACAAAGGTTTTTTAAATTTTTCCAGTTGGCTTTCATTCAAATCATGTGACACCCATTTTCCACACTATTGTATCTTTCCCATAGCTTTTAAATGGCCTGAGATGGTTTGTTGTGCAACATTTAACACGACTTTTGCATTTGCTTTTGACTCAAAGTATCATCTTCATCCAATATTGCAGTTCGGCGTCTTCAAACTTTTTTGATGGTCTTCTACATTCTTCATTGCTCACATCATTCTCATTATCTGTAAACCGTTGAAACCATCTTTTGCATGTTGCTGCTGTTAGAGCATGATCACCATATGCCTCGACAAGCATGCGATGCGACTCTGCAGCACTTTTCTTCAAATGGAAACAAAAAATTAATGCTTTCCGCAAATCATCACTTTCCGGTACAAAGTTTTACATTTTCAACACAATGAAAAAATATGATGTTGTTTGTTCAATGACTTGAAGGTTATTTAATAAGTTTGACAGATGAATAAGGCTCGTTTACAACAACTGTACGCTACCAAAACTTTTGTAACTGAAAGCTTACCTTATACCGGTACAACTGGTATCTATGTAGTCGTATGTCAAATAGGAGTTTCTTGTCATATAGTCTCAACTCTCTGCCTTAACCAACCAAGAATCGAACATGCATAAGCTCTCTCTCAACTCACTCGTTTATGTAATTAAGCACTTACGTACATTATATTTTTACCAAGTAGCATACATTCACGAACTCAGAAAAACGGTAGCATTTATAGGATCTACGTGCGTGGAACCAAAAATATTTTTGTTAAATTTTTATTGACTTTTTATTTAATTTAATAGCAGAATAGCTCTTATTTACTTATTTGTATATGGTATCTACAAAGTTAAAAGGCAATCGAATATTTTGATAAATTTGCTTTTAAGCAGCACTGATATTTAATTGAATTCATTCGATCGGACATCGATCTTATGCTTACTACTGGCGCATAGGTTGTTTGAGTTAGATACATGTAATAATCGTATATAATTGCACACTACATACATACATATGCATGGATTTGACATTTATTATACGTACATTAATAATGATGATAAAATCGTATTAATTCATAAACGTTTATATATACATATTAATAGCTAGTTGTGATGCAAACGCTTAAATATGTATGCATACCGCTTAAACTTGCTTTAATATTGCTTTATTCAGTGTTACAATTGACGCTGTTGTTGTTTGTTGTTTTAAGAGCGAGTTTGGCAGAGATATCCGATTTCGGTGCCAAAGTATATAACTATAGAATAAAATTTGAGAAGTAAAGATTTAACATAAACAAAAGCTCGTAAGCATTACAGACTAATCATCTTGAACCGATGTGTGCCGTTCTGCTAGGGTTGGAAGGAAGGAAGGCAGGAGTAAAATGTGACGATGTGTGAAATGAGCTCTGTTAAGTAGGAAACTGTAATCTAATGGCTTATAAATATGTGTGCATTAATAAATAATACTAAACGGTTATGGGAAAGTAAAGCGCGTGGAAATTATAAATAAAGACATCTGTATGAGAGTAAAGGAAGTGGGAATGCTTCATATTTCTATTTGTTTAAAGTGTTTTTATTTAATAAAATATTAAATATACTCGTATACAATACAAACAATAAGTTTAAGAGACTAACTAATAAAAGCACTGACTTTTGGCATCACAATTAATGTATTGTAATTATCATAAATAAACAAAAGTAATACAAAAACATTGTGAAAACGTGTTATACGATTATGAATCCATAAATATGGTACAGTAATATAACGGTAATTTTTTTATTCGAAAATAAGCTGTTAGTATATTTTATATTATATGTTTCAAATCTATATTAAATTAAATATTTTCATTTATTATTTGAATTGATCGCATTTTTGCTTTCGTATCTTAAATTTTTCCTCCGCATATAACATATGTACTCTTCGGTAACTGTCGTTTGGTTTTCTCACTATTCATAGGTAATTCTATTATTTCTTTCTTTTAATTGGTTAAGAGAGCTACGTGCGTATAATTAGAGTGCTTTAGTTTTTTATTTGTTTTGCTGGAATTTAAATAAGTTTCTACTTTTTTGCGTGATATAATTGTTTTCTAAACAAGTTGGGGTAAATTTACTACGTTTCATACATAATCAGTTGCAGCTAAGCTGCTACATGTTAAAGTGGTAATTGCTAACTGGTTAAAAATATTGCCATTGTTGTTTGTTTAATTTCCCCCCCTCGTAGTCAAATTTCCGATTTTATTAAATTTTGTGAAATTTTGCTTTTTATTCTCTAATTGGGTTTTTTTCGAGCAGGAATAACATATTGCAGATATGGTTCATTACTCCCTGCAGTGCTTTAATTGGCTATCCGTGCTTTCTTTGTTCGAACGCAAAATTATTGACGGAAAAGCTTTAGCTCTATGCTTTTAGAAAACGGTTCGCTATTATATATCGACTCTAATCTAAATGATTGTACATGTCATCCAGCTGCGGTTTGAAATAGCTCTTCAATTGTGGCCGTTTCGCTTTGAAAGTCGGCGTTAGTAAGCCATTTTGTACCGAAAATGGATCGGGATGCAAATAAATGTCTTTCACCTATAAAAGAAATATTGTTTAAATTTTGAATCAGCCCCGCTACTGTGCCTTCCAACTCACTTGTTCAAATGATTTCAAGCCACTCTGTTTTCCCCAATTCAGCATATCGCTCATAATTAGCTCTTTCACCTGTGGATTATTACAGAGCACAGAGAGTGTGCCCTTGACACGATTCTCGTTAGCCCATTGCTTGAGTACATCCACATCAGGCACAACGACGGCAATAATGCAGCTCTAAAATAACCAATATACATATATATACACGTATTGCGGAATAAATAAATTGTATAAAAGAGGTTATGAGAGAGCAATTAATTCACCTTAAGACTCTCCCCGTAAACATACACTTGATTTACGTATTGGCTCAGCGTGTAGATATTCTCAATTTTCTCCGGAACAATATATTCACCTTGGCTAAGTTTGAAAATATGTTTGCGACGATCAATTATTCGCAGAGTACCATTCGGTAACCACATGCCAACGTCACCCGTATGATGCCAACCTTCAGAATCAACAGCCTCAGCTGTTTTCTCTGGATCTTTATAATAACTGCGAAGTGAAAGAGAAGCGTTATTACGATTAGTTAATTTTGAAATATCGAAAGCGTGATAAATTGCGCTTACCCATGGAATACATTAGACCCACGAACGCATACCTCTCCAGTATTTTGACTGGCAAAATACTCCATTTCCGGCACATCCACAAGCTGTAAATAAATTACTTTAGTATCATCCAATATAATTAGAAATCTCAATTTACTTTGACGGCATTGCAGGAGACCGGTGGACCTACATGATTCGGCACATAGTCACCCTGTACAGTTAACGAAATAGCCCCAGTACATTCGGTTTGACCGTACCCCTCCAGCACTAAGCAACCGAGTGCACAGCGCATGAACGTCAACACATTACCTGCCAGCGGCGCGGAACCTACAACCATCAGACGCAGATTGCCGCCAAAAGCTGAGTTACAACAAAAAGAAAAATTATCAAAACCAGCGATCTATGTAGAAAGTTAATAGCCACTATTGATCACTTACCTTGGTGCACTTTTTTGAAGACCAACTTGTCCCAGCATCCGTTACGACGCATAATACCGCGTGAGAGCTCTTTCTCCTTGGCCTTCAGTGCCATATTAAACAAAGTACGTTTGATTGCCGAAGAGGCAATCTCATTTTGGATTTTATCATATACCCGATTAAGTAATCGCGGCACCGCTGGCATTACGGTTGGTTTCAACATTTTCAAATCGTTAGTCAGCTCCTTAATGTCGCCCGAGTAGAAACCCACGCATCCACCCACATAATAGATGCCATTCTCACAGCAACGCTCAAACATATGCGCCAACGGCAGGAATGATATCATTACATCGCCGGCGCGAATGCGGTGTTCACCTATAAAACACCAAAAAAAAAAAAAAACAACAAATCTTTATGTAACAACACCTAATATCTGCACATGCCTAGCTTACCCATTTGCAAGATCACCGCGCATACACCGGCAACAACATTGCCGTGCGTGAGCATCACACCCTTTGGATTGCCTGTAGTGCCAGATGTGTAACAAACGGTGCACAAGTCTTCAGATACGGGGGGCACTTCCGGATGGTTGCCCTTGGCACCCAATTTCTCCACATCAATAAATGAGAATATTTGAATACCGCGGCTTCTGCCGCGTTCCAACGTCTGTTGCCGTATTGGCTTAATAGCGACTATGATCTTCAGCGTGGGCGGCGCTTTCTCCAACAACATCAAGGCCTTAGCATCATCCTCAACTACAACCAAAGACATTTCCGTTTGGCGCATGATGAATGCACACGCTTCCGGTCCGAGCGTATCGTACAACGGCACAACAACCAAAGAGAAACTGTAACAACCTTGCTCATATAAAATCCACTCGGGACGATTTTGCGAGTAAATGCCAATCAATTGTTTGGGACGTGCACCTAGAGCAATCATGCCGGCGCCGAAATTTTTGGCGCGTAGCAAAGCTTCATCGTAATTAATCCACTATGATAGACAAGCGATAAACATTTCAGTATTTACTTTAAACGTTACTTACAAGTGTACAAGAATTGTGTAATGAGTTTTGAATATTTTCAACTTGCCTGATAAGGTGATGTGAGAGTCTCACGCCAACCCAAACATGGTCCATTATTTGAGGCATAGGCACCTTCGCGAAATGTCTGATATAACGTTCGCACATTCTCGGTAATATAACTGATGAATTTGCCGTTCTTCGCTTCTTTATAGAATTTCGAAACGTGTATGTGATCAGGACCCTGAGTGGAAGAGTGGTGGCATGCATCAAGACAGTAATATGGGAAGAGAGATAAAGGGAATACTTCTATTGATTAAATAACACATGAAGCATGGATATTGTGGGTTAGAATATTAATTATATGAATATGCATGTTAGTGTCAATGTAAATTCAACGTGCGAATACATTCACCGATTTCATCAATTAATTATGTTATCTATACCTATACATGTACGAGTATATTCGTCTAAATTACGCTGACATATGTAATCGCAATGACAACTAATTGAGAACAAATGTGACAACGCGACTTTGGTTCAAACTTAATTAATGATCATCAGTTCAAATGGTCGCTGCAGTGGCAGGTGAGCCTGCAATGGGCCCTCTGTAGCAGCAACTAAACATACTATGTATTGTATAATAAACGTTGTGCATATATGTAAATAAAAGCGTGGCATATTTGGGTTACGGAGAAAGACGCTATCCGCTATAATATATATGTACAATATATTTTATTGAAATGCAGCACAGTGAATGGTTTGCATATTGCAGACTGACAGGCGGGCGAATCAAACTGATAGGGATGCCTCTTCCCTTTCTGATATTTACAGAAACAAAATTATAGCACTGTTTCATATTCATTGAAGAGATACAGACGATAAATCATTTCGGAATTATTACAATTAAGCAATTTAAAAAAAAACGCTCATTTAAGGGCTTACACGAATGAGCTTCGGTAAACAATTTACACCAGAACAAATATGATTGATGAAGACCACAACTCATATATTATATTTATGTAGATAAATATGTATGTATGTGCATTATGCGCAAATAGACATGTAGCGAAGACTACACATATTATATTTTCGGTTTTCTATTATAAACCACTGTCTGCGTAAATTGCTGTATAATAAAATAGACCAGCTGTCGCGTTGCGCCTTGCGCGCGCTGTAGAAGTTGATAAATTTTGAATATTTTGGATCAATATGCACGTATGTAATCGAAATAAGTATGTACATGGTATTTACGTAAACACTTTTGAATAAATATGTAGACATATATGTGAAGGACTGTGTGATTTTTATTTTGTTTATTTTTAACTATATAAGAGTTGATGGCTGACACAATTATAAAATTATTTGGAAGAAAATCTTACATTCACGCTATCTATTTATTTTTCACATAAAATCATAATAATCTTTAATTTAATATATTTTAATATTTAAATATATTAATGTATAATTTTATAATATATCGACATACACAAGTATATGGTATATGCGTGTGTGTCAATATGACCCCACAGTGTACTCAAGTAGACACAAACTACCGCTAGTTGTAAAGTAGTAGCCGACGCCATATATTAGTATTCGATTAGGAAATTACCAGGTTCACACAAGATACACCGTGCTTTTTGTTCCCATCTGAAACAAATCACAGCTATTCTAACTACTTCGTCTTATGTTTTGAAATACCTACATATGTATTTATTATACTAATACTTGTTGTGTACTTGTATTATTAAGTCTGACCAGTTGGCTGTTCCGCTGAAAAGTGTGTTTTTGCGTATGTGCCACAAATGATAACGTATTACGTTCATATACATATTTATGTATTTATGTCTGGCTATGACGCGAACGTCATTGTATGTATATGTATATGACCATATGTATGAATGTGAACATGGCATTTTAGTCAAATATAAATGCATGCCTTTCGATACACACTAATTTGGGTATTTACTGGGATGCAAAACTCATTGTTAACGTTTTTTCTCTTTTACCCTGCGATGAATGTCTAGTAGCGGATCGTATCTCAACTAAAAGAAATATTTTGTCGGTGTTGAAAATAAATACAGAAAAAAATATAAAATAAATGGTAATAATTAATTATTGTCATAATGAAAACAATATGCATATAACGGTGTGTATGACCGAGCTTTCTTTTCTAATTTGTATATTTTATTATATATTGTATGTGTGCATATATTGGCAATCACTGACAAAAGCGTAATAATACTGTGTAGCACCCAACCAAGGGCTAACGAAATGTTGCCGAAAGTATAACTTTGCCTGCCGTTGACATTTAAGCAGTAAATGCGAATTACAAAAAAATTAAAAATATACAAATTCACTTCAGCAGCAAGTTTCAGCTATAACATGTTTGTTTTTCTATTACTATATCAATTGTTTTCTATAACTAAAATTTGCTATTCTGTAATACTTCGAATTAGTTTTGTGTAAGTTCAAAGCAGTCTTATTTAATATAAATCAGTTTTTGTTTACCTTCAAAACGTCACTTTGACTGGACATTTCGATGGGCGGACGAATTGTTGTTATTTGGCCACAGCACGACATTTTGCAGCTGCCCACTTGCGACTTTCTCGCTCTCTTAATCAACTTTTATCAAACACTCACAAACGTCTTATAATAAATTAGTTGCTGTTGCTTTTATTTATTTACTTAATTAGGTTTATTGTTGAAAATCAATACACTCTAAACTTTTTTCAATTAACTCTGGCGCACAGCTGCACTTAAATAAAGTAGAAATTTTAATTAATTGAAAAAGGCATGCAATCTCTCTACTCGTATATTAATGTGCTTTGTTTTTATTTATCTCACGAGAATTATAGATTTCAAAGATCACATGAAAATAAACATATTAAAGGCATTAACACTTAAAATACATAATTTTATTAATCGTTTTCACTTTCGCGCCTCGCATTAAAGCCGCACGTTCTTCCCCATGAGCAATAAACGGTATGCATAAAAATTATTTACTTCTGCACATTTTTTTTTTAATTGATTATCTAAATAGAGATTTTCTTTTCATGTTTTATTAAGAGACGTTATATGACTGCAAGCATTCCTTTACAAATTGTATAAATAACAAAGAATTTAAATGCAGCAAGAGACTTTCAAATTAACAAAAGCGATTTCTACGTTTTTTACATTTTCGCCCAATTTCGTTTGTTCATTATTATTTTTACACTTTTGCAAATTTCTGTTCTATTAAAAAGTAAAATCAAATATATTTTCACACTTCGTTTATATGCACGTCGAATACGAATTTACATATACAGCGATAAGTGGGTGTCTATATTTAAAATATACAACATTTAATTGTTCTTTACACGTGTCGTCCACCATCTTTTTAGTTTGTGTCACTGGGTGAAGGAAATTATTTAACACACTACAAGATGCCATTAGTGTTGGTATATATTCACCGATTTTGTATTATTGATTGCAATTAAGTCGGAAAACTCAAAAATTGTAATTGATCACATCGCTAACGCATACACATGTACATACATCCACACATTTGGCACAACAAGGCTAAAGTCATGGCAAACATTTCCAAAGTTCCCTACCGAACAAACGGATATATATGCGAAATGTCAGCAAACTTGCGTTGGGCAGTGACGTTTGACATTATAGCGCAGCCAGTAGAGTGGGTGTGAGAGTCAACGCATTGGCAGAACACCTTGAATACGGTCAAATCACATACATACATGCATAGCACATCTAAACGCAGATTGTCGCGATCTTTATTTCTTTACCCTTAGCGCACGGTTGGCAGATAGCTTGTCTGTTTGTTGTATTTTGTTAGAACATTTGGAATTCACTGTGGCTCATTACTAAACCCGCAAGAAATAGACCATTATTACCAACAAAGAGAGAGCCCAATCATTGCGATTACTGTGATTACATTTGTCGCACATCACCAGACTTACGCACTACTACATATGTTTGTACTTGTATGTACATTTTCGGACAAAACAAGTAAGCGCGTTTAATCAAAATTGAAATTTAAGGAGGTTTTCTAGCCTAGAGTTTCAAAAATATCGATGTTTTTTCATATTTTCAAAGTTTAAACAGAGAACGTAAATGGAACATCCACTTACGTTCTCTGGTTTAACTATTTAAGAATATGTTTACGAGAGGATTTTTGAAAATTTGAATTATTTTCGGAGATATAGACATTTTAGTGACCCTGCCTCTAAACTGGTTCGGCTCATCGAACAAAATATATACGCGAAACTTTAAATGACTTTCTCACCTTTTCTCAGACCAGACTTTTTCAATACGATATCCACGATTTCTCGAGTTCTACTCGACCGATTTACTTAAAATTTTCAGATAATCTTCTTTATAGACCTCTCTCGAGTATGAACTAGCCTCATCCCTAAATTTATTTTTACTATTTTTGAAAAATACGAAAAAATAAAAAAAATGGTAAAAAAAATTATTTTTGATTCAAACAGTCGCCATTTTGTCAAAACAAAATTTTTTACTTATCGCTAGTTCATACAGTTGCGACATCATTGCAGATTGATAGTATTTTTTTCATTTCAGATAACTAGGAGGGTTGAAATCATGGATATGCTCATGTGCCAATTATTTGCATGGCCCCCCACCTCATCAGCTGCCAGTTTTTTAAATTTTTAACTTTTTTTTTTAATTTTTTCTATATTCTTGTAACATTAATAAATAACTGATAAAAAATCGATAGTAAAAATATTGATTGTCTTGTTTTACGACACTTTAAAAATTACCTAAAATGCATGTCTCTAGACTAGAAAATTGAAAATTAAAAATATTACTTTTGGATTTGAATGCAAACGAAAAAACTATTATATTCTGTAGCAACAAGTTGCGAGAGTATAAAAATATTGATTTTGAAGCAAAATCTCTTTTTAATACTATTTAATTATTTTTTTAATGCATTATTTGCAACCCTGGTTGGGGTAGAACTTTTTCTTATGGTCTTTTGTTCTTAACAGGGAATATTCTTATTTTTTTTTCGACACTGTATTTTAGTACATAGTATATTTGTAGGTGCGTTAGTGAAAATTTGAAATTTTGAATTTCTTATTAGTCATCTGAATATTTGAAATGCCAATTTTCAGCACCGTTTGCGTTCTGTCAAAAATATGCTCAAGCAAATATTGTGCAAAGCGAATTGGACAAAAGCGAGTTTTGTACACGTACACGACGCTGTTAATGTGGTGTCTTTTAAGACTTTTTTTCATTCATATATTACTAAGTATTAAGCATGTAGGCTCATTCGCTCTCATTTTTTTAATATACCATATGACCACTAAGTTGTTTTAATTAAGTTTTTGTCAGTTTCTTTTTTCTATGCATACTTATGTTTATACATAGACGCAAGCAGACATAGAAACACCATTCTGTTGGCTTTTGTTTTTTTTTTTTGCGAAATCTTTAATTCTAGATATAAATCGAAAGCATCTACACATGTGATTTCATTAAATTTTTCTTAGTGCAAAATATACGAATATGCAATATACAAATGTACAAGCCAACATACATTCATACGAATTTGTATGAAAGAAACGTAAAAGACTTGAAAGGATCTGTGTGTGTAGAATTGACTCGGTTGGCTTATTTCATGAAATTAACAATCAAAATCGTAATTGTCTCTACAATATTTTCATTGTACAAACCTTAAGTTCATTGCGTGTGTTCATTTTCAATTCATAAATTCTTAAGTATACAAGCATTTGTGTACAAGCCTTTAAAAGGGTATTCTGGTTCAGATATGAAAAAAATTTTTTTTTGGAAATTTTCAAAGTTTAGACCTTCAAAAATATCTTCCTAAAAGTATTATTTAAAAATTGAACTATTTCCGAAGCTATAGCCTCTTTAGTGTCATGGCAACTAGACCGGTTTAGCGGACGATGAAATTTTAAGCGCGTTTTTCTCGAAACTACTTTTTTTGAGGTGTTTGACATAATATCTCAGGTTCTACTTAAGCAATTTCTTTGAAATTTAATAAACTTCTTTGCTATACATCTCCATATTACGCCTGCCCCGGATTTTGAAAATTTTAATTTAAAATATTTTTTGAAAATTCGAAAAGGTCAAAAAGCAAGGAGGTAAACAAAAACATTTTTTGTTAAGTCGACGGCATTTTTTTTTCTTTGGCAAAGATCAATCCGATAGCGACATCTTTGCTAACGAAGAATTCTTTTAATTTGTTTGTTTTAGATCACTACAGATTGGAATCATGTCAACCAGAAAACACTGTTTATTTTTGCAGATTTTACTATTTTAAGTTTTTTTGTTATATTCTTCAAATGTCAATAAAAATCGTATAAAAACATGAATAGAAAAATGTTTATCGTCTGGACCAGAATACCACCTTAACAAAATCAACTAGTTAGACATAACTTTATTATTGAAATAAACTGACTAGTCAGCCGACTAACTGTTTTCTACCAACAACTGTTATTTTGTACGGAACAGATACATAACTGTCTAGTTCAAACTTTTTTCTCAGATTCCCAGTGGTTTTAATTGAGAAGGCATTAATTCAAGTAACTAAACTTTCTTACCAAACCGAAAATCTAAATATTGGTATAAGTCCGATGGTTTTGTGACTATGTTCGATTTTGGTCTGGAAATTGTCGTAATGAACTTGAGTTTAGCCTGACTTGTTATTTCACTGCAGGGTAGCTTTATAGATGTATATACATACATACACTTATAAATGCCTTAGCGATCATTCATAAATTTGTCTGAAACATATCAAATACATTTTAACATTAATTTAAAAAACTGAATAGGCCAAGAGGTTATGGTTATAATCACATATTATTAACTGCTTCATAATATATTTTAAGGGAATCACTTAACAATTGCACCAAACTTCAGCAACCAACCGTTAAGCGTTAGCAGGGATTGCTTACATTTCATTATTGATTTACAGTAAACAGAGCACGGTGCAACTAACACAAACACCTTTTTTGAGTTTAAAACCTTTTCGGGGTTTTTAAAATTATGTTACGTTTGCGTGATTAGCCAGACTATAGGTATAAGCGCCGAATCTACTGAAACGCTTATTATTTCTCGAGGACAGTTAATGGACGAAATTTGCCTTCAAGCCCACTGAGATGATGTGTTAAAAATATAGTTTTTTTATAAAAGACATGATTCGGTGCGCAGTTATTTGACGGTACCACTAAAGGGACGTATGTACGAATGTGTATGCGCTACATCAACTCATTGAGCATAGGGAAGCCACTTTAATTGCCTCAACAATTGCACTTATCTCAGCATTTATATTATTTCTATTTTCAAACCCAAATAAATTATTATATATTCAATCTCATTTGCTTATTTGTAAGTATAATTATGCTCGCATTGTTGTTCAAATATACGAGCGATTTCGTGCCACTTTTACGCACAGTATAATATTTACGTAATAGACAAAGCACGATGTCACTGTTTGCAATTAATATTCAAATCGAATAAAATTTACAAATTTTTACTTAAAGAAAATACGTATTGCCGTCGAAACTATTAACACCACCGGCTACAAATAGTTCTTTAATTTAAAAATTAACTTTATGCGCTTTACTAGCAAGAGCACGATTTTAGAAATACCGACGCAAAGTTTGACTGCAAACTAAATTTTCAAAACTGTTTTAACACAACATCTGCATTTTCGAACAATCGTCTTTTTCGATTGGGAATAGCGTCAGTTAAACGCATCAAGCAAGATACCCACATAATGCTCGGCCAACGCGTGAGAGAAAGCACAGTGGTGACCAGTAATTTCGAGCGTAGATGTCTTGCAATTTTTCGGCACGATGAGTTCTTTCGACAGACTTTCGAAATGTAGCAAATATACAAAAAAAAATTCGTTTATTATCGTCAATGTTCGTGTCGCTCTTTAGTGGTCTCACGCGATCAGCATTTTTCGAGGCACATGATACTGACAGCAATCTTGTGAGCGGGTTGAGTGGGCAGTGATGCTTGCAGGTGGTTTGCTATGTAGAAAGCTGCTATGGGGATGGTACTCTGTTAGTATACCGTTTATATTGATGCTTGGATATATGGTAGTCTACAATATTTTTGAATTTTAAAATATTAAAAAACGACAACTATCTGTACTGTCTTCTGCTATTTTGAACGTCACCAATTAAAGAATTCGTTAGTTGAAACTTAATTTAACCATTGCTTTTTAAAAAAGTTGAAGTTATCTTGAGCTCAAGTCGCTACATATGTGCGCTACATATGTACTAACACTATGGTTTCTCATTTTATTAGATTGGTACCTATGTTAAACTGCATGATCTAGGCAGCCGTGTCCATTACTAATATTATTTATATTATGTATTATAAATAGCAACGGAAATTGTGGGCTTAACTTTTTTGAAATTTGTGTTTATTGAGAATATAAATTTCGAAAAATATTTTTTTTTATTATTTTTTTTTTATTTGTATGACCATAGGTATTTCTTTGTTAATTCGTGGGAGCAGAGCTGATGAAAATCAAAATATTTTAATCGAGTGAAATCGTCAAAAAATAAATAAATTTGTTTAAATATTGCAAAGAAAAAATGCCAGTGGTTAATTTTCGTAAAAGTTTGCCAAAATGAAAAAGATCAAAGCTGAAAAATAGTTCCAATAATAGCAAATGCCAAACTTGCTTTCATTGTGCGTATATACATACATACATTAAATATGTGTTGAAATACCAATTATAGGAAAAAATAATTTATTATTTAGATTTTAATGGACTGCAGCGTCTATGTCAGGTTTGAAAACCACGTGACAAAACTCTCATTACTACATGTTTTTAAGCATTCGTTAATGTTAATACTACTTAAGTCATGCATGCGAGTATGTGTAATAGGGCTCTTAAAATTATTCGAATAACCTTAAAACCGATTATTCGAATATCCAGTTTGTAAGCGTTCGTATGAATTTTAACCGAATAATACATACTATTCGAATAGCTGTTTTGCTGCGAGTATTTGAATAAATGGAAATTGTTTGAAATCCAAGTAGCTTTCGCACTTTATTTTTGAATGTTTCACATTTTTCATTAAAAATAGAAAATGAATAAACGCTTACTATAATATTTGAATATTCGACAGCTAACGGTTAACCGGATAGTCGGAAATGTGCGGTTAACGGGTTACATGGGTTTCGTTGAGTAAAAAACGCCCTATTTTCAATACTTTTGTTTCATATAAAAATTAAATATATTTTATTTAAACTGTTTGTTATTCCAAAGACACATATTTGATAAAGATTTTGTGAAATTTTCAAATGAAAATATTTAAAACTCGGTAATTACAATGTCATTTCTGGCAGTCCCTCAAAAAAAAGGTGCTTCCGCGTTGACAGCAGAACTTCTGACAGGAGCATCAAAAGTAAAAATAAAAAATACTGGTTTGAGCTAAGGTCATTAACTTGGTATGAAACGGAGAAAAAACAGATAAAGTGAAAATTGTATTTGTGGCAGACGTTTAAAAAAAACGAAAAATTTGGTCAAAATTTCTCGACGTTTTTTAGTTTTAAATAATTGTAATTGAAAGAAGATAGTTTTAATTAAATTCAAGACCTTGTAATGAATATCTTGAAGACCAATATAAAATTTCATTAAGATCGTTTGAGTAGTTCGCGAGAAATCATGACAATTGACTTTGAAAACACAGTTTGGAAAAAAGTTCAAAGTTTTAAGTGACTATATAGCTGACCTCGAGCGCGCAACTTTTCAAAGCTGTAGCTCCAAAACTTTTACTAATATCAACTTGAGAATTTAGGACAATATTTTAGAGATGTTATAGAATTAAATAACACAATATAAATTTTTTTTTTTTGAAGCCGTGAAACGCATGTGACCCCTTAATCAAATAGTCGACGACTTACGACTATCCGGATAATGTAAACCGAATATTATTAGTCGAATACCAAGAGCTCTAATGTGTACCTTAAATATGACCCAACCTTGTAAATTTGAATACACATACTTATATGGCAGCGATGCCAGACAAAAATTAAATATCCTTTATAACATAATAATGAAATTGGTTTCTGTTTAATCTCGGTAATCACATTTTAAATTACCGCTAAGCAAATACCAAAAGCGTTTCACTATATAAATTGTGTGATTTGGCAGTGTCGTTGTTTTTTTTCCAAAATGAATGCCAGCCAGATCGTTTTCGCAGACGTGATCACATTAATCATGTGACTTCTGCTGCTGCCTTAAACCATAACATACTTATGTACATGTTCTAAACTACACACATGAAAATATATACAAAATTCAAAAGAATGATATATTTGTAGATACATATTTATTAACATATGTATTCATATATGAACATATTTTAGAGAGATATACATATATGTATATAAGTCAGTGGTTCTTCTCCGGTTAGTCAATGCTTAATTTAAGACATCATATCAATAACGTAACGTTTAAATTGTATAAATACAGGGTGTTTTTTTTTTTGGAAGTAAACAACTTTCATTTGAAATAAAGCAGTAATTCGATTTATTTGCCAAACTTAGGCGGGGTTCGCAATTTTTATCACGCTTAAGTCCCATTCACACACACTTTCCTTGCTTTGCGTGAGAGTTCATGTCATCGATTATCCTTGGTTCATACTGAAACAACGAAGCGCAGAAAAGAAAGGGTATGCCAAAATGAACGCTTTGCTTTCAGTGTTTCTCTTTAATAAAAATGGCTACTGTTACTTGGCAAAGCGTAAAAAGAGTTGCCCTATTTTGCTTGGTTTCGCGTCGACAACTGTTTACACGAAAGAACTCATATAAAAGCGTACATCCAATTTTTCTGTCAAAACAAATGTCTTAAACAAAGCGAAGTAAAAGTTCTATGTGAATTGGCCATTAGTGTTTGCAAGTATTTTGATGGAAATTTCTCATCGCCCTTATTTTACTATGACAGGTAATTTGCCAACTATCCCTTGAAGAAATTCCATACCTTAATACACGCTTTTGCCGTAAAACAATGGTAATGTAATCACGTTGACATGTGTTGCACATAAATATGGCAAAGTGGTTGGTCTTTATTTTAAAGGCAATTGGTACCAAGAAAGTACTTTCGGATACAGATATGTTATACAAATAAATATGTTACTCTTATCAAATGTCACACTCACCTCCAATATTGGTGCTTGATTATCCAGAGGCACTAACGGCTTTTCCGGTATGGGGCGCGATTTTAAATAATAGGTCGCCGCTGCTGCAATACCAGTTATTGTGATAACGCCCGCCGTACCGCCGAAATAATACAAATATCCGTCAATCTCATCAACTGTAAATGGATTAATTGTTATTTTAGTTTAGAAAATTTGCTAGCCCTCTTGCTATTGATTTAAGTACGCTTTTAGTTGAAAATGTCTAATCTTCTCTTAATATACATGAACAACTGATGTATACTCATAAAATGAATGTAGTGCCAGGAGTTTGCTTCTGATTATCCACAGCATTGTTCAGAATGTGTATGTATAGGCCATAAAAAATCGCAAAGATCTGCTGATAAGGAAAACACAATTGCAATGCCAAAATATCTGAACTGCGCTCACTTCAAATATACTTTTGGAGCGGTGTTATTTAACTACTGTATGTTTCCGCTTACTAGTACTTTTGTACATTCTACTTTTCGGAATTAAACATATTTAAATCAGCGTCATAAACTATACTATTTAATTTATTTATGGCAATTGTCTGTCTTGGCAACGAAATCAGCAGTCTTTTGCTGACATTCTCCTTACGAAAGTCGCCTGAGTTCCTCTAAGCCGCTGCTGCTTCTATGAGTATACCATAGTACTCTTTACTATGTGGCTCTTAAACCGTTTATTAAAGCGAATGTGTTTAAGTAATAACATTAAATACATATATATGAAAGTTTATACTTACGTAAATATGAAAAGTTGCTCACTATGAAGTGATTGAAGTATGCTAAAATTGATTTCTCCGGCGTCATGACTGACATCTTAATTCAACTATTCACGAATATCGAATGACTTATTCAAGCTATTTACAAATTGCAAACTGAGTATTTATATATGTTTCTATATAAAACTTTACACGTCGAGTATCAACTTAATGACACTTTTTCGATCAACATCTACTAAATACGACGATTTAGAGTCTAACAGCGACTTATTTCAATGCAGTTTATTCGGTTGTTTACTAATTAAAAGAAAGCCAACGATTACTTGTCTGAAAAATTGAAAAAGTTTCATGAAAAACTAAGTGTTTGTTGTAATGGTTTTATATGATCATGGATTTTCAATAGTTGTTAAAAAAAAAAAGTTTTTTTTTAATATAAACATATACAGAAAAAGATATTTAGTTGAAATAAAATGTAAACAGGAAGGACAACATTTTACTAGTGGCTAGCGGCACACCAACCACAAGTCATCACGTCAATCGATTGCGCTGAGAAACGCCAAACCTGCAGCAGACTCTTCGTTGTATTGTATCGATCGATGTCTATACACTCGTACAAATGCATACAGCATTAAATAAATAAATAAAAATTGATTAGGACTGTATTGTAAATAAGCCTTCTAACAAGAACAAATATGCACATCTGGCCACTTTCTCATCAGAAACTTGTCTATGCATTTTAAAAGTAATGACGGCGAATGGCTACACCTGTGTATGAATGGAACCTTATCTATTTACACATCAGTTGACTTAAAAACATATCATCATTATTAAGTAATAATGGCCGTAATAGCTGTATTTACTGTTCGAAAGTATACGAAATTAAAAAATAATTTTAATATTTTGAAGCGTAAAAATAATTTCACATTTAAGCATCGTTGCTCGAATTGTTGCTGTTTTGCTTTTGAAACACATGTTCAACATGTATGCATGGTAGCTGCAAATATTAAAATCAATAATTTCTTCTTTGTTATTTAAACAAATCTATCACACGCACCACCGCGCCTGGTTGGCTTTCCATCGTACAAGCAATTAAACACACTTCGGTTCATACGATTTTGCATTGCGCAAAACTCGATAACATTAATTTAATTAACAAGCAACGTTTGTAAAATTGTAAAAAAAAAAATAACTAAGAGCTAGACATTACCAACCATTTTGGAGCCACTGTGTGGTTGTTGTAATTACATACAAGTATTTAGATTTTAAAGAAAGAATTAATATTATAATAAATGCAATAAATTATGCAGCAACAACCGCAATATTTGAATACAAAAAGAAAATACTTACTTACGCCAGGTGGTCGTGGCGTTATGATATTCTATAAATATATTATATTCTATAATTATTTGATATCCGGCACTTACCGTACACGGTAATGTTTACGTTAGTCAAGGAAATTATCGATTTTTCCAAATATAGCAATTGTTAAATTTTTTCCTATTTGTTCTTGTGTACTAACTGCTTACTTACAGCTCCCTGATATTTTTACTTAAGTCCAATTTCTTACCAAATTGTATAAATTCGGAGTTTTGTTAATTTAATTATTTTATGATTTCGGAGAGCAGTTGCTTTCGTCTCAAAGTGTTTCACAATCTAAACAAACACGTGCGTGTCGTCTGCCCTCTTTAGACAGACTTATTAGACCCGAATACAGCGCGTCAAACGTGCGACGAAAGGAGCTACGAAAATAACGCTCGTATTGGTTCAATCGGTTTGCTATTATTATATTTGTGTTTGCCCCAGCTGATCCCGAACACGGTAAAAATTCTATCAACTATGCAAAACACTTACTCACTCTTTTTTTACACATTAAAACAACTCTCAACCGGAAATGTATGAAAAATCGATGGCAGCAATAGCCATTCGCTGCCTAGAAATATGCAAGTACGTGTGTAAAAGCCTTGCTGCACTCTGATGTCAAACCCGTACTGAGCTCAGTTGGCTGCAGGACGGCACAGAACAAGCGATTGTTGACCGGCGCGTTAGCGCATAATAACTATCGGCCAATGGTAGGCAGCGTTGGCATGGTATTCAATATGTATGTATGTGTGTATATACAGTGACTGACAATAAAATAGAATCAAATAGCTGTTTCCGAAATAATTAACAATCATAATTATATGTCAGACAGATTTCGGATTTGTTTTGCCTGTAATCGATGCCTACAATATTTGTCTTTTAAAACAACATGCTGGTAGCTCTGTTACATTTTACTGTTATCTTTGTGTTCAAATTAAGCAAAAGTGTGCTTTTGTTATCATGTCAAAAATATAGAAACAAGAAATCAAAATATATAATATTTTGTTAACAACTATATTGTAAGTATATAAGCTGTAGAATATTTGTTACAACTTGACATTTTGTTATAATTAAGTATTATTTGTAGAAGAAATGAGCCGGGGAAAGCATTGCATAGCGGCAGAGCTGAAGCTCTAAAAAAATTTGCAAAATAACGGTTATATCCACAAAAAAATAGACAAAATTATAAAAAGATCCCAAAAATTTGTGTTTACTGCTTTGAAACGTCCAAATGAATGCGAATTGAAGGGACGGCCATGAAAAACGACATCGGATGACAATTACATAGAGATTTTATAAAAACTCGATCCTTGGGAGTTCTCTGTAGCTATCCAAAGAGAATTGGGTGTAGAAATTTCTTCGAGAACTGTTGCGCGTCGCCTTGTGAAGAAGAATCTCTTCGGAAGGTTGTTCCAGAAAGTTTCAATATGTTAGATATGAAATGAATCCCCAACACACGACCAAAACTTTCAAACACGGAGGTGATAATAGCATGATATGGGGATATGGTACGGTTTTTGACCGCTGTTTTGGATTCGGGAAATTATGAACCGTTAGCGCTACCTTAAATTTTAGAAGATGTATTGCTTACTTATGCTGAATGGAACATGCTTTTTATTTGGCATTTCCAACATGACAATGAGCCAAAACATAGCACGGGTGTGGTCAGGACGTGGCTACAGTATCAAGGAATCGATGTTATGACTTGGCCGGCGCAATCTTTAAATTAAAATCCTATTGAAAACCTGTGGAAGATTGCAAAGGAAAAGTTGCGATCCAGTAAACCACGAAATAAGGAGGTATTATGGCAAAAAGTGCAAGAGGCGTGGTATTCAATACTGAATTCAGTCTGTAAAAGGCTTAGTACGGCAGCGTAGTACACGCTAATAAAGGTGTTGCAACAAAATGCTAGCTGATATGCATTTTTAGTTATAATAGTAAACTATTTACGAGTTTAGGTTCCATGATTCTTTTTTATTGTCAATTGAAGTTGCTGACAGTTCCTTTAAAAGTTTTGAAAATATTTTATGGTCAGCAACTGTATATTATTTGCATGCGATTGTATCTACATACATATATACATACAAATATGTGTAAAATCAGCTTTGGGTTAAACAAAGCTGCACAATAATAAAAATTATATTTTTGCATTTGCATTTTCATACAAACATACAATGTATTTGATAAGCAAGACACACATACATGCATATACATACATTTATAGATATTACAGCAAAAGATAAGCTCTTTGTGGCAAGTTGTTCATATATGTTTACATGCTTCATTCAAAAGTGTCATACATTCTCCTTAATATTTATTATTTATTTTAATAAAAATGTGCAAACTTTCACAAATTCCGTTAACCTTGCAAGCGGAAGTCCAACGTATCTAACTAATTACTTATGCTTACTTATTTATTGTTCTCATTGTTGATCTTCCAGCAAAAGTGCAGCATATAAAAGTCGAGTAGCAAACCTCAGCAGGGTAATTTTAAAAGCTTGTGACTATATAAGACAAACTTATATTATATATAATATATGGGTCATTCCATGCAAAATTTACATACATTTTTTTGTTCTTGCAAAAACAATCCAGGTTTTTCGAGCCCTAAAATTTTGAACATTCATTCAAAATTTTTCAAATTTTATTGAAATAAAAAATACGTGTCCAATATTTTGTCTCAAAGAACACAAAAAAATTGTTTTACACGAAAAAAGAATTTTTTAATATAAATTTTGGATGGAATGATCCACATACTTTTTTTTTAGAGCTAGTTAACAGGTGATCCAAGTAGAGATACTTTCTTCAATAGCCTATTTTGACAGATTACGTGAGATTACGATTCATTGTTCTGTAAAGAATGTGTTGCGCGCGCTTTCGACCCAAATTTGGTTCAGCGATGAGTCCCATTTCTGGCTCAATGGGTATGTAAACAAGCAAAAGTGCCGCATGTGGGAAGAGCAACCTGTAGAGATTCAAGAGCTGCCATTTCTTCCAGAAAAAATTACGGTTTGATGTGGTTTGTAGGCCGGTGGAATCATTAGTTCATATGTCTTCAAAAATTATGCCGGTGAGAACGTACTGTCAATGGCGACCGTTATCGCGCGATGATAAACAACTATTTGATGCCTGAAATTGCAGCTCGTGATCTCGGCGACATTTGGTTTGAACAAGACAGTGCCACTTCCCACACATAGCATCACGTAATGGGTTTAATGAGAATACACTTCGATGAGCAGATAATTTCACGTTTTGGGCCGGTCGATTGACCACTAAGATCGTGTTATATCACACCGTTAGACTTTTTCCTGCCTTGAAGCAAAACTTCACGCGTTTCATTCGCCAGTTACCAGCCGAAATGCTCGAACGAGTCATCGAAAATGGAACTCAACGAATGGACAATCTGATACGTACCCGCGGCCAACATTTAAAAGAGATAATCTTCAAAAAATTATTGCCAATTAATGTGTTTTGGAATGACGATAAACAGTATTCATTAAATTTAATCTTTCTGTGTTTAAATTTTTCTGTGTTTTTTTCTTCAAAAAAGTAGGGCACCTTGGAATGCATCACCCTTTAGTTATTTAATTTTGCATAGGTGCATATACTGCATACATACACTTGCTTTGGAAGCTTAATAATATACGCCGATCCAACAAGTATACAAAAAAGGAAAGCTCCCATCGTCAAACTGCATGCAGTTACAGAAGCGCAAAATCTTTTGCATAACCTTAGGCGCCGCCAGATACCAAATACAACGCTGAATAACTAAAGTCCGCTTATCGCTTAACACGAAACCGCAAAAAATCACATTATAAAATTGGACACATTCGTGCATACATATTGATGCACTTGTTCCGATGTTGTAATGTTCATAATGAAATTGTATATTTACAAATCACTCAGCTGTCTGTCAACCGATCGAAAACAACTAATTTGTATTATTTAGTTAATATTATTCTATTATAAAGTTATTGTTTATGATCAATTGTTATCAAAATAAATGTTGCTACATTAATCGTTGTGATGGATACGAAACTAAGTGCAAAAACAGCCGAAGTGATACAATTGAAAACTGCAACCAAAACTATTGTCGAAGATGCGGAATCTCAAAATCTGCCTGCGGAGAATAAGCTTGATAATAATGACAATGTTGGCAATAATGATAGCGGCGATTACGATGCCGATGTTGTCGTAACGGATAAATCAGCGCTTAGACGTATGAACAGTTTAGACTATGCAGGGAATAAAAACGTAGCGGAAGGTTTGTAAACTAAACGTAAAAACTTTATTATATAAGACGAATATTTATTTTTGAAGGTTTGATGGACATTGCGCTATTGTCAGCAAACGCTAATCAGCTGCGGTTTCTACTTACATACAATAACAAAGCTCCGACCTATTATATCAGTCTGGGACTAGTGAGTGTCTCTTTAGTGCTTCAGGTTGTCGTAGGTCTGGCACTCATTTTTAAGGTATAAGTAATGCACAAACATTTCATTCGCTTAGATGTATTTATGTAGGTGCTATAAATCTATTTATTTCAGCGTCACTTGAAGAAGAGCGATCGACGTTACATCTACACAAAGGAGCTTCTAATTTTTGGTATATTTATTATAACTGTAGTGAATGTGCTGATTGCGGCATTTACCACAACCGAAAGCGATGACAAACCTTAGTTGGCAATCTTAAGCGAAACGATTCACCAAATAATACCGTAAAATGAACTTTCGTAGAAGTTGTGAACGCACTAATAGAGACTGCCGTTAAACTAAGCAACATGCTTAGAAGCACATAGTAGATATATAAGCATGTTCTTAAATAACAAATGTTGTAATGTTTTGTACTAAAAAGTTCTCATAATATATATTCAAAAAATATTTGCATTTCAATTTGGTTATTTACTTTATTTCTTTTATTTATATTTACATATTTAAGCTTTAATAAATGCACACATTTTACAAACTACATAAATTTAACTTATAACAATTGAGAAACGTGTATAAAAAAAAAGTTTCAAAAATACGCCTTTACTGTTATATACATTTATAATAATATCTATTTGTTTATATGTACATATATACAAGTAAATCTGGAATTGAGCGTATGCCTATGTCGCTTTGAGGTTGCAGCAGATGTGAATGGAAAGCCACAAATTATCATAGGTATTTACTCAATTCACTAATAAATGCACTATAGGTTTCTGTTACGATATTGCACCCGCCTTTTAACTCAAACACAATAAGCTATTGTATTGTATTGTACAAGTATTGCATTGTACCGTTTAGTTTACTTGGCATACTCTTTCTTGATCACTTTAGCAATAGTGCTCAACTGCATGTTGGTAGTGCCTTCATAGATGGCGCCGATCTTAACGTCGCGATAGTATTTCTCCTGTGGGAAGTCACGCGTGAAGCCGACTCCACCCATCCAGTCAATGCACTTGATTGTGGCACGTTGCGCTACCTCCGATGCGTAAAACTTGGCCATGGCGGCTTCTTTGAGAAAAGGTTTGCCCTGCTCCTGTAAACGTGCAGCATTGTAGGTAAGCAAACGGGCCGCTTCGATCTCTGTAGCTACCGTAGCGATTTGATGTTGCATTGATTGAAAATCATAGATCTCCTTACCGAACTGCTTGCGCTCTAAGAGATAGGGAATGGTGTGGTCGAAACAACCTTGCGCAAGACCCACCATTTGCGCGCCAATACCGATGCGTCCCTCATTTAAGAAACCAGCAGCATATTTGTAGCCCTGACCGAATTCACCAAGTAAATTCTCTTCGGGTATGCGTACGTTATCAAAAGTTATCATGCACGTACCAGACGCCCGAATGCCCAGTTTATCTTCGGGCTTATTCACAATTAGTCCGGGTGTATCGCGATCGACAATGAATGCGGTAATGCCGCGATAGCCCTAAGCCCAAGAAAAATTTAAAATATATTGTCAAATTTTCTATATACCCAGCTTGTTAGTAAGTAAATGACTTACCGCTTCCGGTTTGGCGTTAGCGAATACAAGGAAAACGCCAGCCACATCGGAGTTTGAAATCCACATTTTTGTGCCGTTAATAACGTATTGATTGCCATCTTTTTTAGCAACAGTTTTCAATCCGAATGCATCTGAACCAGCCGCAGGCTCAGTCAAAGCAAAGCTTCCGGCCTAGAAACGCCAATAATTTATTTTTAATATTTACATATAGGTATGTCTTGATATTTATAAGCTCGTTACACGATTAATTTACAAATTACAAATTGACAGCTTACATGCTTTTATTACGTGAATTATATTACCAGATATGCAGTATTGACTCTACCATAGTACAAAAAAAAATTTTTTTTTGCAATATGGATCTAGCTATTATAAGAATCTACGCCCCGTTCGTTAAGTATGTACTCTATCATATGTATTTATTACAAAAAAAAATAGTTTTATAATCAAATGTGTCTGTCGTAATCTGTAAATATTTAGTCTGTCATGTAACTGAGTCATTATCAATCAAATAAGTACGTTTATTAAATTTTAGACACAATACTCACATACTCTTGCGCCAACTTTGGTAAATACTTGTTTTTCTGCTCTTCACTGCCCACTTTCATCATTAAAGAGACAACCAAAGTATTGTGGATATCAACGAAAGCAGCGACTGCCGGATCAACTTTTGACAGCTCTTCGACAACTAAAATAGTAGTCAAAAAATTGCAGCCACTGCCTCCCAAATCTGGTTCCACTTCAATTCCCATTAAACCATTCTCGAAGACAGCGTTCACCACTGAAGGATCGAATTTGTGTTCCTCGTCCATTTTTTTAACAAGTGGAGCGATTTGTTCTTGTGCCAATTTTGCAACTAAAAAAAAAATTTGTGAAACAAATTAATATTTAACTAATAACGAAGTAAAAACATAAAACATAATAATTACGTAAGAACACAAGAAACTATAAAAATATTGATTTACATAATGTAATGAGTGTTTTGTTTAAGAAACGTGTCAATGCTAAAGCTGAATCTTTTGCAAAAACGACGTCGAGTGGTGATGGTAAAAGAGATGCTTGACAACAGAATTACTGGTCACAAGAAATGGGTTTATGTATATGACGTCGAAACTGTTCAACAATCTTGCGAATTGCGCTCCAAAAATGAGCTGAAAGCAAAAAAAACACATAAAAATCGGTCGGACTTCTTTGATTATCGTGTTGTGATGCACATAAATTCATTTTACAAGGTCAAAGGTTTAATAAGGAATACTACTCAGTCGAAATACGCCAAACTAAGGTACCTGTGAACTTTTTCTGTTTTCATAACTGAAAAATCAGCTTCGGGCAATGCGTCATAAGTTCATTGAAGCCATTAAAAGTCATTCACTGGAGCGGTACTGAAGGCCATCCTAGGCGAGGCTTATCACAAGTGTATGGAAAATTAGATTAAACTTGTATTAGCTCAAAAGGAGCCTATTTTAAAGGCGATAATAAAGATCTAGACTATAAGTATATAATTACGCTAACAAAAAAGTTTGTGTTCCGTTTTTGACTGTGACGGTTGATGAAATGTAAGCCGTTAGAAAGAAGAAGACGTGCAGAAGTGCACAACGTTATTTTTTCATGTACGTCAACGAGAACACAGGTAAAAATGAGTTGGCGCAAATATTGCGACCACAATAACAAGCGCGGCGGCGCGTTTTCATTGGTCGATGTTATTTCTCTTTTGCGCATCACACTTAACACAGTCGTATACGGAAGTATATTTCGCCGCTGTTCTGGTTAAGTTAATTGTGTACCGCTTACGGCGGATTTGTGTTTGCAATTTTTTTTTTCCACTTTGAATTGTGTTTGGACTTTGCGTATTGCAACACTGAATTCTATTACAATAACATTATTAACGCACATTGAAATGAAGTGGAAATAAGCTTCGATATCATTCGTGCTATTTTGGTGAGTTAGAAATTTTTAGATTAATTTCAAGTGCATTGTAAGATAGTTAATTTTTTGAAAACAATTTTCTCAAGGTCAATTTTATGTAGTTGATTGAATCGCCAATATCAATAACAACAACCTAATAAGAAATGATTAAATTTTTTTAACAAGCGATTCGATTTCGTGATGGCAGCGTATAAGAATTTGTTTGACAATTTACGACGGGCGCAAAATGTAGTGCAAAGTCGCATTATCAAAATTGTGGCTTCATTAAAGCATGAACGCGATCAACTGAAAATTGAACGCGATTCATTGAATAATAACTGTGATCAATTGAAGGTTGACAAATTGGTCGATTTGATTCAATTGTTCATTCAAGGAAGTACATGATAAAACCAGAAACACTACAAATGATTTTGAATGAATGAATTATAAATTTTATTTTATTTTTGTAAATTGTTTTCTACAACTTTCTTTAGATTTTGCGCAAATTTTGTTCAAAATCTTCAATAAAATTGAAATATTATTAACATTGTTAATAAATTATATTTGCTATTGGTCGAATTTCATGCACTGGCGAACCTTGTTTGTATAAAAATACGTGAAAATGTTATTTTTTTTGGTTTGTTCGCGTGAAATTTGGTCAAATCGTTTGTATTCTTGCACAAAGCATTATTATATGAATTTAGTATACAAGTAATGCCAAACGCAACTAATGTAAATATTGTCGGTAGTATGTATGTAAGTATGTAATGTACATACGTTTTTTATGAAAATAAAAAATAAATGGCTATAATATTAAAATAATCAATTTAGACGAAGTTGAACAGAACAGAAATGAGATGATCGAGTCACGTCATATGCTTCGCTCTACAGACAAGCCCACATTTTGCGTCTACATATGTAGAATAGAATAGATTAATTTTGAGGTATGCATCGCGAAATAAAAAATCTATATATATATAAATACATACATACATACATATGTAATCAATCTAGTTTGTTGGTATACCTCCTATTATACTCTTTACTTATATACATACATACATATGTTTATATGTATATATGTATGTACATATAACATCTACACAATGTTTTTATGTGTATATATACAAATTTTCTAGCTTGTTGGGAACTCATCATTGTCGTACACATTTAAATATATGCATGAAATTTTTATAATACCATATATACACACACCCACTTGCAAATACAAACATATGTATGTACACACTTTTTGATTGCTAATAAATATCTAACACAATAAATATTTTTAGTACATATCGGCAAAAAACCGTGTGCAGTTTTCAAAGAGAACACACAAACAAGCGCTCAATTGGTTATGAGTAGTCGCAATTAATGCCAAACGGATAATAATGGCGATCAGTTACACTCGACTCAACCGTTATAAAAGCTTTTACAAAAGAATAAGAGACCACCCTATTATATTCATACTTGTTTTAGTCTCTTCTAGCACATATCTAAAGTAAAGTGAACTGCTCATTTCTTAGAAAAGGGACGAATTTAGTTAAGTCTGGTATCCAATCAAAGTCAATCACACAAGTATGCTGGTATGTAAACTGATTAGATAGTCTGCTTTATGGCGTGTATTTGTATTCATAAATATTTCGATATAGTGTATGTGCATGTGTAGACCAATATGTATAATATAATTTAGCAGTTTTATTAATGTGACACGTGTATGAATATACGAATACGATACAAGTATAAATATAGCACTGTGTGTGTAATTATAACAAAAAACAGCTCTGCGTAGCGTTCAGACCAGTTCGGAAATTCACTTCAGCGATGTTTGTTTAGCGGACTAGTATCTGAGAAAAATAACAGCGGCTAAACGACCTAACAAAACATTTCTAACATGTATGCAGTAGCGCCGAGAGAAAAACCGGCGCACAGGGTTAAAATGGTGGGGACTGCTCTCCACAGGAATCTTTCTACTACTTTATAAATTTTATTCACTATTATCCTACTTACTACTTTAATGCATTTGAAGAATGAGTCAAATATGTTGTAGTGTTTTATGCTCTCGTCATATCTGTATTAAATTTGCTTTCTTATTGATGTTGGGTGCGGTTGGGTGAAATTCAATAATATATAAATCAGTTCATACATAGACTTTCAGACAAAAATATTATTTCAGATTGTACAGGAATATATGTATATAGGGATAACAAGACTTGACAGTTAATAAGAAAACAGAAACATCGCATTCAAACAATTACTTATCGATCTAATTACTGAAAAAAACGGTTCTTTTAAAATCTGTTGACGATCAAGTTTACAGTTTTTGAACATGCGGTTTAAAATCCACCAATTCTCAATTATTTGGAACTTAGCAGTGAGCTTTTCTTGCTTTGACGGCAGCGCATGCAGCCAATAATGGTCTGGAAGTCCAACTTCTTGACTAATTCTGCCACTAGGCACAGTGTCCTGAAATCCTGCCCTGTGACGAGCATGATTGATGAAAATTTTTGATAATCGCTAAAGCACTAAACGAACCTTTACCACTTAAAACAAGTACGGAAAAAATGCAAAATATTCTCAAAGTGTTGCAAATATTTGGAAAAAGTCTTCTTAATTTTCGAGCATTGTTGTTTCAAGTTGTATGGAGTAGGACGTGTTTCAAAATTTACATCGTAAACGTGTCTGAGGTGAATAGCTGCATTGAACAAGTTATCAGATACAATAAAGGTATACTTTTTTGCAAAATTTTTTACGGCTGCATTGAGTTCATTTTCTTTCAAATCATGGAACTGTCATAGAAATGAACAGGATTCATTTCTGTCACTCACGGCGGCGAATCCTCACTTCATTTTACAGATAACGCTTTTAAGTATGAAGTAGAAAGCGTTTCTTTTGAATTCAGTTTCTTCTTTACTGCAATTTTCATCGACTTTTGATGTATGTAGATCGTTATCGTTTTTTTTTTTTTTTTGCCTTTGGTAACATCGTCACGTCAAGCTCTAAATTCTCAGCAAAAACTTTGCACTCATTATAATTTGCTTTTCACTGGTCACGCAGAAATTGCAAATCCACAAGAGGGCTTTCTATATGTATTTCTAACTGCAGCGTCGACGGTGGCATTGTTCTCTTGAAAAACCAAGTTTCTTTCATTGATTGGCTGAAGGATTTTAAACCATTTGCTGCATCCATCAAAACGCTCTCACGCTCTCAAATTTGCGCGTATATGTATGCATTTCAAAATTCTATCAACGTTCCGACGAGTGTCTGCCGTAAGATTAACTTCTCTTTGTTCAACTATCAAAATCATTCTAGTTTTTATTTTTATTTATATTTCACTTTATTTTATTTATTTAATTACTTTTTTCTTGTTTACTAATCAAATGCGAAGACGCAGTATTTTTGAGATGAATCTAAAGAGCACGTAAATGTTCATAGACAATTTAAATATCTTGCGTATTATATCTATTATGTAATATCGTATATCTATCGTACGATAATGTTAAGAATTACTGTTAATAGTTATGTAAATAGGTGAAGAATTACCACCACACATATAGCAAGGTATTTCTGGTATAATTATTCATATTTTTTAATAATCTAGCTATTGATATCAAAAATAGCATTTGGATTTCACACTTAACCAGTTTTATGGGTTCAAAACGATCTATAAAAGTTTGTGAAAATCTGTTTTGTGATAAGTTATTAACATTTTTTTGTTCTGATATGTGTACATATACAATACATACATATGTACATAGGTACATAGGTACATATAAATACATATACATATATGTATTCATACATGTACGTTTTAACTTTTTCTGTTATGAACGCGATTGTCGCTCAAGATAACCGCAGCAAAGGTGTTTGCACATCTACTTAATTCTAGCTAAGTCGCGATGTTTAGCTACAAAAAACTATATATCACGTCCTTTCTAGCATTGCATAAAAATAAATAAATCTGAAAATAAATAACTTGTCAACTTCCCAACTACGAATTGAGCGCTTTTGAACAATGTCTCAATTCAACTCTCAAGGAAAGTGCCGAACATACCCGCATGCCAGATACGCACATCCAGCGCACTAGAACAGTACAACACGGAGACGTTGGCAGCAGCGTTCATTTAATTTGCTATATCACAAGTGTAACGCTGTTTAAATTATTGTATGAAATTTAAACCGCTGACTGCTTGTGAAAAATACAACAAGTTTGGAACTAACTGTACCCGTCAAACATCAAATAAATATCTACTTCTCCTAAAACTCATTATTAAATTAAACGTATTTCAGTTTTAAACAATTTTAATTTCAAAATTCAAATAATGTCAAGTCGGATGCACATGTTACGACGGATAAAAATTCCACGAACTAAGAAAATTCGAAGAAGTCCGGGATCAGGATCCGAACCTATGATTTCACAAATTCACAAGTGTTTCTCTCGCAACTTCTCATCAACCTCGGCCAACAGCGTTAAACTATTTTGTTCGTTTATTGAGTTACAATAAACAAGCAACGCCACCTGACGGAGAAAATTATAAACTAAGTTTACCGATGTGGACTATTTCCTCTTTCTTTACATACAAATAACTGAAATAGCTGTTGGGAATAACAATGCAAAACAAAGTGGCAACGAAATTATGAGAATCCTAATTATTATTATATTCGCGTACTAGCATGCTCCCAAGATATAATAACGTAATTATTTTCTTGCTTGCATATGTTGGTAATGAAAATAACAACGAATTTACAAACCAATTATTTTAAATTGTTAAACGCACAGATTAAAGCTAGTATATGTATGTATGTATATATTCTACATACATACACTTATGTTTATATGTACATGATGAGGCAAATATGTGAGCATGTTTACCTTTATGTATGAATATATTTACATGTGCTCTGAAGTTAGGTATACTCGCATATATTGGAAGATACATATTTAAATGTACACATCCATATCGGCATTCAATAAAAAAAAATATTAAAATATCACTTTTATAAAAATTAGCAAAATTTCTACAAATCGTATGTCCATATTTCATCTTTGTATTAAAAATACATTGGCGCCTCCGATGTTTTAGGAAGTTATGTAACTTATCAACAGACAAAACAAAGCAAGATTAGTGTGTATATTCACATACATGCATATGTATATATGTATATTCACATACATATATACTTATGCATAGGTATTTATGAACAAACGTGCAGCAAGGATAACCTTCATCTCAACTATTTACTGCTGTTATATATAATAAACGATGGAATAATTTACTCACCGGTCTCCTTCATTACGCGCTCATCATCTGTGAGGACAGTGAGTGCTGACATGGCACCTGTACCGCTGGACATACATTGCTGCTGGCGCAGGACCGTGTTAACAACCTAAATGAAATATTATTTGATTACAACAGCTAGATTCTATTATGTTTCGTTTAATGAACAAAATAAATATCTACATTTATATATATTCATATGTATATGTATATATATGTAGACTAAACATATTTACTTCTACATATGTGTATATTAAAAAAGTTGTCACGCATGTTCTCGAGCTCTTTTATCTCTTAACTTACCATACGCAAAGGTATTTTTCTCAGGTAATTCATTATATTAGTTATGCACAACTGTTGATTTGTAATTGAAAAATATAGACTGCCAGAAACTATCAAAGATCTGAACAAAAGTAATGTAAAAACAACAGGAACTCTGGAACGATCAAATCGAACTGAAAACAACTGCTTGTTTGCAAGATCACTTAAGCGAACTAATTGAATGTGGTATTCTTGATCACTGTGCAATTGATTGGAGTGTTGCTGAAACCACAATTAAAATAGAGTTGCCGCTGTCAAGAGAAGCTACCAGCAACATGGCTGTACATATCTAACATAAATATATTAATAAAAGTACATACATATGTATGTAATAGCCAAAAATGTTATGAAAGTATTTTTTTCCTTTATGTCTTTTAATATTATCGAAAATCATACTACAATTTCTATTAAATTGTTCATTAATAAATAATGTGAACAAGTTTTAATGCATTTAGATCCCTAATAAATATAGTTTAATTAATGTCAATTATATTGAAAGCCAATAAAATTGCGAAACGGTGTGCCTTGTGAGGTATCTATATAACAAATTGTTAACAAAACTCTTTAGTCTCCAATATTTTTTATATCACAACAAATCTTTTGTTGAAATTGGCATTGGCAGTAAACGTAGGTAAATGGCCCTTACTGTTCAAATGGTTGCTTACAGTCAAAGTAATATTCTTTTTGGATTAAAAACAAATAGTTTTTTAAGTGTAACAAATTCAAAAAAATTTATTTAGACTAGAAATCTAAGGCAGTGATTGACAGATTATTACGATTGAATTTCTCACTAAATCGTCTTCAAATGTATAATAATAAATCTAGAAGCCCTGTAGCATATTAATAAAAATGATTGAGTCTTTAAATTTATTGCAACCACAGCTAACTTCATGTGAATATAATTGTTTGACATTTAACCAAATTTTTAGTACTTCCGACAATTTGATTGTCAAACTCCTTCTTTTTGTTGTTTTTACGCGACTAGTTTGGTGTAAGTTTTGCTCTGTAAAATTTTTGTTAAATCTATCGCCATCATTTGGACAAATAAAATATATAAAAAGAAAATAATTTACATATCGAGAGAGACGAGTAAATTTTGAGAAATTCCTGCTATTTCGCGAACTAATGCATTTCTTTTGCTACCGCAAATGAATATGTGCCTTGCGTGTAACCATTGAGATTTACTCTTAAAATATGCGAAAATTGAGAAATCTTTCGATTAACTTTGTGCCAACTTAAGAATGAAATATTTATATTTGCAAATCGCTTCAAGCAAATAGTTACGGTGATTCTGTTCAAGTTAAAGAAATTAATTTTTGATTTTTTTTCAGGGTAAACAACAGCGTGTGCAACCATGAAACAAAACAAATTTGTCACTTCTTCGCGCAGGAAGAATCGTAAGCGCCATTTCCAGGCTCCCTCACACATTCGGCGTCGTTTGATGTCGGCTCCACTTTCCAAGGAGTTGCGTCAAAAGTACAATGTCCGCTCTATGCCCATTCGCAAGGATGATGAAGTGCAAGTGGTGCGCGGACATTTCAAAGGCAATCAGGTGGGCAAAGTGGTGCAGTCGTATCGTAAGAAATTCGTTGTGTACGTCGAAAAGATTCAGCGGGAAAATGCGAACGGTACTAATGTTTATGTTGGCATTCACCCTTCCAATTGTTTGATTGTCAAATTAAAGTTGGACAAGGATCGTAAATCAATTTTGGACCGCCGCGGCAAGGGACGCATGGCGGCATTGGGCAAAGATAAGGGCAAATATACCGAGGAAACTGCTGCGCAACCAATGGAAACAGCCTAAGAATTTGCAGTTAATCTTTATAAGAATACCGCTTTAGAATAAAAATAAATGTTTTCCTTTCAAAATGGAAAGTATTCGTTGTTTTATATATATACATACGTGTGCATTTCAATATTTTAAAACTATACTCTATACCCAGATACACTTGCATAAAGTTGTATCTTGAGATTAGCATATTTTTTTTGGAAAATTGGGATATTCAAGCTACTCAAATATAAGTGATTATATGAATTGTGTTTTATATCATTTACTGCTATAATTGTGTGAATAAAATATTATGTTCGGAAAGTGTAAGATTTAATAGATTCAGACAAAGTAGGATTAGATGGGTTACTGTTCATACGACAGCCGGAGCGGACCCGGATGTATATTTCATCTAAGGTTGTTAAATAATACTAGTTTACAGTCAGTTTACGACTGTGATGTTAGAGACTGTTTTTTCCCAATTTTGGGTTGCTAAAACCGAAAAAAGCAAAAATTTCATAACACCTAGGATTTTTTGTGTTGTAGTCAACGGGTGTAGAGGTCAAGCCACCATCATTTACTAAAATAACAAAAATACCTGTACGTAATGGAAAATTCGTAATCGGGGCATCTCAAATACCCCACAGACCACTTAGTAAATCAGGCGCAAATTTTTCTTCAGGTTTGTTGAGTAGTGTAATAGCTTAGTGAACGTTTTCTATGATCACAACAACAACTATAAGCTTTTAGAGAAGAACTATTTAGAATTCCGAATTCTATTAAAAGATTTACAGTTGTATAGTTTTCTTTTAATCGTAATCTCTCACAATCTCTATTCGTATTATCACTAATTAGTCTATTTACATGGAATATATATTGCAATTTTGAATGATGTTTTCTACCGTTCCTGCATTTTATATGTATATATACATTCTTATCGATATGAGATATATTGAGCATATATCGATGTCGATGTAAAATTATCGACTTTATATTTTCATCACTGAGCACTCACATTATAATTTACTTAGTTATTTATTGTATATAATTTGAAGAACTTTTCTTAAACATGGAGATGATGGTAAATACGGTTTTGCTATTTAAGAAGCATCTAGATTCTACAAATCGAATAAATGTTAAAAATCTTTAGCAAGGTGCCTCGTTATTGTCTCGTCCCGGGGAAGAATTCGGCAATGATGAACTCGTTGAGGAGATGTGGGCATTAAAGGCAATGGATCACGCTGAGGTATATTTCAATGTAAGTTTTAGACACTATTGGTACAAATTGGGAAATAGTTATTACCTAAGACTGAAGTTTATTTTTTATTTTATTGAAGCTTCTCACAAGCGTGCACCCTTCATGTCTGCACCTGACTCCATATGATGATCAAATATACCAAGCATTTCGAGAAGATTTTCCTGATCTGAAAGTAGATGTCATAGCGGATGATACCCTTAAAACAGAAGATGCTAAAATTCGTTGGCGCTTGTTTGCGGAAAAATTCAATAAATTGGATGATTACGCTTACGGAACATTAATACGGGCAGATTCATCCAAAGAATTTACACCCGAAAATTCACTTCTTGTTGTACGTATACAGTTTTTAGCAATAGAAATTGCACGTAATCGGGAGGGACTAAATGACGAAGTACATCGTAAATTTCGACCTCCACCACGAACCTCGGATGCAAAAGATTTGAAATCGGGAGAAATAAATGAGACGTAGATTTTAAGAAAATATAACAAATTAACGGCATATTTATATAGTATATATATTTTATATTTTCATAAATGCAAAAATATACAGAACTGCGAATATAGAAAGTATTTTAATCGATACAAGTAAAATTTTTATAAACAAAAACAAACCTTTCGATCACCTGAATCACCTGTGTGAATTTACAATTGCAAATACAAATAATAACAAGTGCGATAATACTCATTATTGATTGAACTGAAACACATTAATAAAGTACTGTCAATTTTATTCCAGGTACTTAGGTTAGAAAACAAATAATATACGTATAATATTTTTTATTTAAATTGCGTATAAGTTGATTTAAAAATGCTGAATAATAAACATGTTTGTCATTCTTCGAGGACAACATTTGATATAATATTTTAATCCTTTAGATACTCATTTATATATGTATGTATTAGGGCTCTTGAAATTATTCGAATAACCGGAATTTCGATTATTCGAATTTGATTTTTGTTCTTTTGAATGAACGCTTACTATTCGAATAGTCGACAACGAACGGTTAATCGAATAATCCACAACTTACGACTATCCGAATAGTGCAAACCGAATATTATTATTCGAATAATGCCCTATTCGGTTGGCCGATTAGTCGAATACCAAAAGCTCTAGTATGTATGTTAGAAAAAAAAATTGTATTTAAGATAATCAGCTTGGTGATGGATATAAGTATGTATATATATATGGAATCATATTTTTATACAAAAAACATTGGTGTATTTTGCATAAAGGATTGATTAATGAGTCGTTTATTATATTCTTCACGAAGAGCACGCCTTAGAGGGGGTCTGAAAAAAGTTACACGTTAATGAATGAAATATAAATTCAAAAGAAAGCATTACCCGTCAATATAAACACGGCCACGTGCTGCAACCAAATGCGCAAGGTAAGCAGGTGCTGGATAAGAAACTGCACGATTACAACGTGGAAACATATAACACAAATTATTGGTCATCATTTGCAATTCATCCATTGTAAATTTGGCATCATCCACAAGAACGTTGTAACGTGTGGGCTTTGCGGTCCCTTGAATTGACTGGTGGCTTACCATAAAGAACTGTGTTTCGTTCGGGTGAACGATTTTTTGATCAACAACTGTGCCGGGTAAGACATTGTTCCATTTATCACCACTAGGTTTGGTAGGGAAGAAACGAGTATGATGCCGTTTGACCACAATTATGCATGTTATTTTAGCTGGAATCCGGAGCTGTAATAAGATTATGAAATTGCCTTAGTGTATACAAAACAGAAAGATTCTAATTACATATATGAAAATATCATTTCATGTCACATGTTATTGAATAATGCAGCTCGTAACACTTACTTCTTTGCATACTGCGCGTATAGCGCTGACTTCGAAATGATTCACCTTCTTAAATTGCCCATCAGACACGCCATCGCGATAATAAATAATGTTATTCGGATAACAATTATGCTTTTCGAAATATACTTTTAGATGGTGACGACTTATGCTTTGCATATCATCTATTTCTTCTTTTGCTGACTCTTGCAAGCGATACTGCATGTTATATGAAGCTCCATTTAAATCATGGGAAGCAGCTACGCCAACAACACTCGGTATGTTCCGTTGATCGGGTGATGGATGTGTGACATCCGCCCCCATAAACATGGGGTGATCGAGTAAAATATGGGATTTAGCTGAAATTTTATGATTGGATCCGTTCAGTTTTGAATTTACTTTTAATAGCAAATTGCCAATTAATTGTTCGTCCACTCGTCGATTTAAAGTTTGTTCTTTGATACATTGAGTGAGTAGCCCGCAAACTAATTCGGCTTTTTGTTTGATATCAGCATACGATGTACCATAATTGGGAATCACTACTATAACCAAGTCGTAATCTTTTCTTTTATATTCCTCCAATGTTTTAACAATGTCTCTGGTTTCTTGTATCTCCCTTTCGGAATCCAAATTTATGCCCATTCGTTTGGCGCCATTAAAAAACTGTTTTTTAAATGAAAGAGCATATATGTATGTACATTAATAAACATATTTCAGAACTGCAATTTAAAGTGCAGTTCGAAAATTTGTATTAAATATTATTATTTGAAAACGAAACTCACCATGTTTGAAAAGTCTAACAAAGTGCCATGCCTCAAAAATCTGGAAGAAGTATAAATGACCGCCCACTTATGTCCAGTTTTCTTCGATGTTACGCCAGTTTGCAAATATTCTAAATTACGCCAGGAACCATTACGCGGATCCACGAGTTTTCCTAACCGATACTCAATTGACGGTGGTTTTAATAATCGTGTTGGTACCTTTACGAATTGATTAGCGATACTAATTCCAAACTTTTGTAACAGTACATCGTTGTTATGCAAAAAATATTGGAGCTTTTCCATTATTTTCCTTTTTCGTTCATCAGTCGATGTGGCAGCGAACTTAATCATCTTTTGAACTTGGACCTTGCCATCTTTTTTCTTAAAAACGAAAATTTTAGATATATAGGTTGTGAGTTTTAATAAATCGTCATCGTTATTCATCTATATTTGTATTTTTTTTCTAACCTGGCATTGAATTTTACTTACCCTAATTGCTTGCCCAGGTTCAATACTGCATAGCTCGATCGGTAGATAATTTGGTCTTACTGAAGATCCTGCTACAACACAATTTAAATGAGGATATCTTAGCTTGTAGCCGCGACTAGCGAAGTAACTCTGAACCGTTAATTTCTCTCCAGTGTCAATTTTAAAAGACAAAGAACTTGCCGATTCTCTGCTAACTTCGTTTACTTTATAAGAACGTGGTGCAGCACCAAAAGAAGGTGGGGGACTGTAAATTACTTTTAGAGCTCTTAGGTGACCACTAAGATTTTGTAAACCCCGTTGATCTAAAGTGCGGCCTACATCAATGCGCAACACATTCAACAGATCAATTAAATTTAAGGCCATTGGAAATGACTTATTTGAAATATCAACATTTAAATAAGGCACATCGCCTAAAATGGCTGCCTGGTAAAGTCCAGTATATAACTCATAACCTCCATCCAGATCTAATGTGTGATTAGGTCGTGTGAAGAAGGAACGACCGACGCGTATGCTCTTTTGTTGACAACCATTTGCTAAAATAACCTCAAGACATTGTAGAGCACGCATTGGCTTGTCGTAAATCCGCTCATTACGGTAACTGAAATAGAAAAGATTAAATATTACAAAAAACTGAAATGATTATAATAATTATAAACGAGATAAAAAACCCGATTAATCTCGGACTTACGTTCGTAGCGAACCCAAATCAATTTCAATGTTGTCTGTGGGTTTAATCGCAATTTTAAACTGAATTTGTCGTGCAGCGGAATCCGTAATCTGCACATAAAAATAAATAATATTTGTACATATAAAGGTAATGTATATGTGTGTAATATTATTACCGTTACATCGCCTTCATAAACTGGTTTTGGTAAATTTTCTAACATGTAACAACTCTTTACTCCATCGAATCCAGCGAAATGACCTGGCAAATAAGTATTCATGAACTGTGTAAAGGCATTTCGGAAAAATTTTTTAGGACGATCTGGAGTAATAGTGACATCATAATGGTAAGCCTTATTGGGCATTTTACTTAAGTCCATCGTTAAATAGTTGGCTTCAGCTTCCCCCTTGATACCTAGAGTACCAGGTGATATGCTGTTTTGAGAAAGAGTGGACGAAAGCGATGCAGAAGATGACGAATGTGAAACGCTTGATTGACGTGTTGGAGTTTGCTGTGGGCTCTGCTGCTGCTCCGAATCTTGTTGGTGTTGTGGTCGGGTTTGTTGCTGCTGTGGACCTTTTTGGTGTTGTGGTCGGGTTTGTTGCTGCTGTGGACCCTTTTGGTGTTGTGGTCGAGTCTGCTGCTGCTGTGGACCTTGTTGTTGCTGTGGTCGGGTTTGCTGCTGCTGTGGGCCTTGTTGGTATAGTGGTCGGCTTTGCTGCTGTGGACCCTGTTGGTATTGTGGCCCGGTTTGCTGCTGTGGACCCTGTTGGTATTGTGGCCCGGTTTGCTGCTGTTGGTATTGTGAACGTTCATGTTGCTGGTCCTTGTTGTTGCCATGGTCGGGTTTGCTGCTGCTGTGGGCCTTGTTGGTATTGTGGTCGGCTTTGCTGCTGTGGACCCTGTTGGTATTGTGGCCCGGTTTGCTGCTGTTGGTATTGTGAACGTTCATGTTGCTGTGGTCCTTGTTGTTGCCATGGTCGGGTTTGCTGCTGCTGTGGGCCTTGTTGGTATTGTGGTCGGCTTTGCTGCTGTGGACCCTGTTGGTATTGTGGCCCGGTTTGCTGCTGTGGACCCTGTTGGTATTGTGGCCCGGTTTGCTGCTGTTGGTATTGTGAACGTTCATGTTGCTGTGGTCCTTGTTGTTGCTGTGGTCGGCTTTGCTGCTGCGGACCTTGTTGTTGCTGTGGTCGGCTTTGCTGCTGCTGTGGTCCTTGTTGTTGCTGTGGTCGGGACTGCTGCTGTGGTCCTTGTTGTTGCTGTGGTCGGGACTGCTGCTGTTGTTGCCTTTGCTGCTGTTGTTGCTGCTGGGGACCTTGTTGGTGTTGTTGCCGATTTTTTTTTAAAAGTAACAAAATTATAATTCTTTGAGTAATACATAATTTTTATCTCAGTTTAAGAATTTTAGACAAATTACGTAATTTACAACTACATACTTGTATATGGTAGTTGCGTTCACGCAAATAGTAGTGCAACAGCTTCTTATACCATATTTAAAAATTGTTTCTAACATATATATACTGACTTGCTAAGTCAACAACCGTGATTATTTTGGTAGAAGCTGTCTTTTCGCATGACGCATTTTTGTATTTTATAAATTAAACAGGTAAGGAAAGGCTAAGTTCGGGTGTAACCGAACATTGCATACTCTTGCAACTTTTAATGTTGCGAAAGAATTCAACATTCATTACTCGACAAAATCGGAAATGAATTTGATATCTTATTAAGTTATATTATAGTGCATAGACTCAGTTAGTTTTGTAACAACTTAATGTTACTTGCCGTCAGCGATATTACTATATTAAAATCATCCTCAAATGTGATTTAATATAGATCGAAATTGATGATATTAGGGTTATGAGATTAAGACCAAGGTCTAGGCTAGTGGTTTGTTAGAGTAATGGAAATTGTTATACATATGTAGTATAATAAAATTTCACATATTTTCGGCAAGGTTAAAAGAATATTATACATTCAATTAATTTTGCTAAGATCTCTTACATATTGAGCGATATATAGTAAACGTTATAATATACATATATACGGAAGTTTGAAAATCTTTTATTAGGTATATAGGATATTGACAATATTTTATCTATTTTTGGCATTTATTCATATTACAAATAAAAACAGTTGCTCTCTAAATTTCATTTCCCACAACCTCAGGAGTAAAGTCAACCGGATGTTTGAAAATCCTGATATTAGTTAGTTTAATAAAGGCTAGTGCAAGCTTTCACTCGATTTTTACCATTTTAGGCACAGCGAAGCACAGTTAGGAGAAAAACACGCTCACTCAATTTAATTTGGATAACACACATATTGGCCGATATAGGAGGTATAACGACAGCAGGAAAACCGAAAATCTTTCTATTAAGTATATGAGCTAAGGGAAATATTCATTCGATTCAATCTACTTTTGACATACAGACATACAATATTATTATGAAGAAAGGATTTTCTCATAATTTCAATAATATATCTCCCACCTTGACCGATAGTTTTTGTAGAGGCAGCCATAGGCTCTGGGGTCCACATTTCCGGTATCTGGGGGCCGATTTTGACAATTTTGACAAAACCTGAAATGGCATACCATAAAGGCAATATTCGTGCTAAGTTTTATCCCAAAACGTTAATCGGTGCTTAATTTGTATACTGGAAAGTGAAAATATCAGATGGAATTTAAAGTTGTGTTATATGGAAGGTAGGTTGGTCTAGAAGGTCCGGAGATATGTAATTTCACTCAAAAGTGGGCAGGATGCTCATCGCCTCTCATACCATCTCGGGTGTAAAATTTTATATCTCTGGCGCATTTAGTAGATTTATCGTACTATTAGTAGTTTTTAACAAAACAATTGATTGATTGAGTGTGGTTATCATCAGATTTCACCTATTTTCAAGCTGGCGCAAGAAATGTCGAAATGTTTGTACTGTGGAAATTTTTGGTAAATAATGAATTGTTGGGGAGATATATACATTAAACCTAGTAGGGGGTGTAGCCACGCCCTCTTATTAAAATGATTCAAACCACAGGTGCCGTTATTGTTACGATTCGTTGTACCAAATTACAGTTTTGTATCTTAATTTGCGGCTTAGTTATGGAATTTATTGGTTTTCGATTAATGGCGTTTTGTGGGCGTGGCAGTGGTCCGGTTACGCCCATCTACTATGGAATTATATATATATAAATGATCAGTATGACGAAACGAGTTGAAATCCGGATATCTTGAATAAAAAAAAAACAGTTACACTTGCACAGACAGACGGACGGACCGTCCCCACGACAGTCGAATCTACGTAACCGGAACGGACCCGGATTTTTATCCGGCCAAGGACTGTCAACTCGGCAGAATTCTGGCGCTTCAGAGAATCGAAGCTATAGATACAGCTTCACACTGATATGCATTGGTATAAAATACAATTAAAAAGCGGAAATTTGCGGGGAAAAATGTAAAAAAAAATATGCATATTTGAGAACAGACAGATTATACGATATGTTAAAATATGCCCTTAAAAGTTATTTTAAAAATAAATTTTTTAGGATTGTCGGTTACTACTCTTACAAATCGTAGGAGACTATTTGAAAACAATTAAAAAAAAGGGTCCCCAGAAAGTACCGCTTTTGACTAAGAAACATGTGGATAAAATCCGGGTCCGTTCCGGTTACGTAGACCCACTGTCGTGGGAACGGTCAAGGAGTGTGGACTCAAATCCCCATGAAAGGTTTTCAGGATCTAGTAGACTCTATGGAACGTCAGTGTGTGAATGTATTGAAAAATTGAGGTTTTACAACCAGTTTTAGTCAGTCGAAATCATTTACTGAAACTTTTATTGTTAATTGGTTTTTTTTTTAAATATTATAATAGAAGTAGCTAGAAATTACTTTTAAAATTTGAATTCGTAGTTTGTATTTTTAATTTAAATTTTTGTTTGTTTTATAGTTAGAACCCATCAGCACTACTATTTTCATGAACACAGCTGTATGTCAATTAAGTTTTTTAATATGAATATGTTAAAATTCTCTATTCGGGGAAGTCCCCAAATATCTAGACAAGAGTGATGAGTATGGAACAGCATACCATAAATACAGATACATATTAGCAAAATTTTGAAGATTAGTAATTATATATTTACGTTTTTGTTGAGGTTCAGATTGCTTTGATTGCGATGTGCCAGGTTGTTGTTCGGGCTCTAGACAAAAGTTATGAGTATGGAACATACCATAAATATAGATACATATCAAAATTTTTAAGATTAGTAATCATATATTTACTTTTTTGTTTAGGTTCAGATTGCTGTGGTTGAGATGTGCCAGGTTGTTGGTCGGGCGGTCCACCAGCTTCAGACTTTTTATTTTCTGTGACAGATCGTACGATATTTTCAATGGAATTTCACAACATAAAAAAGCAATCTGTATACGTATGCGTATAAGTACGTAGGTATATAAAACTTACTATTTTTTCTCCCCATTTTTATCTATCTTTTCTATAACTTCCAAACAGAACTTCTTTATATATTTATATTCTTTGAAAACTTTATCAAATTTACACCTACTTTCAAATTTGATTTATTTTTGCTTCGCCTGTAAGTATTACGATGAGTGCTGCGAAAATTTTTCAACTCAATTGTAATTTCTGCCTAGTGTGTATACCATCACGTATGAGAGATGCCAGATTTAACCAAAAAGAGAAAATTAACAAACATCAGATTCTTATTAAAAGTGGCCATACACGGCACTCATGTGCGTTCGACCGGTATATTCGCAAGAGAGATTTACTCTTGTATGGATTTGTGTGCATACGAGTCTATGTTGACGAAAATTTTCAATTTTTTACGATCGGTGTGCCTACAAGTATGTCGTTTGGAAAACAAAAAGCAACAAAATTAAAGTAAAATTTAATAGAAAAAATAAATTTTGGGATATTTATTGTCTAAATACAGTCAAATACATAAAAATGATATTCTAATAAGTTTATAGGAGATTTATAAAAAATACCACTGAAATATCCACTTGATTTTGGCACATGCTTTCTTATGGAAGGACGAATGTTGTTGTTGTTGTAACGGTTACCTATTGGAAGGACGAACGCAAAATGGATATATATGTTGTGTACGGCGAAAAGATTTCATATCGATCGAAAACTCGAATGTTTCGTGTATGGCTATTTTAAGTGGAGCCACCCAAACAATATAAGAAATTGGTAAGTATATAATATATATAAGAGGATGTGTCAATTAAACAAAAACAAATTGCACTATGCCGCCATGTAGTGACGGAATTCTTTTGAGTTGAAAAGTAGAAGCATAGAACAATATGTTCATTTTAAACAAAAACGGAAATACCTTTGTTAATTCGTGAAATTAGCTTATATTAATAGTTTTTGGTGAAAAAGTTGTAGTGAAGTAAATAGAAGAATGTTAAATGCTCCCAAAAATTTGAAAAATCTTTTACTATGATTTCACCTGAGTACAACATACCCGTTATTAACATATGTTTCACTATCAACTAATAAATTAAGTATATTTCCCGAATTAACAAAAGTGTTTACGTTTTTGTTTACAATTTACATGCTGTTCTATGCTTCTTCTTCTCAACTCATAAGAATTAAGTCACAACATGGCGACTGGCGTAATCTTGTATTCTATCTTTCTTGTTGACAATTCATACTTAAACCAGAGAATGTTAATAATGTTCTCAGCTCATAACAAAGCATACATTGAAGTTTTCGGTCAAAGCAAATGTCGGACGCAAAGCTAAGCAAAAGTTCTATGTGAATCAGCCATTAGAATTAAATCATTTTGTCCTTTGATTTAATGTTTCGAAACAATTGTGTATGAAACTACATTTCTAGAAACATTTTTATTGCAAATTTTGTCTTTATTATATTTTATTCTTAAATTATACGTCAATTACCACAGAGCTCCTACAAATAACAACACTACCCGAAACTTTAACGTATGTACATGTGATCGCTCGATACCGTTTTACGTATACAACGCAATAGTCCGACCGCCCCCAAATTGCACAGCTCTAATATGAACGTCTAGAACATTACACCTCCCTCAATTTCCAGTTTACAAACCAGAGTAATCCCTGCGTATATTGTAGTTGTCCTTTTAGATATTATAGATATTAAATATTACTTATTTAGACTAGGCCCCGCATAACACATAACACCTCTTACGCAATCAAGTCTACTCATTGGTCGGTTGGGCGGGGGAGGATAATCATTGGGTTATTAACCCGCTAGATAACTTGGTTGACAATTATCCTATCTTACCTCCTAAATAGGGCATAAATGAACGCCACAAAAATATCAGTAGTCCAATTCAAAACCAAGATCTTCAGAGTGTAAGTATCACGTGTATCAAGAGCCATGGAGAACTTGGATTAACCAATATTATTATTGAATGCCACGAACATATTTGATTATAAACCATGGAATTTCTTCATTCACGTCACCCTAGCATCTATTACTAATGCCACCACCACTTAATGGTCCACTTAATTAATAATGTCCAATTTAAAATAGCCCTATATTTATTTAAAACCAAATACCTACATATATACACACAAATGTATAAATATGTATGTGCATACAGTACCTACGCATATAAAAAAAGGATGAAGTACTCTGGTGTTATCTTAACTGCTTTTGATTAAACAGAAACTTTCTTTGTATTATTCCAAGAAAGCTTTTAAAAAAGCTTGTTTTTAACAAAATTCACTATAAATACAACAATAGACTCATTTATATCAAAAGTATCCGACGGAAATATTCATATAATTAATATATTAGTAAACAAGGCAACGGTTAGAAGACGTTCTGATTCCTTTTTGTAGTATTTGTATGAAACCAAAATAATGATATTAGTATCGCTACTGTTAGTATATTTTTTTTCTACTGTGACTGTCCTATCCCAGTCTCAATCGGATGGCTGTCTATATAACCTCCCAATGCCGACAAAGCCTGATCCTGAGGATTGTGTTGGATATTTTGCACTCTACGATAATGAATATGTACAACAGTATTGTCCACCAGGTGCAAAGTACAGCGACGCTTTGAGTTGCTGTATAATAGGGCGTTGTCCCCCTTGCAATTGTCAAGCAACAACCACAATCTCGTCAGACTCTACAACTTCTGGACATGATTGTAGTAGTATCGAAACAACTTCTGGTACTACCAGCAATACAATAAGCGACTTCACAAATGATTACACTGATGAAACAACAAGTTCCTCTTTTGAAGATAGCAGTACTGAATTGCCTCAATCGTCTACGACAAGTTCGAGTCCAACGGATTATTCCACTGATAGTGAAGACACAACTGAAACAACACTTATTGCAACTGCTTCAGATTTCACAATAGAGGTCTCCAGTGAAACACCAACCAGCCAGGAAACTTCGACAATGACAAGTACGACCAATGGCTATCCTGAAACATCTCCAACTGTTACCACTGATTCCACGACAAATAGTAACAACACTACAACATCAGCTACACCTCCCGGAGGGGAATCAACTGCTGAAGGTACCACAACTGATTCAGCTGTGACTAACTCAACGGAAGGTACTACGGGCTTTACAACGAAAATTACATCCTCAACTCCTACCATAACTGATTCTACTCCCGCTGTCTCCTCCTCTACATATGAAACAACAACAACTGGCACAACGCCACCATCATGCGCAAACTTAAACACAGGAACGTTCCTTCCTGATCCAGTTGACTGCAACCGTTATTATGTATGCAGTTATGGAGAAGCTATACTGATGCATTGCCCGCCGACACTTTGGTTTGATGTAAAGCTAGACGTTTGTAACTATCCTGAAAAAGTAACATGTGATGCGAGTGGTCGTCCTGAACCATCTCCAAATGTTACAACGACAACTACAGTCATAACTCCTACCATTACGGATTCAACTTCAGCTGTGACTAACTCAACGGAAGGTACTACGGGTCTTACAACGAAAACTACATCCTCAACGCCTGCCATAACTGATTCAACTTCAGCTGTGACTAACTCAACGCAAGGTACTACGCGGCTTACAACGAAAACTACATCCTCAACGCCTACCATAACTAATTCCACTCCCGCTGTGTCCTCCTTTACATATGAAACAACAACAACTGGCACAACGCCACCATCATGCGCAAACTTAAAAACAGGAACGTTCCTTCCTGATCCAGTTGACTGCAATCGTTATTATGTATGCAGTCATGGACAAGCTATACTGATGCATTGCCCGCCGACACTTTGGTTTGATGTAAAGCTAGACGTTTGTAACTATCCAGAAAAAGTAACATGCGATGCGAGTGGTCGTTCTGAAACATCTCCAAATGTTACAACGACAACTACAGTCATAACTCCTACCATAACTGATTCAACTTCAGCTGTGACTAACTCAACGGAAGGTACTACGGGCTTTACAACGAAAACTACATCCTCAACGACTACCATAACTGATTCAACTTCAGCTGTGACTAACTCAACGGAAGGTACTACGGGTCTTACAACGAAAATTACATCCTCAACGCCTACCATAACTGATTCTACTCCCGCTGTCTCCTCCTCTACATATGAAACAACAACAACTGGCACAACGCCACCATCATGCGCAAACTTAAAAACAGGAACGTTCCTTCCTGATCCAGTTGACTGCAACCGTTATTATGTATGCAGTTATGGACAAGCTATACTGATGCATTGCCCGCCGACACTTTGGTTTGATGTAAAGCTAGACGTTTGTAACTATCCAGAAAAAGTAACATGCGATGCGAGTGGTCGTCCTGAAACATCTCCAAATGTTACAACGACAACTACAGTCATAACTCCTACCATAACTGATTCAACTTCAGCTGTGACTAACTCAACGGAAGGTACTACGGGTCTTACAACGAAAACTACATTCTCAACGACTACCATAACTGATTCTACTTCAGTTGTGACTACCTCAACGAACGGTACTACGGGTCTTACAACGAAAGCTACATCCTCAACGCCTACCATAACTGATTCCACCCCGGCCATATTTTCCTCTACATTTAAAACAACAACAACTGGTACAGTATCACCGTCATGCGCAAACTTGAAAACAGGTACGTTCCTTCCTGATCCAGTTAACTGCAACCGTTATTATGTATGCAGTTATGGACAAGCTATACTAATGCGTTGCCCGCCGACACTTTGGTTTGATGTAAAGCTAGACGTTTGTAACTATCCAGAAAATGTAACATGTGATGCGAATCAGGGCTGATGCTGACTTTTGTGAGCATATGTCAATATTACATACATATGTACATATATATTATTTTTTCCTAATTGAAGTCAATTAATTAATAAATGATGTTAAGTGTTAAGAAATATAATTACTGAGTAAAATTATTATTTTCTGAACTCATTAACCTCGACAAGATGTTATTGGTAAAAATTATGTGCGAATGTGCAAAACTAAATGCTTCAATTCTTGAATAACTTATATTTAAGTATGTATGTCTTATGTATTCGAGTATGCACATATGTAGACACAGTTTCTGCTGTGGCTATGAACTCTACTCAAGAGTCTTTTTTGTCAAATATGGACGTCCAGAAATTATTCTGAAGAGGGAGTCTAATATGATATATAACATAAAAATGAACTAGCATATTCAAATGTATATAATAAATATAATATTTCTAAGTACAAATGTAAATAAAAAATGAAAGATTTACTCGAGGGACGGATTTTTGTTTGTACAACTCCATTCAAAGTTTCATTTGGCCAATTTTGTTCGCTCCCGAGCAGAAGAACTAATTTCACCAAACTGTTAGTAATATATGGTAAGTAATGATGAACAGTTGATAAAGAGAAGAAAATTGATTTTATTAAAAGGTATTGATTGTACATAATATACATATGTTGAAAACTTCCGTTATGATCGACCTTAAAACGTACAAATGTATGTAATAAAGTTAATGTTCACTCAGACTCTGCATTCAGTTAATAGAAGTTCGTGAAGTTGAAAAGAATTGTGTTGAGATAAAATAGATAGTGCTTAATAAAAATAAAAGGAATACAGATATTAATAATTAGAATAAATTGTTGCAATTTTTTGGTTTTAAATTTTGAATAAAATGCAGAAAACGCTGTATCAAATTATTTTAATTGTATTAATTTTCCTGCTACCTTACTTACGTATAACAAACGCGGAAATATTTGAAGAATGCGAAAATGAGCCCGAAGACACATTTGTAAAGAGCTTACAGAGTTGTCAAATGTATATATATTGTAATGGTGATGATTCCTATTCAGGCGAATGTGATGAAGGACAATATTTCGATGGTGATGCTTGTGATGACGAGGAAAATGTTTATTGCTTTTTGGATGACGCCGGCGAGTTAGATCCGGCGGACCCGGTTGAACCCGAAGAGCCGGTAGAAACTGCGGCACCTTTTACAACGAGACCAACCGTTACAACAACGACCCAATCTCCACAAACAACCACCAATAATGATTTCAGTACAAGCACTTTAGTACCGATTGTCGTTGCGCCAATAGTAAGGGATCAGTGTCCCATTGTTGAGGATTCACAAACAATCGTTTTCACGGCAAACACTGAGTCCTGCACAGACTATTATCTTTGTTATCATGGCCAAGCTATTGAAATGCGCTGCACGGATAACTTACACTTCAATATACATACCGCTAAATGTGATTTTCCCGAAAATGTGCAATGCATGGTGAGTGTTCAAACATACTACTTTGTAGTAAAATATGTACACTCGAAGTTACAAAAACATAACTTATTCTTAGTCTAGATTAAATATCCAATGTTAATTAGTTTGAGAAAGTATTCAAGCGCTCGTACCCATTCAGCTTCTTCAAGCCAATTACCTAAACTTAGCTGACCATTCGCCCCGAGTTAAGCGTCCCGGCCGTCCCGGGCTTCGAAATTAAAAAAAAAATGAATTGAGCAAAATTGTATTGCTCTCTCACCTATTATATGTCGCGATTTTCAGTGAATTATAATATGGAAAAAATCGATGACTTAAAAAAAAACCGTTTCAAATTTTGTCGGAACAAATATGATCACCCAAATCTAAACCGATATTTATTCTAATAGTCTACAACTGACAGAATTTGCAATGACCAATGATTTTGAACATTTAAGTTCGGCGTACTAATTGCTATTATAGCATTAATATATATGCACATTCAAAATTCATTTCAGATCGATCGACCTAATGCGAATAAGTGCTTGCCACATGTCACCGACTTCTTTCCGCATCCACAAAAGTGTAATTATTTCTATTACTGCATCAAAGGTTTTCTAACGGTACAGCAATGCCCTTTTTACTACGGATGGGACATTGAAAGGCGTGCTTGTGTGCTACTTGGCCAGGCAAAATGTTTTGAAGGAGCGAGGCGAACATAAAAATGGTTGACTAAAATCGTTAATAAAACTATAATACATACAATACAAAGTAGCTATACAGATATATATGTGCGTATATAGTACATATATACAGGCGTACTTTTTTCAATATCGATATTAACAATTGCCTAAAATAATAATTAATGAATGCTTAGATTACACATACATATGTATGTACAATATATATTGTGTGTGCAAAAGCAGTAATTTTAATACATGCCTATATGTAAATAAGAACAAATAGTTCGAATTTTGTTAGATAAAATAATTGAAATGCATGTCAAGTTAACTATTCGCAAGTATTCTGACGGATCGCTAACTATTAGTCATTCCGATGGAATTTAATTTTAGTAGAGTGGCCGTTACGTTTAATTTATAGAAACATATCGACATTTTCTATTTTTCTGTATTGCATTTGCAATCAAAGTGAAATTCAATACATACGTGACACTAGATAACAGCCAGTTGATAAGCGCCGTCAAGGCTTGTCGTGGAATTCGCGTACATACAAACTCTTACATACAAGTATGTTTACATATGGACGTAAGTATGTATGTAAGAAGTTAGTTTGCAGTAAAACATCGCGTTAGTAAAAAAAAGCTTCTAGTTTGAAATTGAACTAGTTCGAAATTGAACTAGTTTGAAATTGAACTAGTTGGAAAAGGCCAGTTTCATATGGTGAGCTATAGTATTTCACTGCAACAATTTTATCAAGTTAAGTACAATAAATGAAATAATAAATTAATTTGAAACATTTTATCGTGGCTTTATTTGCTTACATTGCTTAATTTTATAATACTCAACTAGCGGTTTTGTTTCATAACTTTGTGGGTCAGTTTTAGAATCGTTTGGAACTACTAACTTTCTGATAGAAATCGAATAATTGAGATTGCGTAGGGCATCACCATGTAAACGTAAAACAGTTATTCGTTGTATGTAAAGAAGTAAGTTAGCTAACTATTTGGACTCTTAACTCATAATAGTTGTAAAGTAGCCTACCAAAAAATACATGTAAATATATTTTACCTTAGATAGTATAACCTACTTCAGATTACACAATCAGTAACGGAAGTACTTGAGAAAATAATCTATACCTAGGTATACATATATATGTATACAAATGTATATTAACTTTAAACAACCTCTTAGATAAAGAGCAAATTGCAAAGAGTGGATAATTAAAATTACATATTGCTACAATTTATTAAAGTTTACTTAACGCTGCAGTTACACGCTCAAGAAATTGCTTTCAAGTTGATCACACAAACTACTTGTGAAAATTGATCTAAATTGACAGCCGTGACGTAGGCTGCAGCAAATTAATCAAATCAATAATAGTTTCAGGATACCGTTGGCATGGAAATCGCTTAAAATTCTTGAAAATTTTGCACGAAGTGAATATAACAAAATATTTATATCCCGACAATTGCATGCAGTATGCTTGCAAAACTATGTGATCAGCTTTAACTTCATCGTCAATGGGGCAAGGCTTGAATAGAAAAATTGATATCAAGACGGCGTTCAAGTTCGAAAGGTGAGAGTGTTGGTGCAGAAAAGTGTGAGAGTATTGCAATTTGAATTTATTTGTGCTTGTTGATACGCCCAAACAGAGATAAAGAGAAGCCCAACTCATCTCTCACTGGAATGGAGAGCGCAATTGCTAAACGTCAAAACCTCCTGAACTCAGGAAACTGTCAAAGTTCACGAGGTCTGACGTTTTGCAATTGGAAAAAGAGGGACGGCCAGATTGAAATCCTACTTAGTGCTTGGTATTATTAATTTTCAATTGAAAATTAAAAAAAAAAAAAAACATTTAATAGTTGAGAGCTAATACATTTATTATTTTGATTAAGTATTGAAAGTTCAAAAATCAATTGATTTAATATATTACAAAATCTCAAAAAAGGGTTTAAATAGTTTCTGCATATGTTTAACGGAAACATGTATAATAATATTTAATCTTAATAAATGTTGGGTATTTTAATTTAAATTCCCAAAAATTATGCTATATTGCCATATCAGGCAGAAAATTGTTGACAATACCGCTACCTATGAGACGTAATGAAATTTGACACTTCGAGAAAGATGGCGAAGACGTACTAATCGACTCTACAGTGCCGCGAAAAATGATTGAATGCAGAATGGGGTTTCAACGTGAAAAGATGCATTATACCATGTTCATCGCCAGATCGAGGAGTAAGATCGATCATCAAGGCATAAGATCATAGATACTTACGCGGGCTTCTTGATATTATTCGACAAATGAGGCGGCTTATAGGATGCCTAGTTCACAAATTTGGACTAAGATCACTCAGTTTTTGAACATATGAAACTGTTTGTACTTTATCATGTGGACTATAAGAAAATCTCCTAAATCCTTTAATGCCTCATACATATGCGTATGGCTAGTAAAGCTAACTGCTACTATCACTACTATACGTAATACTGCTGTTACATACAAGTACATAGTATAATTTCGAAGGGCATACATATTCTTGTAGATGAAGAAAACTCAGATTATTGTAAATTAAAAACATGTCATTGGCCATATGCAGATAGCACACTTTTTGCCAAGTTATTATTTCTTGTATGTTCATACATACGTACAGCTATGAAGGTATTTGTATGCATAAACGTATGTTTAGAAGAATTGAAGTTTATTGAAATCACTCAACACTCTGCAGACAATCTACATACGGCATCATTTCATAATATTCAAACAGCATCGAAATGAATGCCTTTGACACCACTCGCCTATATATCGTTATGAATAAAAATTGTTTAGTTGTTTCTTACACATCATCCAAATAACACCAAATATATATTTATACATCTGGGCGATTGGAAAAATATCTAAAAACTATTTTATAGAAATAATAAAGATGTCTAGTCGCCAATGGTATTATAAAATCAACGTGTTTTTTATATGCTCTTTCATAATTGGCGTTCATAGCGACATCTATGAAGCATGCGAAAATAAACCAAATTACGCATTTATAGGCAGCAATACGTCTTGTCGACATTACATCTACTGTGCCGGTGCCGAATCCTATGAGGGCGAATGCGCAGATGGCGATTATTTTAATGAATTGTTGCAAACGTGTGATCCCGAGGATCTGGTCAATTGCGAACTTTTCAACACAAGCAGCTCCAGCTCCAATCAAACGGCACCCAACCAAGCTACAACGATCACAACAACCAATACATCATTTTCTTCTACAGCAATAGCAACAAGTGATATCCCCATATTAAACTCGTCAGCACCAATACAAACTGCGCTCAGCGAGATGAACTCTGATAATACCAGCACCACAAGTGCGATAGGTGGATCTATTACAACTTCAATGGCGCCGCCCGTAACAGGTGTTGATATGGTCATAATAATATCAACTGATTGTCCGTTAATGGATAATCCATATCAAATGATTTTCGTGCCACATCCGAAATCTTGTTCAGATTATTTTATTTGTTATCGCGGCAAACAATTGGCAATGCACTGTTCTTCTATGCTACATTTCAATGCCAATACAGGGAAATGTGATTATGCGGAGAACGTTGGGTGTCGAGTAAGTGTTTAGAGTTTTGGTCAATTGACAGTCGATATTGTCAACGTATTTGTACAATCGTTTAATGGTGGTGGCAAGATAGTTTTGATTTTCAGTTATTTCTTTTAGCTTATGTTTTATATTAAAATCGGTGCAAGTATTTTTTTCTTTATCGCTTATTTTACGTATTAATAAAATGAAATGACCTTTCATGCCATATTTACAGACTGGTTTCAGCAATCCAAGAGAGCAATGCCAGCTATATACGACCGATTTGTATCCTCATGCCACGAATTGCAACTACTTCTATTACTGTCGCAATGGATATCTTTTGCTGCAGCAATGCCCTTTTAATTATGGCTGGGATTTCGAACGACGTGCTTGTACGGCGCTTCAGGAAGCAAGTTGTTACAACAAAAAAATAATGCAATTATTTTAAGAAAATGTATTTGTAATATTACTTTTATGTAATAAAGTTATATTTTAAATTTTTTGCGTTTATATGTTCCATATGCTTGTGCAACTAAGAATTTTAGAGCGTTAAATTTTTTAGAATTTTACCGAATTTTTGAAATAAATGCAAAAATTGAATTTGAAATATACATAAATATGTATATTCATATCTATATTAATAAATGGTAAGTGAACATCATGGACAATATCGGCCAGCCACAACTTTCAGCTACATTTCTCTGTCTTTTATTCGGTTATGCAATTTTTGTTTTGAAAATAAACAGATCTTTTTACTATAATAAAAAGGACTACGCTCAAATTAAGAACAGATGCATATAACTAATTTACATGGATTGAAACATATGTATATATGTACAGGGTTTTCCAATAAAAGTGATATGATTTTTCAAAAAAAAAGCACACTAATTGTTAAGGACATTCAAATATTTTTCATTTAAGGTGAAGTACAATCGATACAATTAAGTTTTGAATATAACATCATTCAAAGGCCTCCACGACTTCCTTTGCAGAAACGACTTCTTCCACTAAATCAAGTCGTATGTCATGAGTAGCACTTTCAATATTGACTTCTAAAGCTTGAAGAAACTTCGGTTTATTGCTAAAGACCAATGACTTTAAATAACCGCACAAGCAGTAGTCTAATGGTGTGAAATCACAACTTCTTGAAGGTCATTCAATGTCACAATTTTTTGAAATTATCGAATCTTCAAACTTTTCTCGCAATAATTCGGTTGCTGCACGTGCTGTGTGGCACGTAGCCCCATCTTGTTGGAGCTAGATGTTGTCAAAAGCAACTTCTTCCAATTGCGGCCATAAAAACTTGGTTATCATCGTTTTATAACGCTCTCCATTGACAGTAACGGTGTCACCAGCTTCATTTCGAAAGAAGTAGGGACCGATGTAATGGTAGTTCATCAAGAATTTGTGGATTTTCTTCGCACCAGAATCGACAAAAGGCAAACTTCATAAATCCAGAACATAGACAGACTCAGCAAAAGCGGAATTGCTATTAAACGTAATTCAAATGATTTATGTAAATGTATTTACCATTTGTGTTACTGTGTGAATTTTTTTGATATTTGAATATTCAACGGAAATTGAAATGTCGTAAAGCGCAATTCTCTTTTGCCGATATTACCCATGATATTATCTTATTTTGAACGCATGATGTCGATGAATATAATCGTACATATGTATGGGCATTACCTGTAGGTAATTTGTAAGGATACTAACACTAATGCACATTCATATGCATATTAGATAGGCGCACATGCATACATATTTAAATTAACTCGCTACTGTTATAGCTATATGTACACCTTAATTAATAACAAAAGGTATAATATGAATGTATGTATGTATGTTGAAATATCTTTTGCTTGGGTCTCAAAACTGAACATAAAGTTAGAATATTTCATGTGGTGCAGTAAAAAGCACGCAAACTCACTCATAAAGAGCCATTTCTGCGTAGTTGGAAAGTGAAAATGCCGATGAAGCCGCTAAAAGGTAAAACTTATTTAGTGAATGAAAATTTCAAATCAATTCAAAATTTTTTACTTTTTATCACTGATATAGTTATGTACATTTGCTTAGCATGGGCAACAATAATACAACAGACCCATTCCATAACACACACCAATAAATGGCGTCAAAATAATATTTGCTTAAACCACACAGCTGGAGAATTCGATAGAAATCCCGATGATTGTCGATCATTCTACTTGTGTTTGGAAAATGGGCAGGCAGTGATGGCTCCTTGTCCGCCGACAATGCTTTTCAATTCAGTCAGTAAACTTTGCGACACTGCCGAAAATGTCAATTGTGACATTACAATACCCAATGCTAGTAATAACAATAACACTAATAGTAATAGTAATAATAACGGTAACACCGATGATAATGACAACAGTGAAGCTTTAAGTGCTTCTCGATATTGTGCCTCACAGCAAAGTGAACAAAATCGCATCGTTTTCGCTGGCAGCAATAGCAATTGCCAGCAATACTTTATATGTTATTATGGGCAGGCAGTGTTGCAGGAATGCAGTGCCAACTTACACTGGAATGTGGAAACCGATAAGTGTGATTTGCCTGAAAAAGCTGGTTGTCAGTTGTGGAACGGCGACGTTGGTATCGCTGAATACGCACCCGTGAATGGTAATGGGAATAATGCCAATAACGCTGATGCGCTATCAAATGGAAGTCAAAATGGTGAACAAGCCACTGTTGCTGAACTAATCAATTGTCCAATATATGGACAACATATATTTCCACACATGTCGCGTTGTGAGTATTTTATTTACTGTGTCAAAGGACATGCCATGTTGCAGCAATGTCCGTTTTATCACAATTTCGATATTGTGTCGAAAAGCTGTAAATTTCGCACGATCGCAGTTTGTGTTCGAGATTTAAATATTAATTTTAATAAATTAATTGCGAAATACTAAGCTGTAATCAGTAAACTCTTTCATATTTAAAAGGAAAGCTCAAAATGATCACCTGTAGAATACTTATGGGTGTATGTACAATATATTCTTGTCATGATTAAAAACATATGGTAACTATGTGTATGTATGTACGCGTGTGTGTGTGTGTACGTACGAGGGATATATGCTGTGAGCTTGTACACTACTAATAATAATTGAAAAAAATTCACTGCACTAATATTAGTGCACATTTAAGTTAAATATCTCCGGATTTTTAATCATTATACTCTTGCAACATGTTGCACAGAGCATAATAGTTTTGTATACCTAACGGTTTTTTGTATCACCTAAAACTGATCGAGTTAGATATATAACCCATATATGACATATATGTATATATGCATATATAAGTGATCAGAATGATAAGAGAAGTTGAAATCCGTGTGACTGTCTGTCCGTCCGTCCGTGCAAGCGATAACTTGAGTAAAAATTGAGATATCTTGATGAAACTTGGTACACGTGTTCCTTGGCACCCAAGGGGGAAAGCCTATAAAATGACATAACTAAGCACTAAATTAAGATACAAAACTGTAATTGGTTGTTGGTGCAAGAAATCGCAGTGGTTAGCGGCACTTATCGGACTATAACTTTTCAAGGAACCAGACACCAAATATGTGGACACCAGTGCGTATGGCTGATCTTTTACCCAACATATCGGTTACTCTATGAGTTCTAGTATTGATATTCGTGGAGAAAATTTTTGTGATAACAGCATGATCTTGTGCCCAAATGCGTAACTCGGATCAATACTTCCCTTAGCCCCCAAATATCTAATATAAATATTTTCGAGCTTTCGCTTGACTTTATAACGCTTCTATCGGTCACTATGTTAGACATCTTGGAGAAATTCCGAAAGAATCTCTTTCTAATAATAGTGTATCTTCTTGCCAGTGATTGTAAATAAGTTATGCAATACTTTAAAATTTTTAATTAAACTATATACGAAAATCCCGTATATCACTTTACCTTGCGAGAGTATAAAATGTTCGGTTACACCCGAACATAGATCTTTCTTACTTATTACATTTATTTTTGTATCTAACGAATTATCAGTTTAACTTCTTAAATTAGAAAATTGGTATGGTTTGTGACAATCAATGGAAACTAATGGCGAAAATTATTTAAATAAGTTTACCAAAGGCTTCAACTTGTAGATATGTGCATACAACATAACCTTGAATCTGACGAAAATTTCAAAGCTTTAAGTGGTTCTAAGACTCTAGTGACGGGTACTGTTGTTCACTTAGGTACACTATACCTTTAGCGATATATACAAAAGTATTAGTAACACTACAAGAAACTGCTGATGGGTTCACTAATCCACTAACATTTGTTATGTCAGTACTGACAGTCAATTTACCTGTCAATTGACCTTTACTGTAATTGTTGAAAAGAGACACTTACGATTTATATTGCTTACTATAGCCTTATATATGTAAGAATGAAATAGCTGCATTCTTTAGTACTGTCATCACTGACAGTCAAATGAACAGTAAAATGACTGTCAGTGTTTACGGTTTTTCCAAAAGAAAATCCTGTATACGTCGAAAAGAGACAGCACACATTTCCATAGGAGTTTCGAGAAGTTGTGAAATACCTACATAAGTACATATGTAGCAGTTATTCCGTGCTATAAACCAAATATGTCACGTGCTCCTGTGCACTCTTTTTGCGTTAAAAAAATAAATAAATAGCGAAAGAGTTTTCAAAAATAATATACGTAAGTTATTATTAAGTTTCAAATAAAATTATATTTTTAGTAAATTTTAATTTTTTTGGGCATTTTTAAATTCAGAAATATTCATGAACTGGAGAAATACATACAGCAGAGCTTGTGAGAGGAGCAAGCATGGAATTAAGTAAAAATTTCTTTTCATAATTTATTATTTAATTATATTTTTGTTGCACTCCTTTTTTATATTTATGTATATTATTATAACTAATTTTAATCAAAAGTTTTGAATTTATTAAAGAAATAAAAATTGTGTTACAAACTGCGCAAAAGAATTTTTCACTTGTCATAGCTTTTCAGTCATAACTGACAATTTTCGACTTTGATGGATTTATGATCAGCAATGACTCAAAAAAAGACATCACATTGAGCAGTATAGATATATAGTGAATCAATTTCGAATACCAACGTGTTAAAGAGAGATGAAAATTTACACACATATGTTTGCTTACATCAGTTTTTGCACAAGGCTCTTAAGAAAATGATAGAAACTTTGTTCTGCATGATGACAAAATTTTTTCAGCTATGATTGTCATATTACCGGTGAGATGAATGTCACTGTGCTTGTAGGGGTGACTGTTATATAACCGGTCAGATGACTGTCACTGTCAGGGATAATGGGATGCCTAACTCTTTCCAGTGTAACATTTTCCACTGTAGCCAGATCGGACAAAATAATATATTTTGGGTATTTATTAAGATTAAATATTATTATTCATGTATCCGTTAAACATATAGAAAAACTATTTAAATCCATTTTTGTGATTTTGTGTTATACTAAATTAACTGATTTTTGAACTTTCAATACTTAAAAAGTGAAAAAATGTATTAACTCTCAATTAGTTAATGTTTTTTTATCATTTTCAACTGACAATTTATACTACGAAGCATGGCGCCACAAAAGATTTCATCACATACATTTCAATTTTGCGTTTTCTTTCATTTTTATTGTTTTCCAATTTTTGTTAGTGATCTTCAATAGCGGCAACAAATCCTTCTGTTAACATATTTACAGTTGCCTAAGTTCAGGGGGTTTGACGTTTAGCAATTGCGCTCTTATTTCCAGTGAAAGATGAGTTGGGCATCTCTTTATCTCTGGCCACTGTTCTTGTAAGGAAGGTCACTGAATGCATTATGAATAAATTTGTATTGCCAATGTATGTATGTATATTACAATACATAACTTAGATAAATAAATCACAATGCAGAGTTTGCATTTCATGTATATGTTTACTTGTTTTGAAATTAAATTAAACACAAGTAATTTTATAATGCAATACATAAAAGATAAAATACCAGGTTAGCTGCATTTTCCTATCTGGCTAAGCATTGGATAATCACAGTTAATCAACTACAATATATCGATAAATAGATAAGACACCTGCTATAAAAGGGCCTAAGTTTAGGTAACGCTATGTTAGTTATATAAACATATTCCTGCAACTGATCTGTTCCAACAGTAAAATGATAGGTGAATCATTAAATAATAAAATAATGGAAGTTATTTGATTTTTGTAAAGATTCTTTTAGAACTGAAAATATTTAAATACCTTGCCATCATTTTTACGGTAACTACTTGGAGCGAAGGATTTATAAATAGCACGATGACAGCTCTACAAGATTCACAGCGTTGCTATAACAAGCCTTATGGTTATAAGATTTCCGATACAACTGACTGCTTTGGATATTTTATTTGTCATGGCGATATGATCATACAACAATATTGTCCACCAGGACAGCGATTTTATGCTTCCTCGCAGATGTGTCAGATTGGAAAGTGTCCGCCCTGTGACTGTGAGATTGATTGTAGCAAAGCTCCTGATGGCACCTTATTTGGCGATTGTACGCATTGCCGATTCTTTTGGCAATGCGTTAGTGGACGAGCAGTGCATCGCTTTTGTGAGCTTGGTAAGTGGTACGATCGTGCTAAATACGTTTGCAATTATCCAGTCTTTGTGACAAACTGTGCAGCTAATCAAGATTAAAAATATATCATTAAAATTAAAGGAAAAGTGTATTTAATTTTTTGGAGACAAATTTGGATTCGCCTTTTTAGTATTATACTAATAGTTGCATACAGTGTAAAAGTTATATACTTTGTTCTCTTAACATCAGGCAAATTTATTGTAGAATCACTACTTTCATTAAGTTCAAAAATGAATCAGTCAGCTTCGCTTATATTCGTCTGTGGGATGTGTCTGAGTAAAAATAAGAAGCACTCACCAAGAATGACAGAAACAAGACTGCATCACCTTGACGTCATAATCTATAGAATAAGTGGACACAAGATAGAAACCAAAACAAATTCGCGTAAGAAGTCACCGGTTTAATTTTGTTTTTGTAATTCTTGGTTAGATCCTTCACAGCCTAAACCGAAAAACGTAACGGTAAAACTTGGCTTAGTCTCCATCTCTCCTGTAACTGCAAACCATGGTTAAATTAGCGATTAATAACATAACAGCGCTACCAGAAATTTCGGTTAAACTTTCTATGAGTATGTTAAGGCTCTATTGACAATTCTAACCGAAACTCTTGTGTACGTGTGATCGTTCATCACTTTCTTTCGCAAATACCTTATTAGTTGAACGGTGTGTATGTGTTTGTCTCCGCGGTAATTCTTTACTGTATTTGAGTTTCGGTTGCCATAACTTGCTGGTGCTTTCATTTTTGTACCCAACTTTTAGACAATAAATATTTACAACCAACTGTCAGATTTATTGCGAGATAAAACTGTTATCATCGACATTATTTACTGTTTGTAATTTTTGATAAAAATTCATTTGCGGAATGGCCTCAATGTCGGCTTGTACCAGCTGTTTTCGTATCTATTTGAAAGGGGTTCCCTGCATGCTATGCTAATTCTTGATTCAAAAACCACTCTGCTAAATTGTAATTTACGCAACATAAGAAAACACAACAGAAATTTTTTATCTATTGCTAATGTCGATATGCTATAGAAATGAAAATGGTGCTGTCATATACCAAAAATGCAAATTTTTCCCAGAAATTTACATCAGTATAATAATTTTGATTGCTAACGTGGGTAATAAGCAATATTCGTTGGCAATATTGCTCTGTAATATTATCGAGATCATAACTATTGCCTGCGGAGACTGAATGTTACGGCGAACATCAAATGCCATTTCTCATGAACCGATTCTCATCGCTAAGTAAATGTAAACAAAATTTGTAATTACTAACAGCTTTTAAGAAATATAAAACTAGATGAGCGACCCAAAATGAAACAAGAAAATTGTGTTGATAAGGAAACGATCGAATATACTCACACCACGGTGCCCTCATCAATGAGAAGTCCTTATTGGAAGTATTTCGGATTTCCTGCGGATAGTACTAATAAAATATTGACTCGCCAAAAAATTATATGTACAATATGTGGTACTGCCATTACATACAACAAAAATACGTCTAACCTTCGTACTCATCTTATATCGCGGCACCCTGAGACACTGCATCAAATGCATCATCATCAAAGACAGCGGAACCCAGAGTTCTCTGATAGTTGTGACATGACTGATGGTGGTGATTTTAATGGTGCCGCTATTTTGAGCGAAATCGCAAAGGATGAATGTAACTCGGATAAATTATATTCACAAAGACAAAATAATAAGGCTGATCCCAATGTCAGCAGCCTATTAAAAATAAGACGACTTAATACAGTTAGTCAGGACACCGATCAAGCATTAATTAGTGCTCAAGAGCTTAACGTCGAACTAATGTCTGCCAATGTTGAACATAGAGTAGATTTCTCAACTGTTGAAATTGATTGTGATTCTAATTATCACTCTGTAAAACACCATAACAAGGAAAGTGACAAAGATGTACATGAAGCGATTACAGAAAATGATACCAGTTATGAATTTTTAAATTCGGAAGCAGAGAATGAATTGAAAAACGATGAAAATATTGAAATTAATTGCCCAAATGACTTTAATGTTGGGGATATTAACCCCGACGAGGTTGCATTAACAGAAAGTGAAGCAGTATTAATTGATAATGAGATTTCGCCAAAACCGATGTTTGTATATTGCAGTGACTCATTGCCATGCTCAATTGACTTGACAAAAAAATCAAATGTAATAATACACAACGAACTCCTTGTAAATATGTTGGTCTCCGATTTACTGCCGCTTAGCGTGCTTCATGGTGTGGGCTTCAAACAACTACTCAATACCGTTGGTTTTGTCAATGTGGATAAAGAGCGAGTTGAAAGTAAAATATTGGCTGAATATTCACAAATGAGGTGTGCGCTTAAAAAATACATTGCTTTCAATTTGTTGCAACAAGATAAATCCTATTCATTCAGTATTGAGAATTTTAAAAGTAATGAGGAAACCGACATATTAAGTGTTTATGTAAATTTTCACATATTTGATGTTGAATATAAATTAGAGAGTATTTTATTAGAAGAAATTGTTTGTAACAAAGATACAGAGTTAACGCGGTTGCTACAAGACTTTGACCTTAGCCGTTGTGCAGCGATTGTAACAACTAACACAAATAACACAATTGTTAAGGATTTCGCTCTTGCAAATGGTAAGTATTAGCGAAACCATAACTGTTGTTTAATTTATTTAAAATCCTTTTTTTTTATTACTAATTAGGTATCGAAATTGTACCATGTGTAGGTACCATGTTGACCCGGTGTCTTTCTTTGATCTTCCAACAAGAAGTAGTATCAGAATTATTTCAACAGATTTTTGAAATAAGTGAGGTATGGTCAAATATCCATATTACATTTTGTGCGTAATTTTGTGAAAAGTATACCTAATTGTTAATGAGTTTAACATTTGTGGTCGCTTTTTATTAGAAAATCAAAAATAAATTTAAAAGAATTATTATATCATTGATGTATTTTAGAAGAATTTAAACCTATCAACTGTGAGATTATATTGCCCGTGGTGGAAATTAAAACTGCTTCAAGATTTTTTCGATAGTCCTTTAGCGGCAGATGAAAAATACAAAGAAATGTCAACGGAACTGGGACCTTTCATAACATACATTAAACCCTTAAAGGTACAAGCATACGTAGAAACCCAATTTTATTTGAATGAGAGCCTATCCCTATGTTTTAAATAGATTACGTTTGATACAATAAACTCGGAGCAAATGCCGTTCTGTACACTTGTGCGTCCATTGATTATGCAACTATTCGATGAGCATTTTTTAAAATTCAATACGAAAGACAATGCTTATTTGCAAACGGCCCAAAAAATTGTTAGTTCTGAGTTACGTAATGGGTATGTAAAACAGTTCACAAATACATATATATGCATTTATATTCAGAATACACTGTTTTTTTTTAATTTGATTACAGCATTGCTGGTTGTTCGTTTTTTTCTGAAGCGGTGCTTTTTGATCCGCGATTTCAACATGATTTCATTCAATCCAGTCCACAGCCAACGCTACAGAAACAAAGCGACAGTTTTGGCAGTATTCATCGTTCAGATTTAATACTGTCTGTATATAATCGATATCCACATCTGCTTAAGGAGTTAAACTTAAAAGTAAAACTGGAACAAAATCAGCTATGTACTTCGCCACAAACAGTATCTAAATCATGTTGGTAACCAGAAGGATATGCGTATTTCTTTTAGTTATCTTATTTATATCTTGCAGGTTTGCGATCGTTTTTCCAACGTATTAGCAATCCCGTGGGTGAAGTGAATATTCAAAACATTAACAACACGCATTCGAAGCAATCTCAGCCGAAATTCGCTATCGATTTGGAATTTAATCGATACAAATGTGAACAAACGTTAGATTTAGAACTATGCCCACTGATTTGGTGGAAATCACATTCTGAACGCTACAAATTGCTGCATAAAATCGCAAATTATTATTTGAGTGTACCGTGTTTAACACCACGGTGGCTAACGAGCACTCACGAAGAGGTGGAAGTTGTTGATAGCAGCAAGTGGTGGCAAAAAAGTAAGACTCTTCAGTATCTTCACGCAGCAGAAAAGTGCATATGGTATTTGCATTACAATCGTAGTATATATAATAAAATTCTACCCAAATCGTCCAAAGACCAGTCTGTGTGAAAATGCTATCATCATACTGATGCAATATTTTGAAAACGATGTAAGCAATCCGAATAATAGCGATAACGATAAGAGCGCATTAAAATTAATATTCGAGAAATTATTGTTTGGCTATTTACGTAATTATTTCTAGTAAATAAATAAATTTAAATACATATTAGATGTATGTATAAGACATGTAAATGTGCTTTACTTTTGGCCATTTTCAAAAGCAAGACAGCTTAAAAAAATTGTTATTTATGTATTTCCAAGTAACGGTGGTTTCATTTATTCAAACAAATGATTTAAATAATTCTGTAGTATACATATATAAAATTGTTTATTTGATATTTCTTTAATTTTGAAATTGTTATAAGTATATTTTAAATACTTTGTTCTGGTATGTTTACATAAAGGACTGAAAATAATTAAAGTTAGTATTCTATATGTGAAATTTGGCTTAAGTGGTGTTTTCATCCTTAAAAATTTTACGGCAGCATCATTCTTAAAAATTCACACTAAATGTGGTACAACTTCAGAAAATGCAGGATAGAAATTATATTTCTAATGGGTATTCAAATTCATAGTTACAAGTATCATTTACATTTTTTATTTTTATTAAACTATTTTTACTTCTGTATAGCCGTAAACATAGTACGTTGTTTTTATTCAGATACTATTTAAGTATATATGTATATGCATGCATGAAACTCGGAACGAACTTGATAGAAAAGTAAAATATAATACTTTATTTATTATTATGTTTTTGTTTTTGTAATTTCCCATTTATATCTTGTTATATTCTGCATATTGTGCTCTATGAATTTTGTTTGCATTTATAAAACCGATCAACTTTTCATATATATCTTTTATAGCTAGTGGTGAGGATGTGCTTTACGATTTTATAGTGACATGAAGTTTTTGTTTACTGATAAATAAAAATCTGTCCTAATAATAATAATTATAACGTTTCCAAAGCTGTCTCATCATGTAAATGTTTTAACCTGCCATATTTTAGTGTTTTTTTTTTATTATTTACGTTTATTAAAATTTCCTCTGTAAATGAACGTAACATCTTATAACGAATATCTTCTGGGCACTAGTCTGAATTCGGAAGAAATATTGAATTTGATCTTAAAATGCTTTCAGCTTGATATCGAGTAAAATCACATTTATAAATACATCTCTGCTAATATCTATAAGCTGACAAGACTTATTCACTTCTATTTGCTTTTCGCGAATTGTTCCAAACAATCGTTTAAATTCTAAAGTATTTATATAATTAAAACAAAAAAAAATATGCTACAATCACAAAATATGGTTACAACAGTGATGTGTTTGAAATATTGCTTACTATTTTAATCCAGTTTCTCATGTTCGCTTTTTAATGCGAAAAAAAATGTTTTCTATATATATAAATTTTAAGTGTTTGGGGTTGAAATTAACTGCAACTAATAATTTGTTTAATTATAATATTTTTAAAAATGTGTTATGTTTACGTATGTAACGGTTCTACATAATTTGCGGGGTAAAGGCCAACCCGTCCATTCATGCGTCCTTTGCACCATCCTTGCTCGTCTTCGTCCTCAAGTTTCTCAAAGACTTCACCTTAAGAATATATAACGGAAATATTATATTTATTATATCTTATGTATATAACCTTCTTTCATTACCTTGTTTAAATGTCAGCTCGTCATCTTCGGCTCCTTCGTAATCATATAAAGCCTTAACTGGAACACCTTTCTCGCCATTATCCACTAACACATTATCACCCTCATCCCATTCCTCCTCTTCCTCGAATGGATTGACTTCGGGTTTGCCATTACCGTTACTAAGAAATAAATTATATAAAATAATATTTTTCTTAAAAAACAATGAAAACAAAATAAGTCGCACGTTACTTTCAGTCAACTATATATACATGTACTTATTCAGACAGAAAATTATATCTTAACACAAGTGATCAATTTAATAATTAAACAAAGGGATGCCACTGCAATTGTAACAGCAAAGACGAAAGCTTTTTTGAGCAATAGTACTTAGAAGATAATTCTTGCCGAATATAAATCAATATTTACATAATTTCAGTTCTTCACAAAAATTGTGTATCGCGACTATTATATAAATTCCTTATTGCTTGTTAGAAGAATAATAACTTACGTTACACTTGAATTGCGGTTATTTGTAGTTGAGGTTGTGCTCAAACCTTTCCCGGTCCCCGTAGCTGTGGACCCTGTTGCCGATGTTGGGGAAGACGAAGCATCTTGTTGGCTGGCCTTTCCACTACCTTTGTTTGAATATGATGGATTTTTTTTTAGGCTATTCGTATTATAATCCTAGAAGTAAATTAAGAGTCAAAGAAAAACTTGTGCGTATAATGCCAATATTAAGCATACATGTGGATCCTCAGCGACAGGTCGCTGATTGATGAGTGTAATTGGTGCTGCCGGAAGTGCCTCCTTTGACTTGCTACCCTTTGCTATATCACGAAACTCTTCGGTATACTCCTAAAATATTTATAATTAAAAATTGTAAACCAAATTTATGCGTATACAGTTATTTGTAAGATCCTAGTACATACCACAAATGCTGGCCAATTCATAGCCATATTCACACCATGATTATTTGACCACCATTTGAGATCCTTTTGTTGATCCGCATTATTTATGGTATGGTAGAATTCTTCATATATTTGTGGTAGACTATAATGTAATAAAATGCAGTAGCAGTTAATGTTTAATATTTTAATTCAGCATCCAAAGTAAATAGTACCTACCATTGCACCTTCGTGAGGTCCAAGCAGGAGTGTATGTTAAATAGAACCTCTTTGAAGAACATTAATCGAGTCCTTTCCATGGCTTGGCACTTTTCAAACACCGACGTCATATCCTCGATGTATACCGAATTATATTTGGTAATCTCCGCAATAGCTTGTTCGTATTTCTCTCGACATTTAGCCACTTGATCTTTCGTTTTTTGTACGCGATCATGCATTTTTTTTACCTAAACGAAAACGAGATATATGCAAAGTTATAGGTTTTAATACCATAAATCTTTAGTCAAACGTTTGTTCATTTATATATTTTCCATTCAAGTTTTAAATTTATTTCACATGAAAATTTTATGTGATTCTCTTTAGATCAATAGAACTAATTTAAAGATCAGACAAATGCCGCTTAAATAGTTTATGTACAGAAATTTAGAAAAAAATTACTGATTTTGTCATTACTTTAAATCAACTTTTAAGGGGACCCGTAGGTCTATGATTTAACATTTTTTTTTTTCATATTTCGTTAGTATAGACTCTTAAAAATATATTGTCGAAATTTCATGAAGATATTCCAAGTATTTCGTGTTGTTTAGCCCGTTACAAGGTCAGCGGTAATAAGTAACAGTAATACTTTGTTTAAACTTTAAACGCGTTTATTTCGAAACTACTTTCTTCATTTGGTGGTGGAAAAAAAAACTTATAAAAAAATTTTCTATTTTTTTCATTAACAAAAAGTTGAAAAAATGGTAAATTTCCAGACGAGTAACTTTGACAACATGCCATTTTGTCAAAAAAAAATTTTTGTTTTATTCTAGTTCCGGCGATAACTAGATTTATACGCATTAAGAATCCGTCTTTTTTTCAGCTGAGAGGGTGAGATAAAACATCCACAACCAGTGAGGTGCATTTTTTCGAAGAGGGGAACTTCAGCACCATTTCTATTTCACAAAAAAAAAAATTTTTTTTAAATACAAATTCATGTATATAAAGGTTCATACAATACATATGTGTAAGAAATTTCAGTGTTTTTTTCTTATCAACTTCACATTGAAATTAATTCTCTAAAAAAGGTATTTTTTCCGAGCTCTAGACCAACGGGTTCCCGTAAGGTGGATTGGTACCTAAGATAACCAGTTACTTATATCATTTTGCTTTTTATATTTTAATTTTTCTAATCTATGACTCATGATGGGAATTGCGATATTGTGTTAACTTCGATATGCGAACAAAAAAATATTCTTATCTAACGTAAATAGTTAAAGAATGCTGAAAAGCTGATTAAGTAACTCGCATACAGTATGTGTTGAATTGAAGAAAATACACAATATTTTAATTTTACGCTACACAATGAAAGCATATAACGGATACCACTATCAATTAAATTTCGTTAAGCAAAATAACCATTTTAAACCTTTTTATACACTTAAGAGAGTTAACGTAAGAGCTTCTAGTATACTGTCTTGATTTGTTGCACGTTTGTGAAATTTCATTGTATACATACATATACATATAAATGTATATATACGTCTGTAATATCTAATATCAATCTGGGATGCACACCTACCTGGTCCGGCGATAATGAACTATCTGCTGTGGCATTGCGTTCTTGATTGGTGGCACTACGTTCCGTTTTACAAGCAGCGTGATAATCAGACTTTGTCTTCTCTACTTTAGCTAGTAATTTAGCCCAAGGTTTTTGAGCCTTCTTAAACATATCCTCCATATCCTTACGTTGCTTTATCTGCATCAGCGTATGATGATAGTTGTCCTTCTGCCAACATTTTATTTGGCTGTTCACATCGTTACAGAGGTTTTCTTTTATTTTTAAGTGCACGTCACTGATGCGTTCAGCTTCCGTTAGTACACTTTTCCAAGCCGCTTCTGAAGTGCCATATTCGGGACCTAAATTGCACAAGTTTAGTATACATTTTCAATTTTATGTTTGTTAAAAAAAATTCAAGCCAGCATTATGTTATTTAGTATATAATGTTTCTGGCTAATAATAATTTAGTCTCAACTCTTTAACAGTCTCTGATGGGCATGTTTTATGTGCAAATTAGTCGGTTCATTTGCTTCTTTGCAATTAAGCACATGTGCATATGAATGTGTATACTATGCATTAACAATCGATTTTTGAAACCTTTGCAATGACATTTTGCAGTAAAATTCAAACGTAAATTGGTCATAACAGACTCTTCGTAATATACATACTTATGTATGTAAACATTTAAATAACACAGAATAGGTTATGTGAAATGCTTTCCAGTGAACACTACTACATACGTACTATATAGATGCCAGTCATATTGCATCTAGGATTACACCAGATCTCATTTCGAAAATCGTGTATGTATAAATAAAAGTCTATAAACATGGCAACATGCTTGATGCCAATACTAATTACATTCACATATCGATGACACTTCGCGAATAAGCTCATCGAATGTGATTGTGCAAACTTGTAGGTTTACGCAAAAACTTGAATTGCTTCCAAAACATGAGTTCATCTGAATAATTACAAAATTTAGTCACAACTAAAGCGCGATCGCCAATAGAAAACACAGTTGTATAGTATTTAGTATTAGACTTTGTCGAAGGTCATTGTTTACAAATTCCATGCATAAATAATATATATTCTGTTAATGTTAGTAACACAAACATTACAGTATATTTTTTCAAAAGCTGCTTCATTAAAAAAGCAATGGATAAATTTAGAACTTTCCACCAAATAAATTAAAGCGTTTAAAGATGCTTTTTATAGCCTAATAGATGTCTTAAGACAAAAACAAAATATAATGAATTACCAAATTTTCATTATTGTTGTCTAAAAAAAAACAAAAAAAAATATATAAATAATAAAAAAAAACAGCGAAATATGACCTAAAAATAGCAACATGTAGTAAAAAAAATTAACAATAAAACCAAAGAAAAGCAAGTATAATACAATACTATTTTATACAACTGGCCTTGTTACATTGAAGACGATTGAGATATATGTATATAGAATCTTTGCAGAAACAGCAGAAATAGCAAATACAATGTTTTGATTGACATTTCTCCACTTGTGCTCCACTTAAAAAAATACAAAAACACTACCAAATCGTGTACAACAATCTAAACGTATTATACTAGCGACCGAATCTTAGTAAATTTTTATATGTTTGCTCTCTGGTAGCATGCTCACTGTAATATCTACAGTTAAGAGAAATACCTTAGCGCTAACGTAATGATAACATCTTTTATAGTTTAATAATACAAAATTTTCCAGTTAAAACCAGCATATACATATGTAGTTCACTGATTTCTTATGCAAATCAAATTATTACAGCCAATTACCTTTTTCGATGAGCTCTCCCCATTTTTTCGACCATGCACGCAAATTCTTCGCATATCCTTTTTCAATATCGGCACGTTCCTGTATAAGTGTCTGCAAATCATTGCAAAGCCTGTTAAAGCGAAAGCAAAGATTTGAGTTGATTGAAAATAGCAAAACGTAACAATGACGTATCCTTCTAACTCACTTGTAGCCATCTTCAATTCTTTTAGTGGTGCGCTTGTAGTTGCCCGGCTCCCAAAAGGAATCACTACCCGCCTGTAAAAGGTGATCATCGCTGTGATGCGACATGACCTAAAAATATACAGAAATATTCTAGTAAACATTTTTTTTAATGTATTTATCTAATACACATTTTTCGAAGCACATTAGAACAAATAAATCCTGGTATCTTTGCGATATGCGCTATCTCCACACTATATATGCGAATTAAATTTAATGTAAATGTCAGACGCTGAATATTAACATTTAACACAAACCGGACAGATAACTAAATGTAATACAATTTTTACACGGGCGTGACTCTCATAGATATGTAAGCATTAGGTAAAAATATATCTCATTGACGAAGCTACTGCTGCAGCTACAATATTACCGAACGGCGGGATCGCTATTTTATGTCAATTAACTGCGCTCGCACGTATAAAGAGAGATCAATAAAGAGCGCTTTGCTTAGCGTTTGGACGAGAATGTAAATTTTCCATATACGGTTGTTATTTGTATATATTGTTTGCTGCTTAATTTATTAACTGATGAGCATATGCTTACATAAGAAAGATTAATTTTTCAGCCTTAAAAGCGGTAAAATATATACACATGTAGCACTGTCGCGAGTGTATATTTTATTTTAATATTTCGACTGAATTTACGTTATAGCAAAACACATAAAACGGTGAAATAGAAGAAAATTTCTTTGAAATGGAAAGCGAAATAAAAGTTGAAGATACTTAATGGAATGCTCGCGTCGGGTTGGTGCCCCAAAACTCACTGACAGCAACGATATCATATGCGAATACAAAAAATCGCAGCCGATGTAGTCGTGGAATTCTTGTTATTCTTTCTATTACTACGTACTTACCTGTCTAACGTATACTTAACTCAGTTGTATACACACTGCTTTGACTTTGGGCTTCTTGTTTCGATAAAATTGCTGATAGTAACGGAATACTCTTTCCAATACCTATTCTCTTATATTAAGGTCTCTTTTAAATAACTTAGTAAAAGTATTTGTACATACATTGATTGATGTATTCCAATACTTTCGGGAGCATCTTTTTATGCGCTTCTAATTGGATTGACACATTGGCACATTTCAATGATACTAGTACACATTTTGAGTTGATAACATGTGTATGATAAATAAGAATGCTCGATGTAAGAGAGTCAAACTTTTTTATATTTATGCATATATGTACATTAGAGCTTCAAACTTATAAAGGCACAAATTTGAAAAACTACGTTTGAAACATATATTAATTAATATTCGACCGAATTTGTCGGAACCGTCTTCTAGGTATTAATTCGTTCGTGAACACTATAATCAAGAAGCAAATAAAGTTTTGAAACTATTGCAGAAAAATCTTTATACGTAGATAATCAATATAGTTAAATAGCAAGCATTATTAATTGCAACATTTGCTTTATTTAACATATACCACTTGTAATACCTAGGATTTTATAATTATTGGATATGAAATTCTATCGTTCATCGACATTAAGTTACCTTCATCTTTTGTGGTGTTAAAGTGTACTTAACTAGATGAGGACAGAGACCAATCGATCGACAGAGCTCTGTAGATTAGAGCGACATTCGGTCCGATAGCTAGTTTCGCATATTTAAGGTATTTGGCGGTTTTTCGTTTAAATTTTGACTGTAGATAATTGAGATATTAAAAATTTCGGTTAGCCCGTTTAAATGCAGAAATGTTCTTTGTATGCTAAATATTTTGTATAGGCAATGATTATACCATAAGTCTTACAGAACAAATTTTGGTTAATTTACTTTTTCCATTGTTGTTGTTATTGTTTTGTTTATGAGGAACACATTTGGAAATCAGTCAAATACAATGTTATCTACACTACAAACATCGATAGAGATAATCATTTGGTTTATCTAATAACACAATTTTAGACCTAAAATTGATATTTCTTAAAATTATTTTTACAATTAGTATATATATATTGAAAATATTTAGATTGCGTATACCTAAGTTTTCAAAAATATAAAAAAAAACACATATACCAAATAATATTGAAATTATGCGTATTTATAGTAGTCGTTGAAAAATAAACAAAGCTAAAGGGTACGGGTCGGGTGGGGAAGTGTCTACTTACTTGAATCCACTGAAATCTATGTACTCTATGGCAATGTGTTTCCAAAATGGAGTAGCCAGTTACAGCAATACTTTTTTATATGTTAAAGACACTTGGATGAACACTGTTGAAAAAAGGCCGCATCAATAATTTTAGAGATTTACATTCGTATAAATAAGTGAATGAATAACACTGCAATAGACAAATTTGCAGCATAAACGGGGGCTTTATTTCGCTATGCGCCCAATTTTTACTTGAAAGACAACGTTCTTTGCAAGATTAGAAATTTCTATATTTGTAAATAAGTAACTATATTTATATCTTGTAATGTGGCTAGTGACAAGAAACACTCCCTAAAACAACAGGATCTCGCTTTCTATTTTCATACACAACCTTTTACGTTACGCTTTTCCGTCAAAAAACTATTCGTTTGTCTGAAAAACTAATTAATTGAAATAATATTTACCTACTAAAAACACACAAAATAGTTGCACAACAGTTATAACTAAAATTAACACTTATTTTTTCTAAAATATATGCGAAAATCTGCGAAAAAAATTCACACGCGAGCAAAGAACCGACATCGACCGAATTTCACAGCAATGAAAGTAAAGAGTTGCCAGTCGGTAATATCTTAATACATACATTTAAGAATTTTTGAGTATATAAAGAATGAAAACACATGTGCGGTTATTAAATAGAAAGCAGTACAAATTAATAAAATTAGCACTTGATCTTATTTATGGCTAGGGAGCTCTTCAAATACAATATTATTACTCATATACGTACAAATAATTGACTTGACTATGTACACCGGTAATAATTGTTATCTAGGAATGACAAATTTGTAACGTTGCAAATATAAACAACATGATTTCATAGAAATCATCAAGAACGATAGAATCTATCTTCTGTGATATCTTGAGAATGCCTGCGAAAAAATATTGCTGAGTATTCTGCAATATGGACGGCTATAATTATTGACTTTATTAAAGACTTTATCTTTCCGGCAACACTATATTATTTCAGGGTTGATCAGCAATCAATTATGGTAAATTATTGAGATAAAAACTTCAAAAAGTTGTTACGACATTTAATACAATTTTTTAAATATACTTGAAAACTTGATTGTGCAACCTTTATATTTACAAAACTAAAATACTACTCAGCATGCAAAGTGAAAAATGTCACTCTTTATTTCCTTCTTGTACTTGTACGCAAATTAATGGAAACTCCTTTGACTATCGGCGTGACATCACAAATTCTAAATAAATAGTTTTTCTAAGTTCTTCTCGTTTGATATTTTACAAAAATTCATAAACATTTTATTTCACGTGAAATAATTATCCGATTTTCTACCATTATATAGAAAAACTAAATATGTATTATTTAATTTTTTATCTCAGTATGGATTCGGAATATTCACCTTTTTTGAGTTTAATTGTAAGGCCTTTAATTGCTATAGTTTAAGAATTTGATTTTGTCAATTTGGTATAAGGTCACAATATTATAACGTATTTTTCATCATAAGGACTCAAAACATGTCGATGTTTCCGTTTTTAAAAAAATAGTTTAAAAAAAGTAAAGAAGTGAGAAAGAAAATACACTATTTTAGTCATTTTAATTTTGCAAGATAATTTTCCAAGTATATGTTTTATAGCAAACTACGTAAGAGACGTAAAATAAAAGAGAGATTGTAGAAATATATACTTCATTAAGTTATCACAAGTATTATATATGATAAACTATTGATATTTCCTTTATTACCGCCACCAATACTACAATTTAAGTGAATGTTTGCGCAGATTACAGGGAATATTACCAGTTGGGTAATGTTACTTCCCATCACAACACTTGTAAGTAATTAAGGTATGTACACAGGCCTGTGACTTTTCATCAAAGAATTTGTCGCCACTACACCGCTTCTTTTCAATTTGCTCACCATTTTTGCAAATTGTATAGCTTCTGCAATTGTCGTCAACAGTTTGAACATCGATATCACCCCGACCTTGGCATCGATCATAACTGCAATCCGATTCGGTAGGATCAGTACATGATGAGGTTGTTTGATCGAATAATTTGCCGACTGGGCATTGCAGAAAGATGGGGTTCAAGTCATTTTCCTTTCCATAATCGCGACAGTAAAAATAGCCACGACATGATACACCATCGGAATATAAACCTTTGCGATTTCTGCAGTCAAATTTTGGGGCGCAAGGATAGTTCGGTAACTTTGTTCCACAGGTACTAGTTTCGACATTGAAGTATTTTGTGCATTTTTGGCTTACACTCTTGCCATTTTTACAGAGGTAGTAAGTACTGCAGTCTGTTGAATTACGATAATTCGTTCCATCCGGTACTAAATCACAAATTTCCGGTATTACATTACAAGAGTTTATATTTTCAAAATCGCATATCGATTTTGCCTCATTAAAATAATAACCATTTTCACAGTAACCCTGCAGTGGTTGACCATTGTCACAGTAGAAATATCCCTTACAAGTGGCTGGGTCGGTAACCCATTTACCATTAATATTTAAACACCGATTGCGGCAATAGTCGTCAACATCAGAGAGCTTGGCTTCTAGAACACAACTTTGTGCGTTGCGATCGAATTTTTGTAGAGATGGGCATGAGTATATAACTCCAGTGGAGTTGGAACAATGTATATATTCTGTGCAAGAACCGGGTTTTCGAAGGCGTGTACCATCCTAAATAGTTAACAAATAAAGAGAAATACGCATATTAACTGAGAACATAAAGCATATATAAATATATATATACATATGTATGTATATACATACCGTGAAAAGACTACACAAATCCCTTGGATCAGATAATGTGGTTACACATAAGCCAAAGTTATTCAGGTAGCAGAAGAGTAGATTAAGTATAAGTAAAGCTGTAAATTGTAAAAATGTAAATCAGTGCGTAAGTGTTATTGCATACGCAATAAGTCATATTATCGTTTAAATTTCCTTATCACATTAAAAATTAAGGTAGCTAATATATCGATAATGAAGAATTCTTCTCTCTAAGCGTCACTCCAAATTACTTTGTTGATATTGAAATGAATATATAAAAATATGATATTTTCAGTCACAAAAAAGCAACAATAACAACGAGATACATACTTATTTATGTACAGTGCTGGCCTTATAATTAGAAACGACTTTGTAGTATATAATTTTCCTAATTTATTTTAAAAATTTATATTTCCACATTAAAACTATTAAGTGGGAGCAATAATGTAACACATTTTATTTAAGTTGTACATAAAATAGAAAAAAAAACAACAACAACATAAATTCAATTTTTAACGAAATGAGCTAAACACAAAGAACACCAAATTCAGTTTGGTCATATGATTAGAAACGACAGTAACAACTTAAAAATATCTATATAAAATTGAACAAAATGCATTAAATTATTAATATTTTGCTGGATGACCCTTATTTTTAACAACATTGTCCAGTCTTCGCATGTTTGTACTGATATGCTGTTCCAACTATGTTAAACCATTTATTCCATAACCAATAGTTCCAAACATAAGTTCTCAATTGGGTTGAGATTTAGACTTTGCAGAGGCCAGTCCTTCAATATTTTTATCCGAAAGCCAACTCTTCACTAATCTTGAAGTGTGTTTTGGGTCATTGTCGTGCTGGAAAATGTAATGGACTGGCATAGTATTAAAGGAGTATGGTTACATTACCAGTTCCAGAATGCAATTATATTGTTGTTGGTCTGTTATCTCTTGAATACGCACAATTGGGCCAACACCACATTAGGAAAAGGCTCCCCAAGCCATAATAGATTCGCCACCGTGTTTTACTCTGTTCACAGTGTACCTGTGGCTTAGAGCCATGTTAGGAGGACGCTTTACATACGATTTTTCGTCGGATTGGAATAAATTGAACTTAGATTCGTCACTCAAGAGTACTCTATTCCAGTATTGTGCATTTTTCTTTAGCATTTCCTTTGCTCGTCGTAACGGCTTCTCAATTTTTTTTTTTTTTGACACGAGGGTTGTTTTTTGGGCAATGCTCGCCCGAAGCCCGATTCTTGTAAGCGCCTTCTTATCGTATGAGCTGAGCTTTCCTCATTAATTTGATATCCAACTTCAGCTTTTATTTCAAGCAAAGTCATGAACTTGTTGTATTTGCTCGTTCTACAAATTATGCTGTCTTCTGCTGAAATTGTTTTTCGAGGCCTGGTCTTTCTGGTAGGGGTTTCCAACTTCTTTTTTTTTTTTTTACAATTGAATAGCTCCAGCTACCATTTTTTTTTGAGCAAGTGAACCTTTGTGCGATAGCTGCCATTGACAATTTTTCCTTTTGATAACACCTCACAATTAACTCCCTCATTTTTGGAGTACATGAGTCTTTTTTGCTCATTCTCAATTATTAAAACGTATTTAAATATTGCCAGCTAACTATGGCTTTTCGAAGTATACTCACTTGATCACTAAATCCAAGAAAATCGAGAATACAAGTATAAAGAAAAAACTCCGCGTTTCTAATTACGTGGCCAGCTAAGAAGCACAAACTAGGAAATAATTTTAATTTTTTTAATAACCAATCAGCAAATAGCCACGTGTTTGTTTAGCAACGTCGTTCATCGCCTACGCTATGAATAACGGTATCCGTAATTTACAGCACACGTCTTTTAAAAAGCATAGAACTATTTGATTTTTTTTAGCAAGTTGTTTTTAATTATAAGGCCACTGCGTACGTAGTATGTGGCATGATTATTGTATGTATACACAAAATCGTTTGAATTTGTTTTACGGGTAGTTATACTTTTTTGTAATCCATAATTCAAAACTTACACTTTTTTAACATTTTAATAATTGTATTAAATGGCAATTAACAAGTCAAGATAACGATGCTGCAAAGGAGCTGTTTTACCATAGTTCACCTAAGAACTTTTGCTCACGATGGTCACTTGTTACTGGTATGATTTTTCTTACGTGCTGTACTTTTAAATACATATGTTCGGCTCTTACTAATTTTTCTTCGACATATTTATATATGTATATACATGCTTATAAATATTTAAATGTGGTTAAACCCATTTAGTGATTAAGAAAATTTGACCAACTACATACATATCTTTGTATGAGTATGTATACAGATTTGTATATATTTTCTTCATTAATTGAATGCCAAATATTTATAAATAATACCTAAATTTACAATTATCCATATGGGTATGTGTTTAATATAGGTTTAGTATCTCGCAAATTGTGATTAAGTGAGTGGCGTTCGTTTTAAATTTATGATCAACAGAATTTAGGTAATCTTTTTACTAACCGATAACTGAGATTGTAAGCAAAATCCTATATTAAAGTACATTTTCGAGTATTTTTTAAAGTACCCACATACATCTGTTTATCTGTACATTAGGGTATCCTTTGTTTCCCAAGTTGTTTTTTTGTTTTATCAACGCCCCGTGACGATTCAATTTACACCGTGTCTTAATCACATGTCTTAATCGAGTTTTTTCTCCGATGTATGTATATAAATGGAATTTTTAATTGTTTGTATTAATAATGTAAACCTACAACTTTGAAAGATAGATAATCTAATACAAAATTTTGCGTTTTACAAAAAAGCTCTTAGTGGTCTTTTCCATAAAATCACTCCCTTAAAAGTTATACGCAGTTAAAGGTATACAGTTATAGGTATTGAGCATGCTTACACCATGTCGTATGAGTAACCAAGAATTTTTAAAGTTGTTGTCGAGCGTAAAATTATTATTAGAATATCGTATTTTCAAAGTTGTAAGTTTATTTGTTTTGGAGATAAAACATTTTATGCAAAAGATAAAAAATCCCATGTAAAATGGATGGGGAAAAAAACATAATTTAGGCACGGTTTAAATTAAAAGCACACTGTAAAGATCCTCCATACTCGGGGAACAGCTATTGACCACATTTTAAGAATTGCGGTTGATTGATATGCATGTCGAATAGCGCTTAATAGGGAAGGCGCCACAACCAGGGCTTGGTAACTGATTGCACCAAGTTTATGTGCAAAAATTTATGCAAAACTATGACGTTGTTGTCATACGAAATATCCACAAATAAATCTTATATTTGTTATAGACGAAAAACATGCTTAAAGAATTTCGAAAGTTGTTACCGTTCGCACTGTTATCTTGTCGCAGTCGAGCTATGCACGTGATTTAGTGCAGTGCAGAGTTCACGTATAGCAACGCTAATAGAGCTTTTCATGAAAAGACAACGAATTCGCTATTAAACTCTCATACTTGCCCGCTTAGAACACCAAAAGTCACCAACAAAACCATATGTAAGGATTTTCGTTAATTACTCCATACTCAAACCCCATATATACCGCACATAATGAACAGAGTCCGAACTATTTCAATAAAAATAAGCGAAAATATTTATGAATATATCATGCCAATTTCTTTATAAAGAAGCCATGTGGGAATTTGAAATAGTTTATATATATTTAGTTGGTTAATTTGCTCAATATGTTACCTAGACTTAAACGTTTCGACTATGAAATTAGCATGTTATAAATTATTAATAGACTTCGAGCTGCTTAAGCGAAATTCACGTATCACGTGTATCTTTTGTCATTAAATAATGTAAAAGGGAAAATAATCAAAAACTTGAATTTGTTTCAACTGCTATTTTTTATACAATATACATATAAGAACAATTACATATATATATGATATATATATATATATGGTATATATATTTATATATATTACACTAATCACTTTCTAACACAAGATGTGTAAGTAATTGGCGTAGAAATACAGGCGGGTAAAATTTCATCGAAAAAGTAGTTGCCACAGTCCTTCTCCTCCTCTGTTTTGCCATTGTTACATCGTAGATATTGCCGACAGCCTGCTTGGCTGCCACTTACAAAAGTCAATGAACGACCATCGCAACGATCTGCACCAGTAGGACATTTTACTTTCAATGGGTCAGCACATGAACTTGTATTGGGGTCGAAAAAGGTCTCATTCTTGCATTGGCCCCAAACAGGTGCAGGATCTGGTATAGAACCTTTGTCAGCACAATAGAAGTAACCACGACATGTGGCATCATCGGATACGAATTTGTTCTTCAAGGGGGTTCTTACAGTTCCGCAAACGTTATTGGGGAATGGAATTTTTGGACAATTTACTTTCCACTTTTCTAAGCAAATACCAGAAGTTGAATTATAATATTGACCAGCTGCACAATTCCTAACAGTTAGAACTCTTCTAGTGCATTGATAATATTTACGGCAATCGGTTTCATGAGCTACTTTGGTATTTGTTTTAACAACTGAACATATATCGAATGAGCTTAGTTTACAGTCAGATTTTGATTTATAGACACAAGACTGAGTTGCGAAATTAAAATGCAAACCATTTGCACAATTTCCGTGAATCGGCGTATTCTCATCCTCGCAAAAATAATAGCCTTTACATGATGTTTTATCGCTTATGAATCGACCCACATGTTCTAAGCAAGAAAGCTGACAGTGACGGTCATCAGATAATGTTTTCGCACATCTCATAGTGGAATTATTGAAATATGGAGTAGATGTAGCGCAACGCGTGTATTCGGACACTGAATTATTACAGGTGATGTAATGGTTGCATGATGATGGATCGGCAATTTCAGTATTATCTGGAAAAAAGCGGCAAATGTCTTCGGTATCGGGCAATAGTGTGTTGCTAGTGAGGTCAACCAATAAGAACATCAGCAGATGTGCTGCCACTGGAGCTAAAGTATTGAAAAAGTAGCTAAATATATAAATTCATATTTTTTTTTTTAAATATGTATGTATTATGTATGTAAGCACGTATATATATGTATGAATGTGTGTATGTATTTCTATTTTGTCCAACCTCTCATTGTGCGTCCAATTAGTCACTTGTCCAAGTCAATTAACTTTCAAAGAGCTTAAGCACTTTCCTTGCTTGTGATTATTGACTTTTTGCTAACATTTCTGTTTGGCACTTCTATTTATTGTTTTTCGCAAAGCATATAATTCAATCAAATTCCCAACAGGAGCAATAATGCTAATATTTGATTAAACATACATACATATGTGCACATAAAAGTATGGATATCCAGTAGGAAATCGTAATTACATTGTTCGTTATGTGAATGAAAGGATAATTATCCAAATCCAGTAATTGTGAAAATGACTGAAGGAAAAGTTGAATTTAGAAACGATCGATTTTAAACTTAATGGGAGGGGTCATCTTAAATATTGTAATTAAAGAGATGCGCTGAAAATTACGGTAATGTACCGTTTTCAATAATAAGCAACATACTTGGCTGAAATTGTACTTAGTAATAAAAATGTATTATGCTAGTTAAGCTTTTCCTGCAGGGCGTGTATCTACAAACGAATTAAAGTTAGATTTTTGGCGTGCGATTTAAAGCGGAGATATATTTACATTTATAAAGATTATTAGATAAGAACAAAGATCGTAAATCTGTTCACAGCTGTCCATACAAATATTAAGCAGGCGCTATATTCGGCTAAAAATGTGGAGTTCGGTTTAATATATTATTTAATATTTGAGTTAATATTTTGCACACTTAGGTTTATGTGATTTTTTATATATGTATCGAAATAACAGTTTATAAAGTTTAAGTTGGTGTGGCCAACTTACTTTTATGATTAATACTTAGAATAATTTTTGGCTTAATTACTTATATATTATAATATAATATCTAAAATATAAGAAAGTCTCGCGTTAAAAGTAAATTCAACGCCTTAATAAATATTTCAAAAGCTAAAGAATCTCGGCATTTATTACTAGCATGTCTTTAATCTAATCTAAATTTCATAAAACAACGTATTTGAAAGCAATTCTTTGATTTAAATTCAGTAAGTAGCAAATAAATCAATTATAACATTCAGGTGTTTTTCAATATGCTATAAAAGCAAAATACTTAGCTGTGTGCAGTCAGTTTAAATTTGAAACTAAGTGACTAACTAAAGAATGAAAGGTACGCGAATAATAAATTAAATATAGTGCTGCCCTAAATATCCGTTTATTTTGTTATTCTTAAGCAGTAATGTTATTGCTAAAGCGATTTTGTTTTATAAAAGCGCGCTTATCGATTCATCTCTTCATAAACTGGCGGTAATTCATTGCATTAAATGAAGTGGAAATCTACCACTCTAATTTTTATAGAGTTTCAACTCCTTCCTTGCTAGCTCCGCCTCGAACATTTTGGAGCAGGAATATTTTCAATGATTCGGACGATGCCAGCGTGCTCATATTAATGCAGCAATTCTCACCATAGATAGATAGATAGGGCTAGAGGTATGCACCGCGACCTATGGTCTATTGTGCTCTCCCCTAAGTCACATCGACTCATCTAGCCCCAGCATATTGATAAACCGAAATATTCTGCTAGGCGCTAGTGAAGCGATGTGATCCCTGTTTGGAAACATGGATCCAGAGGCCTTAATTCTGCGTCTGCAGACTGCTTTGCAGTCCACTAGCAGGTGTTCAGGGGGTTTCAGCTCCATGTCGCAGAACCGGCAGTTTGCAGAAGAGACTAAACCCATGATGCTATACTTATTACTTTATCGAGATAACAGCTATTTCTTATAAGATAATAAGAGTGTCAGTATTTGTACGGCTTTAAATTATCTTGAAGTTCGGTTCAGCTTAAGTACCAAACTTCATTCGCTCGAGCTTGGCGATGTAAATTACATTCGCAAGCTTCATACAATTCGTCTGGACATGCGTCATAGTAGGGATGAATCAAGGGGAAAACACAAGTTATCTGACAATTTCACAAAAATGTGCTGCTTAAGCCACGACTCCTTCATTCTATACATATGACAATTTTTTTATGTAATAATATTTATGCGATATAATTTTATTCGTTATGCTATTATAGGCTTTCGGCTGAAGACATTAATAACTGTTCTATTCGGAATACTTGGCATTGTTCATTGTCAAGAAGTCTTGAGCGCAGAAAACGACATTTGCAGACTCTTCAAAGATGACGTCTTGTTGCGAAAGCCAGGCTTTTGTCATATCGGCATAAGATGTAAAGGCTTTAAGAGCATCACTGAGATTGAATGTGACAAAAATCAGTTTTACAATCGAAATACTAACAAATGTGAAAGAACTTCTACCGACAAATACTGTGCCACAGCATGTTCTTCTAAATCTCAGGGTTATATTGCGGACAATAAAAACTGTCAAGGCTGGTATAACTGCAAAGGATCTACTACGGTTAGCTTTGGCTTTTGTGCGAATGGTCTGGCTTTTAATGAAAATAACGGCATGTGCGATTATCCGGAAAATTTTTCTTGCAAAAAGGAATTTGATTTTTGTGATGTAGTGCCTAATTCAACACCATTTTTGCACGAGAAGAACTGTGCTGGCTACTACGAATGCGTGAGAAACAGACTAGTGGAGCAGGCTTGTGATCCCGGTAATTACTTTGATGTTGTAACAGGAACTTGCATTCCAAAGAATAAAGTTTATTGTGCAAAATATCCGTATCCGAATGAAGTGTGCGGTAATACAAAACTTGCAATAAGAAATCACTTTGTCAGTGATGACGCCACTTGTCGGGGATATTTTTACTGCAAAGACCTCGGTGTTGGTATCCCAGATGCAACACCGATTTGGGGACAGTGCTCGGCAACAAGATTTTTCGATCCCACAGAAGAGGCTTGTTTACCTCGGGCACATGTGCAATGTGCTGAAGATCGGTGCGACGGTCGAAATGATGGTTATGAGTTAAGTTCAAAATCTGGCTGTCAACATTACCTAATTTGCAAAGGCAACAGTACTTTAGAGGAAGTTTATTGTGGCGCCGATAAGTGGTTTAATGCAGACAAAAATGAGTGCACCACAACTATTACATCGTATCCAGCTTGCTCTTAAATCTAGATTTTCGTGCACCCATCTGTGCTTTACGTGGGGCACCATATAACTGTAACAACTTTACTCAATACTTACACTAATATCAGTATATAAAGCTCTTTCAAATCTACAATTAATAATAATATGTATGTCATATGTTGATAAATAATTATTTACATCGACCTAAAAAATATTTTTCTAAAATTGTAAAGAAAATAAAACATATGGACCAATATAATCGGACTAAATGTTAATGGTGGTCTACTTGCCAATACACACAAAAATATAATCCTTATTATCCGAGATATTCATTGGATACCATAATTATCTACAATCTTAAAATTGTACTCAAAATAAATAAGGGTATTTTGATTAGTTTCTTTTTACTGCACCATATTTTTAGATCATTTTTACTTTATAAGGGCGGCCCGATAAGTACCTAGCCACACCTAAAGATGACAAGAGAAATCTGCTGTACTACTATTGTGTTTTTATATATGGCTACTGGATGTTGGTGGAGATCGATTCTTCTCCTTCGATGACGACCGTTAAAATTGATTTAACAAGTTTCAACGTGATCTCACGTCGGTTTTTGCTGAGCCGCGTCCACGGCCGATAACGTGAGAAAATTCAAAAGGCATCTTAAAATATTGCGTAGGTCATATTCTGCTTTAAATATTGGGCATGATAAAGTTGTCGCTGTTTAAGCGCAATCCAAAGGAGTTTTTGCGTGTTTTGAAACCATTGACGAGACATGGATCCTCTGGTACATATTCGAGATCAAGGAACAGTCGAAAAAGTGAACTTTAGCCAGCGAATATGATCCGAAAAAAGTGCATTCGTTCATATCTCCCCATTCCCACGGCTAAATTGGACGAATTACCATACACTACGAACTGCTGCCCCATCTGTTAGTTATTGTGTATTTGTCAAATCACCGTTGTTCGAACTCTGTACGAACTTTAATATTATGTTGAGGATTCTTACATAGTATTTTTTATCTGCAATCAATTGTTTTTTATAATAATAAAACCTCCGATGGTTTGTGGATTTTTTTAAGGATTTAAACCCCCAAGCAATTTAACTTTTTAATATTATTTTTTATCGTTCAATTGACGTTATACCCTATAACGCATGTTATCCAGAGATTTTCTTACCACATTGTTTTAGTATCTAAACTATTTGGTGAGATTAAGTTTTGCTGTGATACACCAATATTATGTAGAAGCGCACAAAAGTATAAAAATTTGGGGAAGCTTCTTAACATAAGTAGTTTTAGAGTTTTATGATTATTCTATAGCTTTCAGTGCTAAAGAAAAAAATAACAAGTAAAGAAGAGCTAAGTTTGGGTGTAACCGAACATTTTATACTCTAGCAACTTGCAAAGATCAAAACGGGGGAAAATTCTTTTTGAATTTCAATAATATATCTGAAAGGTTGACTTATATTTTTAGTAAAAAGTTCGCAATAGGAATTGTGGTCGACATATTTGGTACCTAGGGGCTTGAATAGTTTTGGTTCGATTTAGACAATTGATCATTGCTTCTTGATTTGTATACGGGAAAGTGAAAGCATAAAATGGAATTTAATTTAATTGGCGCGGTAGGCGTGGTTATTGTCCGATTTGTCCCATTTTCCTACCGTAACATGTCAATATAATGTTACCTGCCAAATTTGGTTGAAATCGGTTGAGTGGGTTTCGAGATATGGGATTTCACATAAATGTGGGCGGTGCCACGCTCATCGTTCAAATTTTTGGTAACTAAAATACCATCTAACGGTATAGCGGTGTTTGTTGCCAAACTCCTCCGAAACGGCTGGACCGATTTTGATGCAATTTGATGTACATATCGGGTAGGTCTAAGAAACGGGCAACATCTATTTTTTGTACCGCTAAATGTTAAGAGTGGTCGACCCCAAATATTAATTTCTTTTTATTTTTTCGTACAAAGTTTTTAGTTTTTCACTATGCAGCATTGAAAAATTCCAAATTTCCACACTTATAGTATCCACTCCTGATTTTTAATCGCTATTTTTATATTTTTCTATTCCAAGCAGAGACAATCGAATATAATAATTGTAGTATACTATAATTTCCATGTAGTATAGTTCTACCAACTAATCAGTTATTCCTGCCAGGTATCTATCGTCCAGCAAACATCACGGAGTAGGAATGAAAATAAGTCGGCTTATTTTATTCTCATAGCGAATTTAACATTATTTCTTTGTGCATCTCGAAAACGGTCAAAATAGTGTTATAAAGCCACCAAAAACTGCGAGTTTTGAATTTTTTGAATTGTGTAATCGTTTGCGTGTTTTTGGTGTTTTTGGAATCAATCAAAAAAACTGGATACTCCTCAAGCAAGGCATACCAGTTGACGCATGCCCTGGTTTATTCAAATCAAATAATTTAGGTCGTATATATACTGTCCATCCAAGGCAGACTGAGTGCTTTTATCTGCGACCGTTGTTGGTTAATGTCATCAGATCATTAACATTTCAAGATATTTGGAATCAGGAACATAAATTCGTCTACTATTTGCTATAGTATCTACGACATGTTTTCCGACTTGATCACAAATGGTGTCAGATAATTACAAAGATTAGATGACTGATGACATCAATCAAGCATTGATTGCTATTGAGGATCATTGCATTGTCATTGTGAATTTGCCAAACAGTCATTTCGGTATGAGTTCACCAAATCGAAGTGCATTTGATTTAATCAACACATATATATGTAAATCGTGAAATGAAGTATGTTATGATGCGGTTGAATTCTTCTACTACTACTCTCAGTGAAAAAGATGCATCTGCCGAAACTTTCTCAAAACAATTGTTAGATATTCACAACAGAAAACTAGCTGTACATGAAAATTTTAGATGCATAAAATTACCGACGGACTTATGCACAATCATCAATTCACAAAACACTCTCATCGACAATATACTTTCCGATGTAAACAAAAAATATAATATTGACTGGCAGCAAGATTGATTTTGGCAGCAAAAAATGTGAACGTCAATGAATTAAATTCAAAGATAAAACAGTTGTTGTTGATTAGTTATTAAAAAGTTGTAGAAAAACATTAACGAAGCCACCATTTTGAATGGCAATTTTCGGGGTGAACATGTATTGCTATGATTCTTACAGATTTGCCCATTGAATTTAAACGCATTCAATTTGCAATTAGATTGCAATGGTGATGAATAACTCACTAGACCAAACGTTGTTTGTTTGTGGCCTAGATTTAGCTATACCACGGTTTTCCAATGGACAACTTTATGTGACATGTTCTCGCGTAAAAAAACCAACCAGTTTCTTTGTATTCTCTAAAGAGACTGACCAAAATGAGACAAAAACCCTTAGACTTACATTTTCACGATGAAGACAGTGAAAAGGCTTATCGAGTTATATGTATAAGATCTCTAATAATGGCGTACTGCTTCGAGCGACCTATTGAAGCTCAACGTAGAAGGGTAAAGATAGATGCTGCAGTATAGACTTTGATTAGAGAGGCGTATTTTGTTTACTAATAACCAAGAGAATTATCAGCAAAAACTGGGTGTATACACTGGGCAAAAGGAACACAGGCATTATGGCTTCGATTCGCTTACTGTAGATACACTTTCTCGGGAACTATAAAAATGTTACAGCAATAACACTTTGAGCAATGGTAAGATATTAGCTTTATGAGCTGGCCCAAAAGGTATAACAAAATAAAAATAAAAACTATAGCTTTGAAAGGAATATAATTATAAATATGTATATTGTAATAATATAAATACACAAGTTGAAAACCTTTTGGAGTACCTGGGGTGTACATATATAGTTCTTAGCATCAATTATTACCCTATTACTCGTTAGTTACGGTCACTATGGTTGATGTAGTTGTAGTACTACCATTCGGAGGTATTGGAGTTATCAACTCGGAAATATTGGAAGTATCGTCCACGATGGTTGATGGAGAAGTAGTATCGGAAGTACCAGAAGCTACGAAACACGCGCTATTGGTTACCTGGCTATTTCTTCCGTTGCCTTGTATGCAAGCCTCAACAACCTCGTCAAAATAGTAACCAACACCGCAGGTGTTAATTGATTTTCTAACACCATTTTGACATACCAAATATTTGCGACATTCTGTGTCGACTGCGTTAACAAATTGGTTGTTCGAAAATTGGCATCTATCGCAATCGTATGTTTTAGCATTGCTACGTACTACACATGATTCCGTTGTATTATCGTAGTAATAATTAGTATTGCATGAATAACTCCTCCACTGACTGTTTTCACATCTTAAATAGTCGCTGCATATACTAGAAGGTCTTACAACGCCTTCTGTGGTGCACGTGCCGAAATATTCTGGATCAGGTAGAATGTTGATGCCAGAAACCTGGGAACAGGCATTTTGATTTTCATAGACACATGATCCTGTTTTCACATCGTATGCCTTCGCGTAGTGTGAGAAAAAAGCTTATTTCTAATTTCAACGGAATAAATGTAATCATCAAGCAATACTTACCAAGCCATTTCTACATAAGCCTCTAACCAGTCTATTCCTTCTACACACTTGCCATTGTGCACATTGTCTTGTGCTACCAAAGAATTGGTTGTTCTTCATAATTTGACAAACAGATGTAAAGTTGGCATTAAGATTAGTGACAGCTGTGGTGCATGAGCCAAATGTGCATACGCCGTTGTTGAAAATTAAATTGTCAGCGCACCTTCCATTTCCGGCCTCTTGTCCGTTTTTACAGTAAATCCAACCATTGCATGTACCAGTTCTTTGTACAAAAGTTTCATCCGCTCCATTGCATGGGTTACTTGGGTTAAGAAAACATTGAACTGTACTTTCAGCCACGCAGTCTTGCTCGTCCTTACTGAAACTACGGCCGAGGGGACAATCGTAAGCCGTAGCTATACCATTGTTACAGGTGTAGTAACGCCGACAAGAGTCGATGCTACCAATCCGTAAGCCATCTGAGACCAACGTACATACAGCGTTCACGTTGTATTCGGCGGATATAGAATTAGCCAACGTCAGTAAGAGCCACTTAACTATAAATTGTTTCGCTATAAAGAGACATAATTGTTAAAATAGTAATTAGTGGTTCTAATCAAGGGTAGACGAACATTTGGTATATATATATATTTATGTTAAATCCTTTAAAGATTTGCACATTTAAATATAAATACACTTAATACATTTTAATTTATCTATTTAACATATGTACGAGTTACCTAACATTTCGCGTATTAAATCAATGGGGATGTGAAAATTTTCAAGTATTTAAGTACACTGACTGGTGATAAAACATGCTGGCCGTTTTTATAGTACGGAAAGTGGCGATTTAATATTTAAACTGCTGGCTTTATGATTAGATCAAATAATGGAATGAAAATATTTAATTAAATAATTTTTTTTCTTCTCATTTATTGAAGAAGCGCCTGTAATGATAAGGCATTACAGTTCTCAGACAAAGAAATTATTATGAGTTTTGCCTGCTTTCTGAAGACATTTAAAAGCAGGTGATTCATATATTTTTAATTAAAACAAATATTCCGCTTAAAATTAATTAATAGCGTCATTATCGGCGGACTTGTTCCCAATATAAATGTAAAGTTTTAGCCTGTGGTTTTCGGCTCAGCTTCTTCTCATATGATGTTTAAATTAATAGATAACGAAAAAAAATAAAAAAATAATAATGATAAAATGATTTAATGACTGTATTGAACAAATACTGTAAACTTTATATACGACTAATGTAATTGGAACCGAATGCACTTTTGGAGGAAAAAAGCGCTTATGATTTGCTGAATTTTCTATCGATTGACTAGTTTGTGGCTAACATTTCAGCACTAAACTGTGTGGATGTGCTAATAAAGAATATAAATAACTCTTAAAAATGGTATTATCGAGCTAGCGACCAGTAGATAAGTATACTATTTTTGAATCTAAATTAACGGATATCAAAAACATACGTTTTGTTTTTATATTATATGTTGAAAAATGTTTGTGTTATCATTTTGAATTAAAAGAAGAAATGATATTCTAAGGAAGATAAACGCTGTTGTATTCCGATTTTCGAATTTGAAACTACTGAAGGTGAAATCTTATTGCTCAATTAATCACTGATGTGTGTATAATAGCATTATATGGCAGTGGTGTTAATTAACATTTGAGTTTTCTATTTTCACTTTAACAAGCAATGGTGATTATATTCGACATGTTTTAGCAAACTAATAATTTAGCGATCAATAAATGCTATTGCTTTAGCATTAAATATTACTCAAATCTCCTCATTTTATATAGTTTCTTACTGCTAATGAAGCCGGGGTTGTCCTGATATAATTAGTTACTACTCAAGATAATAAATAATTTAATGTGTTAAAAATAATAAGAAAATAACAGTTAGGAGTCTTTTGACAAACAATATAAGTGGCGCTCACATGAATTAAACATCCGTTATTAGGCATATTTCTGAATTTATTAAATGTTATGAATAATATTACAAATAATTACATTATGCATTTAAATTTTTTATTTTATTATACATTTCAGTTTATTCTAACCAGATATGTATATCGATTCTATTTTTCCATTCTGCTGGAGATTTTAGGATCGAAGACTCTTCCGGACTAACAGTAGATGCCAATTCATAATATAAGGCAGTTATTGGGTTTCTGTAGTTTCAGTGGTACCAGTCTGGGTAGCATTTGCACAGCATTTAAATTCTGGGTTTACTGATACGCAACCTCCCAGCTCCTCATTGAAGTAACCGTTATTTGGACATGGTTCTGAATCCCTTTTGACACCATTAGAGCAGTACAAATATTCATGACAATCGGTGCCGAAGGCATTTACGAACATATCAGTGGTACCTAAACAACGATCGCAATCGTTATAAGCATCAATACGTTCTACACAAGTTTCAGTCTCTGTATCGTAGTATAAGTCGTTAACGCAATTCGTCAGTTGGTATTTAGTACCATCGCATAAGTAATATTGATTACATGCAGTAGCCTTTATTTTTGTTCCCTTAATTACATAAAAAATTGCAAACATACAATATTAATTAATTAAAGTAATATAATATCAAAAACTATTTTACTTACTTCTGTCGAGCATGCTCCCCCACCACCGATACCTGTCACATCTAACTCCGGATCGTTAGTTACCTGTACATAATGTAAATACGATATAAAAGATAAGTCTTCTCCAAGTAATAATTGGTTGAATGATGTAAAATAAATATACCTGTGAGCAATCAACGTTTGTTGCATAATCACACATCGCTCTCGCTGTATTGTAAAGCAAACTATTTCTACAAGTTCCATTTTGCAAATTGGTGTCGCTAGTGCATCTTAACCATCCTGAACAATTGAAAGCATTACCAAAGAAAACTCCTACTTGTATATACGAACACAAATTGATTGGTTCGTCTGTATTATCATTAGTTGTCGGGCAGCTAACTTCGGATGGGTAGTCACAAATTTGGTTTACCGAGTCGAAATATAGACCATTTGGGCAGCTACCGACTTCTGCACCTGTATCTGAGCAGTAATAATAGCTTTCACAAGAATCAGGCTTAGCAACGAAAGATCCTACGGCACTTCCACTACATGGATCCGACGAAGTAGAGGTACAATACGCTGGAGCCTCACTGACGCACATTTGCGTATTCTTATTGAAATAGGTGCCACTCGAACAATTTTGAGCGATAGCAATTCCATTGGAGCAGAAATAATATTGTGTACAGGAATCGCCACTGGCAATTAGGGCATCATTCTTCAGTAACAAGCAGATATTGTTCATATCTAGGGCGACAGTTATTGAACTGCAGAGCAGTATAATTCCCAACGCATAGATGCAATGGACGGGAGAACCAGCTTTAAAGAGAAGTTAAAGATACTTTTATTGTAAGCTATATATGCTACATATGTATGTAAATATTTATGTAAATGAATTTAAAAGTTAAATATTAAATTTTAAATGTTTAACTTACTAAACATTTTGAGATATCCTTTTAATTAATATTAAGTAGTACTTTAATTGAATTAGGCAGACACGAATGTACTTCTTGAACTGTTTTACTCCAATTTGGACCAACATGTATTTATACTCAGTAATGTTGTCGGTAACTGTTCCAGTGTCTGATAATTTTTGATGTGTCAACGAGACATATTTGTGATATATTTAATTGATCGCTTTTTATGCAAAACGGAAATACTGATAATTTTACTTTATGGCATTAGCGAAGTCTTATGCTCATTTGTCACTGACTGTCAACTTCAAGAGGGAGAAAAATTAAATCCACAACGCCTTTTCAAGGTGTTTGTATTCCATTAAAAATTTTAAATGTTCATCAGATGCCTATCTAGCTTATGATAGAGTATTTACTAAGCGCTATGACTAAGTGATATTATCGCTATATGTAGTTGTAATTACATAGTATGTAGTTATGATTAAATTATTTATTTTTACTGAATTAAAAATCATATTTGTATAAGTGGATACATAAATTTATCTCACGTCAGTATGGTGTTAATAATTTATTACAAAAATTGATTTATTATTCGTTAATTTAAGCAGGAAAATATGTAAAGTCTCGACGAATAGTAAATTTTAAATTTTCTTAAACAAAATGTGAGAGGAATTGATATGTTGAAGAAATGCATAAAAAATAAGACTCACTGGTTTTTATAGTGGATGTGGCTAAGACCTCTAAGCTAGCTGGACCTCTGGAATTATTTAAATTTCTATTGGGTGAAGTAAAATAAACAAATGAATTTAAAATAACCATAAAAGCACTTCAATGTCGTTACGTGTTTTTTGTAAGTGAATATTTACGCTGAATTATTTGTAGAGTCGAATTTTTTTGTCAAATCGAATATCGAAAATTCTTGCCAAAAATAATATTTTTCTCTTTACAAAAGATATCTCAAGATTTTTCCTTGTTATGATTTTGATATTATTTCTCGGCCTATTAGTTTTAATTGTTATGATTGGACCAAGTGTAAAATTTTAAAGAAAACTAAAGCTACCGAAATGTAAAAATATATGTACATTCCACGCATTTACTAGAAGTTGGGTCACACCTTTTATGAGAAATATTCATTTATTGTTATTATTATTATATATATATATATGTATGTAAGATTATTTTTTATATTCTTTCAAAAATAATCGACGTAGTACCTGGTGCAAAAGAAGTACAGTGAAGACCAAATCTCGAAGGCACTGTCAAGTAAATATTTGTTGCTTTACGGCGTGAAATCAAGATAAGGTACGCGCGTATAAATATTCCTGAGCAGACGCAAAATGCGTAATACGTGATAACTTTTTATTCCTATGTGTGCATCCGGTTGTTTTCGGAGAGTAACAATCAAGTTTAAATATTCGTATTATTTGATAAAATAATAATTTTTTATTGATGTATTTACACTCACTTGCAAATTTTAATTAAATTTACACATATGTATATACATATAGGGTACCAGTAGACACTAAGCTCAAAATTTCTTCCAATATACAATTTTCTTTATGGCTAGCGTTTTTAAAGTGTGGTCGCTGACTTTTAATTGAAATTAAACCCCGTAAATTTTAGACCACTCGGGGCATGGCAGTAATTGCAAATTTTAAATTTGATTTGTTTAAAATTTTTATTAATAACAGCTATTAACGAATCTGTAGCTAATGAAATGAAATATCTAAATGAGTTGATTGCCACGGTGGGTACACCTAAGAGGTGTAGAATACAGAAGAAAGGACTACAAATGAAACTAGTACATTTCTCTGCAAAGTTAACGTCTTTGTATCGGTTTTGTGTTATCACCTATTGTGATAAGTCCTTATCAAATATAGTGATAAGGGAAATTCAATATACGAGTCACAATCGTTTTAATTGAGTTAAGAACATGCTGATCAAAAATCAAATGATCTAAGCTTTGTTCCTTAATTTAGTTAATTAACAGTATGATAAATGAAACAGTGGAACAAATTCGCCACACAATTCTGAGGAAGACATATCAAATGAAGAAACGACAGAAAATTCTTACATCTTTTTTGTTTAAAAACTAAAACTAATTTGAAAGATTCATCAATGGCTAATTCTATTTTGTAGTGGGTTCTCCTTTTTTTTGTCTTTAAAATTTTCAAAAGACGTTTCTTGGAAGTCACTGTAGTGTTACACATATGTAACAGTTTCATTTTTTCATTTATGTAACTGTATATAGCCGTTCCCTGCGAAATTTTAGAGCAACGATTTAGTTACCCGCAATAGAATAGATGTTGACTTGTGACATTTGATCATCTCTTTATTTGAATACCTATGTACAATACATATATATTATATAATATATGGAGCATTCGGTAAGTAAAACTGTACCAATTCAAAAAGCTTTTACCAATTTCAACTAAATGATTTATTGTTGTTTACGTATACTTAAATTTGGTTTTAAGCCAATGATTGGCATGCGATACAATTTTTTTAAACAGTCATCATATGAGGACGCTTTCACTCAATTCCCGTAGGTTAAGCAGCGCCAACTATAAATATTTGACGATGCTAGAATTTAGACCTTACTGACACACTCATATTTTGAAATTAGTTGAAGAAATGTGAGTTTTTTCGTTAGTAGAAAAATCCGCTTTAATTCAAACTGTCCAATACCACTGTGCTAAGTATTAATGAAACGACGATATTGCATGTAATTCCATTACTTAACACAATTATCAATGAAGTTCTTTTCGAGTTGATCTAGTAGAAATCTTGAGGGCCGATTTACCGCATACACTAGTATAACCAGCTCAACCAAACATAAATGTAATTATGACATAATTTTAAATGGTTAATGGTTAATGTCTTTAAGGTACCCGTGATTTATTGCGCTCAAATTACTTTACTTTATAGAGTAATATTTATTTATAATAACTACCTAAGCATTTAATTTGTTTGATTTAATGCTTTGATATTAAAATTCTTTGCAAGTACATACATAGTACCACAAAAGCTCGTGTATAAGAAATTTTTCGTTCAGTATTTAAGAACATCGAACACAGATAGTTTCTCTTGATATTAGCAGAGCAAAATATTTAACATTTTTGCTTATTATTTACGAACAACGCCGAAGGAAATGTGTAAGTGTTTCAAAATTATGTTAAGAAAAGTTTTAGATAAAAAATAATTATAATTTAAATACTGTTCGGTTTTTGTACTAAAAATAGTGGACAAAGGAATATTTTCGTTGTTGTTGCTTTCTGTTGCCGTGAACGCTAGCTTCGATCCGAATGAAATTTGTGAATTACTTTCGAACGGTACACGTATCAAAGATCCTCGAGCCTGTAATGCATGGATAACATGTATTGATGGTATACCTCATGCTGGCACCTGTTCAGATAATCTCTTTTACGATCGTAACACATATGCCTGTGTTAACTCGACCAGTATAAAGTGTATTTCAAGTAATCCATGCGCGACTTTGACTGATGAAACCGGCTTTGCAGCTGATCCTTATGCTTGCGATGGCTACTATTATTGCAATAATGGCTCAGCAGCACATGGCGTATGCCAAACAGGTTATAATTTCAACCCAGGAACGAGTGACTGCATACGAGGTTATCCCTGTGCCATAAATATGAACCCGGATAGTTATTGCAACATCCTGCCCGACGGCGTGTTTATCAAGGTTCGAAATAGTTGTGTTGAATATCAGCTATGTTGGAAGGGTGAAATATTGAGTCGCGAATGTCCTAATGGTTATTACTATAACGCGCTTATGGCAGACTGTGATTATCCAGCAAATGTGAAGTGTATTGACAAATCAAGTGATTTACCGTCTTCTGAGTTTTGTAATCAGACTGGCATATTTGTATCAGATCGGCATAGTTGTAATGGTTATTATTACTGCAGTATGACGATGGAAAATGGCACGGATAGAATAGTGTTACAGCATGGCATTTGTCCGGATGGCAGATTCTTTGATGAGTCAAACGGTGGCGAATGCGTACCACGAACTAGCATCGCATGCAACTACAATCGTTGTGTTGGTTTGGCTAGTAATAAAATCGAATTGGTTAACGAAACAAATGATGGATGCCATGGATACACAATTTGTCAAGGTGGCGTGTCCATCGGCAATGGCACTTGCCCTGACAATGGCTACTTTGATGAGCTTAATCAGTCTTGTAGAAACGCGACTATCAGCTTTCCAGCATGTGTCTCTTCATAGTCTAAAAATATTTGTAATAATTAATTTTTAATAAACATAAGTATTTATTTCAACATCATAGTTCATATTGTTATATGAAAATGGCTTACATTCTGGTGTGTATACCATTTTTGGATTCTAATGCATGTGTCATGACTATATTTAACCAAATTATTTAGAGATAGAATTTTTGCAAAGCACCGTTGATGATATATCGAAGCAACAAGAGTACGTTTTTAAGAGATAACTGAATTTTCTGAAATGTATGAAATTAATTATTTGTTGATACTTTTTTCAATCTATTATGTGTTATCATAATGAAATAGTAGAAACTGGGTAATAATAACTGATTAGATAATTATTTCTTGAAATACTTTAAAGGCACATAAATAAAATAAGAGTTTTAGAACATTGGCCGACTTGACTGACTAATTCAAGCGCAATGTCAACACTCGAATTAACTGCAGCAATATTGTTGTATACAAAGTTATTATTATATTAATTCTATTTTTGTGGTTTCACTGTATTTGATATTTAATTATCTTTTATAATTTAGTTTACTTTCTATGAGGATTCAACTGCTCTTGCTGATGGCCACTTTTATAATGATCGATACAATAAATTAGCATTTGCTCGTTGCCTTTTATCACTGTCACGATCCAACAGCTAGTGCCAGTGTTTTTCCAAATTTCTGAATTCTTTTTGTTTAGCGTGTTGCCGTTGAGGAATGCGAAGGTCATCCTCGTTATTTACTGTGTAGTTGGTGCAAGGTTGCTGACTGCCTACGTTTGACAACCAAGCGTCAAAACTCTTACGGTTTCCCAGCATAGGAAAATGGAGAAAAAAATTGATCAGTCAAAAGCAATCTCCAATATAACCCAATATACGAAAATGTGTAGCAAAATCGATCATCCAAAGATGATACGTTAACTTATATAAGTAGTTTTATACCCATTTCTTCTGTGATACAAACAACTTTTAGCTGAAACTAACTAAACTTAAAACTAACGGGACTTTCCAGAAAAAAATGTCGAAATTATATCAGTATGCCTTTTTTCAAACAACTTCAACAGTTAGCATTCGACAGGACTTTCAGTCTCACCACATGCACGCCCCCTTTGCCCATATGTACAAACCACTTTACAACTAAAGAAAGGCGAACCTTGCATATATATACAATAGATCAAAGACGAGTTTAATAAAAACAATAGTAGAGCAAAAAAAAAAATAGCACAATATTATAATGTTTTTAACCATTTTTTGGTATATTTGCTTATCTAAAAACATAATCAATAATTGTTGCCAAAAGAGTTTTGTCGCATAATTTCACATAGCTACTTTTAGGCTGAACAGGCTATATAGCTGATATTAAGTGGAGTGCAGCCTTGAGTACGTTCATCGAAGAAGTAATTTGTGTCACATTTACCACTAGCGATTGTTGCGCCATTTTTACAGCGAGCATATGCACTACAGTCCCCAGCCACGTTGACATATTTGTTATCCATTCCTTCGCAACGGTCTAAAGAGCATTTGACATTCAGACGGTCACGACATGACCAAGTTGCGTTATCAAAAAAGTATCCTTCTTGACATTTTAAATGAAGAGGTTTTCGATCAGGTTTTCCATCGTTCTGCTTGGCACATATATAATAAGCACTACATGATTGATCGTCGGAAATATAGCCTACTCGTGCAAGGCTCTCCGTTCCGCAAATTTCGATTTCAGGTTCGAGTTCTGGTGCTAAAGGATGGCAAATTGCCTCCTTTCGGGCTACACACTTCAATGTCGTATAATTAAATGCTTGACCTTCTGCACACTGCAACGATTGTAGTTTGCCATCTTTCACACATTGCTGGTATTTTGTACAATCCGTGATGTCGGCGAAAATTGTATCATCAGGTATCGAATTACAAATTGGGCTTGAAGTTGACTTCTCTGTTTGCTTTGGGCAACGATATTCGCTTGAATAAACACAAGAACCTTTCTTGGGATGGAATACTAAATCTTTGGGACAATTTGAATACGCTTCCTGACCATTCATACAAAAGATGTAACTGTTGCAATTTTTGGGATCTGCCAAAAATGTGCCATCTTTCATTGAAGCGCAATGGTTATCATCATAGTTTCCGGTATTCTCGAAGGGGCATGTCACGTCTTCTGATGATTCACAACGACTTTTATCTTTGTTAAAATATAAGCCAAATGCACAGAAGCCTTCATCATATTCTTGGGCATTAAGTGCGGTGGGACATTGAATCCAATTGTCGCATGAATTTGGACGCAAAATAAAGATGTTTGGTGGCATCTGTTTACAAATATCCTCAACAGATATAGCTTCCATTTCAGATTGCGCTGCTGTAATGGCAACCGCTGCCAATAAGGTAAAAGTTGTTCCTGAAATAAAATGATTTTAAATGTAACGTTATAATACTATTCAGCGATATATATATTATTGCATTACTTACTCATGCACATTTTTGGTAGTAACATCTGTAAGGTGCCTAGCAAAGTTATATTTCTTAAATGTTTGAATTTGTTTGTTTTTTCAAGCACGATTTTGTTAGACAATTGATTGGCATAACAGAAACTTCACTGGCGATAATTTCGTTTTCTAGCGTCCCTTTTATATCCAAAAATGAACATATGTATTTTATCATTGCTAAAGATCTATGATTGTCATTATTATTACGTCCTACCATATTATTGATCTTAGATAATGTGAGAAACAAAAGCAATCGTCGGAAAGTGATTACACGAGCAAAGCAAGTAAAATATCTTGATAATATATCTTCTTGTTAAATACATGTACTTGCGTGATGAATATATGATGAAGGCCTTACAAACTTTACCGTCAATGAACATTTGTAATTTATTTACATTTTTTATCATAAATTGTGTAAAATTTTGCAAATATTCCAACATATTATCACGTGATCTAATATCAGCATCTTCAGAACAACAAATTGTATATGCTACAATTGAAATATCAATGTCTCAACTATTTCGGAACGTTTTTGTGAGTTGAGTTCACTTTCATTTTTGTTGATATAACTACATACAACTATATATACCTATACTACATACATATACATAATTTTTTTTATTTGCTATCCAAATACGTCATTGGCTTATGAGAACTTTGATGTCGCCATTTTTAACTACCACATGTGTAAGTACATAACTATTTTGTTGACTAAATTGCATGAATGTAAAATATGAAACTATAGATAAATTTAAGAAATCTTATGTTGGAATCCAAAGAAAATAAATATATTTTAATATTATTTTTTATTATATATTATATTTTTTTTGTTGGAAACAACAATAAAACACTGCTATTTTCTCTCAACGATAAACGGTCGGCCGCTCTTCACTTATTCGTACATTCTTTTATTCGCAATCATTTTACTACACCTAATATTACTTTTTTCCAAATTTATTTGCAGCTAAAAGGATAGAAATCATTATATTTGGTGCATTAATATTTGATTTTATCGAGGTGAATCGAGGAAGCCGCATATTAGGTTTAGTGCTGAAAACTTTCCGATAGTCAAATTAATGGCGCTATATGAAAAATTTGTGTATTTGAGGTCTGAGTATGAAATTTTTGTTACAATTTCCTCTGAAAGCCTAATTTGTTTATTTTTCGTTTGTCAAACATTGCACAGGGTGCACAGAAAAGAAGAGAATGTGCAGTTTCAAATGTTTTGAAAAAAAAGGGCGCGACTCTGTCCTATAAAAGGTTTAATGTACATATGTTATGCAGCTTATAGTACATTTCATTTCCTAAGCCCCATATAACCAATTTTATTATTTTCGTTCTTCCGGTTGACTTTATATCATATATACTGGTCCGATTCCTATCTTCACGCCGCATTTATCAAACAGAAAGTGCGATACAAGATGTGTTCCAAAGTAAACAGTAGAAAAGTAACGAAGTAAACTCTAGTGACGCCATCTATATGTCGACTAGTGCGTTAGAATCTGCTATCCTTTATCGACTTCCAGTAAAAATTTCATGACATTTCATCTATTGGAAGTGAAGTTATTGCGTTTTAAGTGTCAGTATGTTTTTGTCATCGGTGCGAAAATGAGCTTCGAACAAAGAGCCAACATTAAATTTTATTTTAAAATTGGTAAAACTTTTACCGAAACGTTTTAATTGATGAAACAAGTTTATGGCGAATATTGCCTAACCCGTAGCACGAGTGGTTTCAACGTTTTCAAAGTGGCCGTGAGGACATAAATGAAACCAATAAAATCGCGCCTGGAGAAGTCAAAAGTGAAGACAATGCTGATTTGTTTGTATGATTCCAAGGGTATTGTCCACAAAGATTTTGTTCCACCCGGATGCGGTATTCTACCTTGAAGTTTTGAAGCGTTTGGTGCGCCGTATTCGACGTGTTCGGCCCGAATATCGCGCAGATGGAAGTTGGCGTTTGTTGCACAATAATGCGCCGTCTCATCGATCGACGCTTGTGGCCGATTATTTGACCAAAAATCACATTTTAACAATCAACCACTCCCCGTATTCACCTGATATGGCACCGTGCGACTTCAGCCTTTTCGGAAAAATGCATTTGCCGATGAAAGGAAAGCGTTATGCAGAGGTGGAGGCCATTCAAAAGGTTTGCACCAGCATACTGGCGGCCTTACCGGGCAACGAGCTAAAACACTTGTTCGACATGCTTTTCGACCGTGCAAAAAGCTGTATTAAAGCAGAAGGAGACTATTTTGAATAAAATTAATTGGTTTTGTCGATAAAACATTTGTTCTGTCTTTTTTTTTAAAGTCCTGTTTACTTTGGAACGCACCTTGTATATTGACAAAATTCGGTAAGTCTGTTGTAGCTAACACACTTTGCTTTTAAAAAGAAATGTAAGAAATCAGTCAATATTAGGCTTTAATATATATATGTATATCGGAAAGATTCTAATGTACGGTTCCTGCCATGTCTTAGCAATTTTTCATTTATTTATTTAAAAATCAGATTTATTATATATTTTTACTACAATAATAAATTATTACAATACCTTTTATTAGAACCCAAAATACTAAAGTATCGAAATGTGTATCCACAATACCATATATGTATTAACATTGGATGGCTTAGGCGGCATGTAAACATATCGCCCCAAAAAGCACCTAACATATGTGGCTATACGTTTAAATCGTTAATTATAAATTCCATATCTCATACAATAAGATAAATATCTGCTAACTGTTTGATTTCTTTCGTGAAGTACTATACTTCGAGAGCATCTGCTACTTTCAATTCAGACATTCGCCATTAAAGCAGTTTTAGTACTACAACGGCATCTAATATTCTTTGCCATAATACTGGGTTAATCAAATTTATGGGATTATAATCATACTTGCTTTTTAAAAGGTTTAAGAATAAAATATTTAATCAAGCTGTTTATATAAAGTTTATTGACATATTATTATTATTACTGGACTTATGGCATACATGCTGCATATGTGATAGTTTCTTGAGTGCAAACCTGTAAGCGTTCATCGAAGAAATATCCAGTTTTGCATTTACCAATTTTCCCTGTTACGCCATTTTTACAATGTGCATAAGACGCACAATCACCGATAACATTGATGTATTTGTTACCGATTCCTTTACAACGGTCCAAGTAGCACTTAACATTCATGCGATCGCGACATGACAATGTATTATTATCAAAGAAATAGCCATTTTGACATGTTAGATGCATAGGTTGGCGGTCAGGTTTGCCTGCTTCTTTCTTGGCACATATATAATATGCACTGCAAGATTCTGTATCGGCAATGTAGCCAACTACGGTATTATTCTCGCTGCCGCAAACATCTACTTCAGGTTCAAGTTCTGGCGCTAAAGGATGGCAGACCACCCTGTTTCGGGGTACACACTCCAGGGTGGAATAGTTGTATGCTTCGCCTTCGTTACACTCTAAAGAGATGAGTTGAGCTTTTTCGTCACATTTGTAAAATTTGTTGCAGTCGTTAATATTCGCCAGTAAGAGGCCTTTTGGTACAGCCTTACAAATGGGATTGGCTTTCTTCACTAGACAATTGTAATCCGTTGAATATACACATTCTGCCTTTTCTGCGTGGAATATTAATCCATATGGGCAAGTGGATTGCATTTCTTTGCCATTGTCACAAAAAATGTAACTACTGCAGTTATTTGGATCCTCCAAGAAGGTACCATTCTCTTCGAAAGCGCAACGATTGCTGGTTTCAGGGGATGCATATGGACAGACAACGTTTTCAATGCTTTCACAACGACCAGTGTCCTTATTGAAATATAAGCCGAAAACACATGTACCATCTTCGTAATCTTCAACACTGAACGACGATGAACACCGAAACCATTTATCACATGTGTTAGGGTATAAAATAGTGGTACCCGGTGTAACTTGTTTACAGATCTCCTCAACGGATGGTTCGCTTTGTTGAGCGTAAATCGATGAGAAAATGAAACAGAACAAAATACCAAGCGGTGCTGTAAGTAAAATATATATTTATATTTAAAATTGTATGTTAATGTAAATAAATAAATTAGCCTAGTTTCCCACTAGAGGAAGACGAGGTAGAATCAATTTGTCACTTCCTCCTCTATGGTTCGGCTTTTGCCAGAGTAAGATTGGAATATCTCGGTAGACACGCCTATGGCGAACCTAGCGAAATGGCTGTGATTGATATATCCCACCTTAACAAATTTATGGTAAGTTCAAAACGCTTCGTCGATTTATGAGTATCTGGTGATCCACTTTTAAGAGTTTATGGGTAACACAAAGGACGAATATTTGTGCAAGTGAGTTCCATCGATTTTGGATCAACTCTACGACACAACTTAAACTTCCCACTAAAGAACATTTAAAATCTGAGCTGTTTCTGTACTTACATTTAAACATTGTTATTTCGACTCGTATGATTTTGTAATAAGCAACGTTATTTGAATTTTTCGTTCCACAACTTATAATGTCGCTACTGATAGGTGTTCCTAGATATTTTCGTTCATCAACTGAAATTTTTTTTAATGTTACGTTGATATTATACGATTCTGCGGAGCTTTCAGCTACGTGTTTCCGATATCAAAAGCGCATATGTATTGATAATCGTATCAATAATTGAGGCAACAAAATATTTTCCCGATAAAATTGAACATCTTCAATAAAGAAACGATAACACGCCGGATATGGCGTATATAAAAGACGTTTTTAAAGCGTGTCAAGAAATCTTCCAAACAAAAAACATGACAACGGAAATTAAAAGAAGAAAGTTTGGTATTTTGCATAACATTTCGCTTTGTAGATAAGTTTGGTGAACGTTTGTTTATAACGCGGTGTCATTTTGTTAGTAATATTTTATTGTAGATTTTCACATTACGCACTGTCAATAGAAGTACCTCGAACCAGTAGAAACTTGTAATTTGGGAGCAGTTCACGAGAATTTCATTACATTCAGGCACTAATGCTGTTGTTTCTAGTTTTAAATTTCGGAAATTCCGTAAAGTCTATTTTTGCTAAACAAAGAGCAACAGGAAAGCAAAAAAAAACACATTTTTAACTTTATAATGCCAAAGCATTAGAACAAACATACTATAAAATGGAAAGATTAAATGCTTGTCTAACCAAACACTTTAGATAGACATATGTACTCAATTCAATTTATTTAAAAATGTTATATTAGTTATTCAAAAAAATTGTGAAAGGATTACCAAATATTTGGTATGTTATTAACTTATACTCTATGACATAGACTCGCTTACTTTATTTATTACATTTTGCTTCCGAGATATTTAATTTAAAATCAACCTAAGCAACACAATTCACTATATGCATCATATGTATTAGTGCTATGGAAAGCACATACTAAGAGTAATAACTTTTCCACCAAATGACCTAATGCTAAGCAAGAATTTTAGTTAAATTTATTAAGGTACCTTGCGCTTATTCTAGTATAAGCAATATAAACTAAATTAAAGGAATGAAATTAAATATACAAGGCCTGTAACAATTCATTCATATTTAGAGAAGAGAAAATCGAAAATTGCAGTTTATAAGATTTAGAGGAATGTGGAATAAGTGGAAGTGTGAAAGTTTATTAAAAACAGATTTTCCATATATAGAGTTACTTATTAGTTTTCTATCTTGCATAACAGCCGAACTGTGTAACAAAAAATAGATATACAGTCAACCCTCCTATAACGCGAGTTGAAGAGTTTATATAAAGAAATGATACCAAAACTAAACTAAAAAACCAACAAAAACAAGAAATACTTTTATAAATTTAGACTTTTAACACTTGTCCTCGCTGTCAGATAATATGAGTCGCCTAACTCGTCTTCTTTTAATAGGCAAAATGTCTTCCTCACTTGGCTCATCTTCACATTGGTTTTCGATTGTAGCTTTTTTTCTAACTCCACTAAAACCTCTCTATAGGGAGCTAAGCAATTTCTTAATTTTTTTTTTAACTTTGCGCTACGCACCGTTAAATGATTAGTTTCTGTGATATGGAGTTCTAATGTTTTAGTCAAATTTAGACCTTTTTCACATCTTGTAAATCGACATTTGGCACCCATTCGTTTTTCTTATTTCCATTTACCAATGGATTTGAGGTGGGTGCATCAATTAAAGCCATCAGTTCACCGTCATGTTCCCTTATAATTCAAATAGGCCCTAACGAACAAAACAGCTTAGGCTAAACATTCTTAGGCTACGCGGAAGGAACTTATGGTATGCTGTTGACGGAAACCGCGTTCTGAGAGTACTGTGTTATAGGAGCGTTGACTGTACATATATGCATATGTTATTAAAATATTTTACATTAGGCTGAAGTGAAAAAAAATTGTAGATTAAAAAAAAGAAAATTTTTGGAAAAAAAAATTTTGTTTTTAACATCTAGAGGTGGCTTACTTTTAAAGTAAATTTCAAGTTTTGGTTTAAACTCTTCACATTTGTGTAAAAATTACCGAATTTGTCGATTACGACTTTTTTTAAAACTCCATTAATTACCACAAACTTTTTTTTTAAGTTGATAACTTTTAATTAGCCCGAAAGAGGACTCTCCACAGCTTCTTCAACACTTATCAACAATTTTTTATGAAATAAAAATTTTAACTTAAAAATTTACTTTAAAAGTGAGCCGCCTCAGATGTTAAAATTTTTTTTTTCCAAACACTTTCTTTTTTATAATCTACAAATTTTACCCTCAGGTTAAGCTAAAAATAATAATTTTTTTTCGCTCCACCCTAATGTAAAATATTTTAATAACATATCCATATATGTATATTTATTTTTTATTACACAGTTCGGCTGTTATTCAAGATAAAAGACTACAAATCTACAAATTTTACCGTCAGGCTAAGTAAACATAAACATTTTTTTTTCGCTCCACCATATATTACATATTGACCAATTTTTGCGAATGAAGATTAAAGTTATATAGGCTTAGGGAAAAGTCTGAATCGATTTCAACCATTTTCGGTACCACACCGCAAGCTGTGTCTATTAATTTATACACAAAGTATATTCGGTGTATTGAGCCTATGAGAATTTTATTCTAAATGGACCTTTGATTCTTATACCTAAGCTTTTAACACGGTTTGAGCGATTGCGGCATTTATTTGCTAATATTAACTTAAAATATGCAATTAACGTAAAATATGCAATTTTTATGAGCAAACAGTGTTTAATGCAGAAAGAAATATTAGTCAGCCCGCCATACTATTGCTAAAAGGTGTCTCAACGAGGAATGCCATTATTGTTGCATGTTGCAAATGTAGTTGCTGTTAAGATCTACCTCTCCACTAATATTTGCAAATCAACCGACTAATACAATTGAGTCATGCCTTTATTTATTATTATTTAATATTAATATGGTATATAATATTTCAAGTACAAATCGGAAACGTCGGAGCCACTGTGACACAAGCTTGGATAATTTCATTAAAATATGGAGCATTTGTTGGACAAGGCGTAGCTGTAGAACCTTGTATTCCACCACTACAATAATAATAGCTTGTGCAATTGGATGAAGCGTTAGTCACAAAACGGAGATTGATATTTGCACAACGATTAAATGGACATTTTATTTGGTTAGCCTGGACGCACCTGCTGCTTGTACTATCGAACTGAAGCGTGTATGGACATGATCTCCATAGACCCGGTCCTAATAAACTAGTACACGTATAGTAGCCATAGCATGTTGAATTATCCGATAAATACTGAATTCCAGAGGTTAAGTTATATCCCGAGCATACGATTGTATTAATTGAAGATGGATTTGTGCTAACAGTAGAGCACGGATTGTTGGTTTGACATTTTCCAGTTAAGGCATTAAAATAGCCTGTTCTACAGCTACCTTCAGTTCCCGAGCCATCTAGACATCTCAAATATTTGCCACACGTTTCAGCGCCAGCGAATTTGTTATTTGGAATTAAACGACAAATGGAATCCGTTGGGCAGACATATCTGTTAACACATTGGCCTGTACTTGGATTGAAAAGTTGGTTGTTAGGACATGTCGTACATCCTCTTATCGTTTTATTTCTGCAATAGCAGTATGAAGTACAGTCACTAGGTTGAGCGACTAAAGTATTATCGTTCGAATTGGCACAAATATCCGCTGCGGAGGTACTGCACTGTACTTGACTTGCATAGTTACATATACCTCTTTTCGAATCGTATAGCAAACCTTCGCCACAAAGTCCTGTAGCCACCAGTACTCCGTTTTCACAAGCACCCCAACCTTGGCAGTTAGTAGGATTGGCAATATAACCGGTATAGTATGCGCACGTTTCATTCATTGAGTAAGTTGCTTCAACTACATGCTGTTGGATGATCAATAGGCCAAAAAGAGTTAACAGCATTTTTGCCATATTTATGGTGGCTAGTAAACCTTTGGGAATATAGCATATAAATGTACTTTAGAAATAAAAAATTGAATATTGTGGTAAATATATAGGTATTTATAAGCAAACCCTGATTATTCCAGTAATTGTACAATTTGTTTTCTAACAGAATCATTCGCCTATATACGACGGTTATAAACGACTCGACCCTCAAGTGGCTGTTAATTTGCCAATAACAAAAACCTTCAACCTTATATTTATGTATATATTACCTTTCATTTTGTATTTATTTCTTTGTTATTGTCCTGAATCCTTTCAACTTATTACGATGTTGTAAACCGCCTAATGTCTAGCAGGAACTACTGCCACAACTACTTCTGTGTATTTTCCAACTTGTGTAGACGCATTTATAGGTGACACTTCCGTCACAGTGACTTCAGTGTATGTGTATTATTTAATTTAGCCATGTTTCTTACCGATAAGTAGTATGTAAGTCTCATTTCCTGCGGTTGTATTTTTGCTCCATCCGAAAAAGACTCTTACATAGTTGTACCTCTTAAGCGTGTTAGCAAAAACGAGATAAGACTGACATAATTGTATTGCGATGATACGGATGAACATTCATACTTGCACATGATTCGCGGCATACATGCTAGAGTTTATTTCAATTGTTTCATTAAATAATAAACTTATTACCTACTATTTTCAGTATTTTTTTTTTTTGTTTTTTTAATATTTTTAAATTTAGGTTTTATCAAACAATTACTAAATCTATCAGCCAGACCTATGATGTTGCGTGTATCACATAATTAGGTAGGTAGGTAGAGTGGCTGTCTTTCGACACACCTAGGCCGTTAGGAGGCCCATTGTGATATCACCTGGACTAAGATTCTTCACTCTATTGGCTCCTCTCTGAACCACCCCGTACACCTGCTGAACTTCATCAGTAAGACAAGTTAATTAACACATAATTATCATCGCTGCTTGTAATTCGAGTGTTCTTTGGAAAAGGACGGTGAAAATGCTCACACAAACAATAGCTGCAATAATTTCTCAAAACCTCTGTTAGTTGTTTTCATGGTGCGATAAAGTGTGGTCACGAAATTATTTTATAATTTGTTTTGTGAAAGGGTATAGATATCAAAATTGAATACTTCTCTATGGGAAACTAAACTTTTTTTTTAGCATGTTAGAAGAGCAGCATACAAATTACCATATTATGAGCACCTTGTAGAATATGGGACTTTCACAGATGAGGATGAAGATCATTTTGATGGTGAATATATGTACTACAAATGTCGATGTGGAAAATATTTTGGGAGTGCAAAGCAATCACGAAGGTAACGATGGCGACAATGAGCGGGAAGAACGTAGTGATCTTTCTAATTAAACCAATTATTTTGTGGCTACTGAGGCAAACTAAGTGGAGTAAGATTACTTCACCAACTAGTCGCGTGTACAGCCATAATAATTTGAGAGCAGCTTTTGGAAATGTAAAAATTTCTTTGTCTTCCAATCCACTAGATATATTTAATGATAATATATATTATATATAATATATATAATACGAAATGATAATAATCATGATGAGAGAAACAAAACGGAAAGCTTTAGAAATAATCGAAAACTTCAATCTGAAAAAACATCGAACAAGCCAATACAATGAAAAATGTTTGACGAGAATGAATTGTTCGCATATATTGGAATTTTGCTTGCTGCTGGAGTACCATAAACCATGCAAATATGCAGTACAGCACATAATTATGGAAAAAAGATTCTTTGCCAATCTATAGCGCTGTCATGTCCATACAATGGTTCAAAGCCATAACCCGCTTTATAAGATTTAACGATGAAAGAAGCTTCACGCCAGGAGGAAGATAAGGCTGCAGCCATATGTAATCTTTGGACGATGCTAAATACGCAATTGGACCTCTTATATAAGACAACAGCAAACATAACGAGAGATTAACAGTTATTCCCCCTTCAGAGGTCATACGAAATTTACGCAGTATATACCCTCTAAGCCCGCCAAATATGGTATAAAAATATTTTGCGCGTGTGATGTCTCCAATTCATATCAATTGAAAGTAATTTTATATAATTCTCAATTTAATAAATATCGATTTTCTGTAAGAACTGTCCACATTGTTCTATAGCTTATGTTGGCACCTTACGGCGTAACAAAAAATATATACCTAGTATCTAGTGCGGATTTCTCGACAACGTTAGTCTCATATGCTATGTTCCAAAAAAAAAAATTAAATTGCTTGCTTAGTATTATATCATCTTCACTGTATCAAGATAACGCCACTATTTGTCAACTGTAAAACCCTGATGCAATTCGTTTTTTTAATAAAATAAAATACGGTGTTGATGTTATGGATCAGATGTTGGGAAAATATATATTCAAATGGATAAGACAACGGTAGATATTGCCTTTTTTCTGCAATATGTTCGATGTGGCTGCACTGGATGCTTATGTTATAAGAAATCAAATAGAGAAAGACAGGACAACCGATGCAAGACGTATCTTTCTAAATGTTTTGGCGAAGTCGCTGGACCATCGTCAAGTCGAAGCGGTATCGGTGGTCTTATTTCGGTGGTCCTATTGCTGCTCAAGTACATATGTGCATCAAATACAGGGAGCGTATCTAATGTAAAAAGGTCGTGCAAAATATGCTATAGTAATGATAAATTGCAAGAAAAACCAGATTTGTTTGTATGAGCTGTTTAGAGCCAGTTTGTATGCAAATGCAGCGCAACTCAGTAGGTGCCACAAATGCATTAATGCACAAAATGAATAAAATGTACTACCTTTATAAATATATTTGGAAAAAAATTAAGAAATAACATAAAAATATTGATAAATGCAATAATTTATGTTTTTATGCATTTGTGCTTATACAATTTATATTAAAATCCTTGTTATCTGCACAAAGGTCTGGCCAGACCTAAACTGTACGGTAGAAGGTATAAGATGCATGTATGTTATACTTATAAAGGTTAACATCTTAGGCAGTACTGCCAGGGCTACTTCAGGTTCAGTTTCAGTCACACGGACAATTGTTTGATCCTATTGCAAGCAACGAGATCGTTCGAAATTATTATTTTTATTTTGCAATAATTACACTTTAAATTGAAACAAAAGCAAATCAAATTTCAATTACATAGTTGTTTTGGTAATTTATCAAGAGAATTTGACATGATCACCTAACAATATACACAACTGGTTTTATATTCCGTGCTGCAGTGTGTACGTTGTCATACAAGTATGTGGAGAAGTAAAACATCGGACATTTGTATAGATTTTCTCTCCAAACTTTTTCATATATTATATATTTTAGATTCTGAGATAAAATAATAACTAACTAAACATAGAACTATGCACTTGTTGCCGCATTTTTCTGAATGATATAATATTAATTAACACAACTCTGTCATAATCTCGACTATTATCACCAGAATCGATCATTAAATAGTGAATAAAAGTAATTGTAAATGTTAGTATAGCGACTTGTTTATTCATTGAGATTTCTTCTACGGACACATTACATTTGATGGTGAATCACAAAACTCTGCCGTTTGATCCCAATACAAACCCTCAGGGCAAGAGGTCAAAAATGCCATACCGATAATGCATATATAATATTTGCTGCAATCTGTGGAATGTGGTAAGTACATTTGAATGTTTTTGGGACAATTAGGTACATTTCCATCTGAAATATCTGCTGGAACTAATGTGGGTGATGTAGGTGGCAATTGCGGATCAGTGAGTATGAATCGTGTAGTCTCGCCATTTGACGACCAACTTAGATTAGTTGGTGGGCCTGTAATATCGTTATTTGAGGCATAGCATAGGGTGCACATTTCACTCGTTGGAGGATTGTTAAATAATTGTTCATTGGAAAATAGTGCAGAAAGCTCGACTTGTGGACTTAATTGCACATTGCTTGCTTGGTAAGCAGCTCCAGCATAGCATTCGGTTAATGGGCGAACTTCGCACATTTGGCGCTTATAGCTCCATCCAGCGCCACGACCGCATTTGTGTTGCATCATATGACCGAAGGCGCATATATAATATGAGCTGCAGTCATTAGGATGTGGTAAAAAATAAGTTCCATAGTGATTACATGCCACATTTAGAGGTTCATAATTTTGCATGGGATCAACTGGCTTTCGTGTATTCACATCCAAAGCGATAAAATAAATATGTTGCGGCGTCATGTCCGTTGCATATAGATTGATGTTTTCATTCGAATCAAGCTCTGTTTTCAATAAATTCAATTCTTTTGGCGTTGTATAGTCTGGTGTAGGGGTTTGACTCTCAGTATTGTTATTCGTTAAAATATTAATCTGAAATGGTATGAGACATGTATTTACATCTGTTGTCGTGAGTAATAATGTTCATTAGTTTCACCTTATCAAATTGACAATTTGCAATTTCTGGCCAATTACAAACTTTATTATCCACATCAAAATGTAGACCTTGATCACAGTAGGTTATCATTGGTACAATTCCACAAATGAAATATGAATTACAATCGCGTGGATTTGGCAATATTTCGCCATTGGAAACATCGCTGCAAAGCTATGAAAAAATTAAAAAGTAATTAGCATTCAAGGATTCATATACGTCCTACGCTTTTATTTTCTTACCATTTGGGACAAATCTTCTATGCCGGAGCTTAATCCACAAAGGTATGCGATAACGGCCGCAAGGCACCACATTTTTAACTTTAATTGAAGCATTCAACAGCTCAGTGTGTTGTACAACCACTATTTACCGTACTTGCACAAATGAATGATTTTTTTATAGAATCCGATACTGTTTTAATGGCGACGACTCAACTTTTATTTAGGGCGTGTCTTGTCGCACAAGTGCTATCAATTAGCTTTACATAGAAGTTCATGTTCAATGATTTATTAATTGTAGAACAGATACATTGACATTTTCCAGTATGTATTCCAGAAAAGAGTCTAAAAATAGTATGTTACTAATAAGCTGCTAAAAAAACGAAAATAATATCAAATGCGCTTATACAAGTATATGTACAAGTATATTCCAAAAGCAGTGATATCCTACATACTACAGAAAAGTTAAACTTTAATTGCTGCTTAAAAAGGTCGAAAGGTATTAAAGGCAATTATAAGTGTCAATCAGATGCCTAATTGAGTGTTAAAATAGGGTATAATGAATGTCGGATGAGTATTACAATATATGTTTAGATGTTTTGGATAATAAGATATAATCAATACGGCATTTCCGCATCAGTTATATACCTATAAGGTGTGGGAGTATATGTATTTGCTTTTGCCCAGACTTAATTTGAATTGTTTTCTTCGCATTGTAGTTGGCTTTGTTAGTATTTTTACCGCCTACACATAAACATAAGTACAAATATTGTAGAAATTGGAGCCAGAATTGTAAAGAGAATATTGCATACTTTTAGGCAAACATTCATTGCTTTGGTTATTGCAGAGAACGTAAATGAATAGAGAAGGAGCAAATGTTAAATGAAAACTTTTTGAGTACTAATTTGTAATTCCACAAGAGGGAACATCGAAAAGTATAACTTCGAAAAAGAAAAATACACCACACAATATGCGGAATGCTATAAATAGACACAACGAATATTCCTATATGAAAAATCGTTGCGCATACCTATTTAGATTTATGTTTTCAATTTCTATGATATGACAAATTTATAATTATGAAAAACCTTTTGAATTAAAAATCTGTATTACCGGTAAAAACTCATCAACATTCTCTGCTATTGTCTCGCTGATAATAACCACCTTTAGTTAAAGTTAAAGGATTCAAAAATTTCTAATTTCTATTACTCCAAAATCTACATAAAGCTGTGAATATGTAACTGAATCAGATTGGCTTACAATATCGAAATATATTTTAATAAGAGAAGGAACTATGTTTAAAAACAAGAAAAAACGTTAACTTCCGAAGCTAATTGATTCGGATCGTTCAATTTATAAGGTAGCTATATGATATAGTGATCTGATCTGAACAATTCCTTTGCAGATTGCATTATTACCTTAGACAATAACCCATGCCAAATTTCGTGAAGACATCAAGTCAAATAAAAAAGTTTCGCATACAAGTACTTGATTCGGATCGTTCAATTTGTAAGGTAGATTTATGCTATAGTGGTCCAATATTGACCGTTCCGATAAATGAGTAGCATCTTGAGGAGAAAAGGACGTGTGCAAAATCAATAGCTTAAAAACTGAGGGACTAGTTCGCGTATATACAGACGGACGGACGGACATGGCTAAATCAACTCAGCTCATCATCCTGATCATTTATGTATATATTTTATAGGATCGCCGACGTTTTTTTCTGGGTGTTACAAACTTCGTGGCAAACTTTATATACCCTGTTCAGGGTATAATTATTGTAACCTGAGGTGGCTCCAGAGTAAAATTTTACATAATGTCACTGTATTTTGATGCATTTAAAATTTTCGGCTTATATTAATTCAGAAAATACACTTTTAAAATATTAGTTTGCCAGTGTAATAAGAAAAGTGACAAATACCAAAAATTTTTTATGAGAAAGGTACTTTAAGCTTTGAGTGTTTTAATAATTTTATATGCATTGGATTATTTTATTATTTTAAGGTGTCACAAATAATCGTTATATTATTACTAAAATTGTTATATTGTTACATTCTGCACCATATTGCAAGAACCCGATAATCATATTACTCCTTTTAGTTAAGTATATATGCATGTGCATGTCTAAATTTTCAGATGTCTGTCATGTGGTACATCTCTATATAAAATTGTGGTGTAAATCCAACGCAACTGCGGTTCGAGTTTCTCTTCCCCACACGTACTCTTTAAATGGTGTTAAGAGAGTAGAGTATTTACTTATATTGTACTCTTTTTTGTCTACTGAGTTTCGGGCTTACAGTTTCAAAAACTGATCAGCCAGCAAGGAAACATCCACATTTATTGCCACAATAATTTTAACTTATAATCAGAGTAAAACGGTCGAGCATTGTATAGCGCCGGTGCGTCTTTATTTTTTAAAGAATGCGAATAAACGAATGTACGAATAAGTGAAGAGCGGCCGTCCGGTTATCGTTGAGAGAAAAAAGACGTGACTTATTGTTGTTTCCGACAAAAAATTAGTTAATATAACAGAATAAATATGTAAATTAATGTTAAAATAAATTATTGAGGTAAATTTGCAACGCTGGTTTTATATTGTAAATCTATTTGCATATGTGTGGAATCATGTAATTTCATAAATGACGTCGAAATGAGCATTTTATAAGTGCAAAAATAAAAAAAATTTAAAAAAATAGCAACCAGACACATGTACATATGCCTGTATACGCATTTGTATATGTACATACGTTACATACATGAAACTGTATCGAAGTGAGTGACTTATGCAAGTTAACGTTTAACTATTAAACTTTTCTGTGTACAGAGGCTTCTCGCTAAAGCATACCCTATAGTACCACATTGTGGAAAAGCATGATTTGCAAAGTATAAAAAAAAGGAAGCCTACGAGCTTATATGTAAATAGACATACCAGTGTTACTATTAATTATTGGTATATATAAATATGAATAAATAATTTATATATAAATGCATATGTACTTATATGGTTTGTATGTATTGCATGTGTGCTTATATAATTTGTTTTGGTAAAGTCCTCGATAGTCTAATCTGCCCTATATGTACATACATATATATACATATATATAAATAAAATATTTTCGATGTGAAACTCTTTACTGAATTCAACAACAAAACAAAAGAATGAATGAAGTGCTTTGAAATATAAAAGTTTTGGGATAGTGGCAACCTTACAAGCATATCCCTCTTTAGTAGGTACTCTAGACGAACATCTACTGTAAATACATTACAGTTTGTGCCAAATCTCTATTGTCGAAGGGGAAAGAGTGTGAATAATTATGAGAGCCTTTCAGTAAAGATAAATATTAAATACTAACATGTGAAAAGAAATATGCGATAACGTTATTAACAAGGCAAGAAAGTTTATAGGCAGATGTTATAAGCCGAGAGCAGAATGAGAAAATGGTTAAAATAGCTGTGATAGCTGGCAATGGAAATAATAAATCGACACAACACACACGTAGATAGTTAATTTCGAGTCGTCGGGCAACAAAAGTATTAATTGGAGTATCAAAAGCTGCGTGAACGTGAGTAAACAGAATTATAACTTAAGTATGGTAGTGTGTCTACAAACACAAATGCACACATTAATAGCAGCACATTTTTTTATAAAAGGCAAACAAATTTAAATTCATGCTTTGGAAGCTGAAATAGGCATTTTCAATTAGATCAGCTGATAAGTTTAAGCTCTAATTATGTGTGTAGAAGTAGTAGTAAAGCGCCGACGATGTCATTGCAAAGAGTGTGTGAGAGCTGGCTTCAATATGAATTACTTATGCGAGCATTTAAGATAATATACAAATGTATATACAGAGAGGGGAGATGACAAAGTTGCCAACCTGATAATTGAGCCACTACTTTAAGTATATTTTGAAATTATAACGTCGCTAAATTGATTTACTGCCATTGTCAGTGCTCAAATTAAGTGTTTTCTTTACTTCAAATATCGAGTAAAAGTTTTCAGCTGACAGATTTCAGCTTTTTAACTGTTTATATGTTCATATTAATACATTATCGAAGACGTCAAAAGTCAATTATTTTGAAAATTTTAAAACTCACCCAGATCCTGAATATATTGAGTGTATTTCAAGGCAGTGAAGAATTCGAAATCGTTCATTTTTGCATATCAAAATTATTTTCAAAAGTTAGCTACTAATGTTGAAAGGTTGAGCGTATTTATCAAGTGACATTAATGGCAATGCTAGAGAAGGCAGCTAACTTTTGTACTCGTAAAAACGAGTTAAAAAGCGAAACTAATACGTCGTTAAGCCATGCGAACAATTAGACAATTGGTAAAAGTATTAAATATTATTAACATAACGGTGCACATAAGCCAACTTGCTGGTTTTAACAAAGTCTTTAATTATATAGATATTTTCTAAAATCTCTGTATTAAACTGCAATTGGAATTGTAACTATTAAGCACGATTTCAGTTTAGCATTTAGGAAATGGTGGATCACGAGTTAACTTAGTATCATTAAGAAAGCAACTCGACGAATAGACATACATTAGGGATGAAAAAATTTTTTTTTTGCTTAGCCTGAGGGTAAAATCTGAAGATTATAAAAAAAGAAACTTTTTGGACAAAAAAAATTTTTGACTCAAAATTTATTTTAGCGCTTAAGGAAAACGTTTTTCGTTTCCAAAAACTCCGTTTTTTAAAACTCCAATAATGACCACAAAACATTTTTTTAAGTTGATAACTTTTAATTGCTCCGAAAGAGGACTCACCACAGCTTCTAGAACACTTATCAAACATTTTTAACGAAATAAAAATTTTAACTCGAAAATGAGTGGGCCTCTAGATGTTAAAAAAAATGTTTTTTTGTCCAAAAATTTTCTTTTTTCATAATCTACAGATTTTACCCTCAGGCTAAGCACAGGAAAAAAATTTTTTCGCTCCACCCTAATATACATATATATTAGGTATACCGGTTGAAATTTTTTTGTGAAAATGAAATACTAATTTTGAGTGGGAAAGTAAAAAAAATTTATTCAAAGTATTGACCATTGCTATTCACACATATTGATCACCTTTCTGGCAATTTGTGGATATCATGTCAATAGAAATGTTCGTCTTTTGAAGCAAAGCAGTCAGACACCTAATTTTCGACTTCTGCGTAGAAATCGAAGTGCTGCTCAGCCAACGGGTGTACCATCGATGAAAACAAATGGTAATCGGCAGGTGCCAAGTCTGATGAATACGGAGGGTGGGGTGGCACCTCCTAGCCAAGCACTTTGATTGCATCCTGAACCGATTTTGCTTTGTGTGCAGGTGCATTGTCGTGTAACAAAATTACTTTGGCGTGTCTTCTGTCCTATTCTGATTGTTTTTTAATGGTTCAAATTAATCATTTGTTGTCTGTAGCGATTAGTATTAACAGTTTCACCAGGTTTTAGATGCTCATAATATACCACAGCCTTCTGATCCCATCAAATAGAGATCATTGTCTTCTTACCGAATCGGTCTGTTTTTACAGTCGATGTTGTTGTCGTTGTCCCGGAATAACCCATGATTTTCTCCGTTAAGTATTCTTAAAATAAATCAATTTTTCATCGCCCGTGACAATTCATCTTTGATTTAATTCATGTGGAACCCATTTTTTTTAACTTTCCAATAGCTTTTAAATGATCTGAAATTGTTTGTTGTGCAACATTTAACATGGCTGCCATTTGCTTTTGACTCAAATTTTGGATCATCAAAATCAGTATGCCTGAACCATTGAAACCATCTTTTGCATGTTTCTGCTGTTAGAGCATGATCACTATATGTCTCGACAAACATTCAATGCGACCCTGCAGCACTTTTCTCCAAATGGAAACAAAAAATTAATGCTTTTCGCAACTCACCACTTTCCGGTTCAAAATTAGATATATTCAGCACAATGAAATAATATTATGTTGTTTGGTCAATGACTGTAAGGTTATTAAATATGTTTGACAGATGTGATGCCAACCAAACTGAAAAAAATGAGGCTATTTCACAACAAATGTTCCAAACCAACAAATTTGTGTCTTAACGCTCACTTCATATCGGTAAATTATACGTCCATCATACAAGTAAATAGGTGGAGTTTTATCAAGTTAAACTATTGGTATAGATAGATAAAGTTGTGAGCATTGAATCTATTTTGCAAATTTTAGATATTTCATATTTCCAGGTTTTACATCGCAAATCTAATGTACTGTGCGTATGGTTTAATGTGTGTATAATTATGACTGAACAACTCAACACATTGATTGAATTATTCACTTCTTCATATTTAAAAATTTCTTTTAAAAATAACTTCTTGGTTCCGATTTCGAATGCATGCAAAATAACCTATAATTAAATATAGACTATAGTTTTGCATATATTTTAGCTGAGCGCATTTCAGTTTATCACATAAAAAACTTAAGGGTTTCATTGGTTGAGTGTATAAACTTTTGTATTTGCTAATAATGCTTCCATATCAGCACAGCGACCATATCAGAAGCAGTTGTGAAGGTTCCCAAAGATATAAGTACATACTCGTACATGTAAATGTGTATGTATGTACATATATGTATAAAATTATCTTAATTATGAGGCAGACAACGACACATATGTGCCAGGGTAAGGATTTTGAATTATTCGCATTATTGCTGCTAAACCATTTATGCAATATAAATATTTTCGACCTGTCAAATGGAAATATTTTCAGGACCATAATATAATTGGTGCATACAATTATAATAAATATAAGTATGGAAAAAATGTTCCAAGTCACGTATAGCGGTTTTATTACTTCTAACTGGTTTGTTTTATACCTCACATATCGAGGGAGATATGTACATATATCTATAAATGAAGTCAGTTCGATTAGTACAGTGTAGCTGAATTCCAAAAATTAGTGATGTTGTTTCGTAAATTACCTTACAATTACCATTCTTTCACGCTTAACCATTTGACGTGCTTTAAGCATGCCAAAAATCTAGCGGATCAAGTAAAATAGGTACACAAAGGTATACAAAAGGTTTGTATTAATGTCCATATACTAAATTATACATACATATGTATGTATGTATTTTGACGGATTCATATGAAACCCTTTGTTATCTTCTAGCCTCCTTCATGCCACCCACTTCAAGCATACTTGCTTGCACTGGTATGCCGATATCGTGTCAAGACCCATGCGATATTTTTGTCTATTCAATTTGAAGCTCAGTATTTGTGTTCGTTTTATTTTTGCTTATTGTGTATCACTCATTTGACATGGAACATTCGTTTGGAATTGATAAGCAAAAAGTTTTGATTGATTTTACTACCTCTATTTCTTATACATTTCACAAAAAAGCTGCACAAGCGAATGGAATAGCCGACCAATCGAAAGTCCATTAAGGAGAGAAGACAAGAGACACATTAGAACAATTCATTTACTATTTTATTTGCCATTGTCGTGTTTGTCGTAGAAATAAGGATTCACAAAGAAAGTGTGGTGGCATGGTGTTTTTATCAGTTGAACTAACCAAAAACTAAAGTAAATTATAACTGGCCAGATATGCAGACACACGTATGTGCATATAATCGATTACATACTTAAAATAATAGCGCGCCTATTGCAAATATGTTTTAAGTAATTTATATATTTAAATAATTTCAGATAATCAAATCAGCTATATAATCTGTTTACAAACCTACAATCTATACAAAAATCAGCTTAAAGGCCGGAGGTTATTTATATCATTGTAAAAATGAGCTCCACTAAAGAAATGAAAAACGGCACGAAGACGCAAAAGAAAGCGATTAAGGCTAACAAAAAACAACAACTGAAACAACAGCAACATCAACAACAACTACAATATCAACAGAATTCATCAGTTGCGACAACGGCAACAACATTAGCGCCTCACCCTGCCGCTCAATACAGTGTAAATAAGATAACGGGAAAAACAATCAAGATGACAGTGCCTAATACTAATAATAATAATAACAACAGCATTGTTAAAAACAACAACAACATTAATCAAAAGCTTCCCGATGCTGCAGCACGTGCAGCGAACGCAACACCCTCCGCTATGCAACAACCCGTGGGCTCCATTTTACCTGGATATGAAAATGCTACGAAATTCGAACGATCGAACAGTTTTTCATTACGTGGCAAACTATCTAAATTGATCAATTCAATTACGGGCAGTAAAGAAAATCTTAATAAAATAGATGATGAGAATGCAATTCCGTACAAGTTCACACGCAGTCGCTCAATGATACTATTGCGGCGATCGAATCGTCGTAGTTTAATTGAACCCCAATTAGAACAACTATCTGAGGAGGTTGATCCAACTTCACCGTCATCACCTCGTAAAAACTCTGTTGATATAAGCGGGCAACCATTTGCTGCACCATCATCATCCAATATATCGGAGGTAAATATGACTTTGGATAAGAGTGGCACAACTACAATGATTACACCTCAACGACAGAACTCACAGCCATTGACCTCAACTCCGGTTGAAGAGGGTAGTAATAGTACAGCTTTACAGCGAAAGCCATCATGCCTATCTCTGGCACCTGGTGAAGGAAATGGTGTGCCATTCAATCCAATAGCGAATTTTCAGCGACGCCGTTCCAATACATTATTAGCATCTTTCAAGAGCACCATTGCAACAATAACCGGTGAAAAGAAGAAGGAGAAACTTAATCCGAAGTGGAGTGCGTCCCTACAATCCTTGCAAGCTATAGACAATATGGTAAGCTATGAGAATATGTCTTTCATCGATTACGATAAGTTCAATGGATATGAAAAACAACTAGAAAAACAGCTTTCAACATTAAGTTTGCGCACCGAACAGAATCTACCTATTACACCAATCAGTAGTGTCACAACCCCTTTAAACAATAATAGATCTCCTAATGCTCAGGTGACGGTAGTGCGTCGTCGTAAACCGAGTACCGCTCGTCAATTGGCAGACCGGCGTTGCCATTCGCGTGGTAGCTTTAATTTCGACACCGATTTCGAACACAATTTGGACAAACCGCGCAACGTGTATCGTGATAGTTTAGATTCTCGAAAACTGGAACGGCTGAACGATTTTTCTCGCAACTCTTTTATATTGGATAAAGAAATTGTGGATTGGTTGAATTTGGAAGACGGTTGCCTAAGAAAGCAACGCAGAGAAAAGAGTAAGTGCCAAATGAATGTGGACACCGTGGACTCGTCAACTGTTCCACAGGTAAGTGTATGCAAACTTTGTAACAATGTATTGTCAAAACGTGTGGGTTCAGCGACAAATCTGAAAAAACTGAAGGATTTTAAAGAAATGATATGAAATTCTGGGGTGATCGTAGAGCGATGTGCTCATTTATTAGACAGTATATAAAAACTGTGTAAAATACATCGATAAACCTAAAAAGGTATTTGAAAGTAATTATATTTAATATTTTTTCATTTGTCCCTGAGACTGCCATACATATTTTTTTTATTCAAAATTAAATAATTTTATTAAAGCTAATGGTAATGCTAGCTATTTGCGCTTGTTCTCACTTAATAGAATTCGTTTTCAATAAATGTTTTGCTGAATTTTTGTAAAATTAATTTGCACTACAGTAACTATTTGATTATGAAATGTAAAGGTTTTGTTGTACAATGCTGATAAACTTTTTCGACTAATGTCCAACTCCTGTGTATTCAATATCCTCAGCCTTGGAATAGTGTATGCAAGCTAATACAGTGTCCAATAAATAAAGAGCACCTTCAATTACACACAGAGCACCCATTGCGATGCCCGTTTGACGCTCAGCATTTACATAGAGAAAGTCCTGATCAGACATATAGCCGCCCCAATAATGTAAAGCCACGCCGCCAATGGCAATCCACATGGCTGTTCCGACCATATTCATCAGTGTGTCTGTCAACTCACTTCAAAAATGTAAGCAAACCATTATTAATTAAATAAGTTGTTTTGAAAGCAAATATTTACAAACCGTTTATGTTTGGTGGTGCCGAAGAAGAAGGCCACTGTGTGCACAGTGGTATAGATTAGAAACCCTACAAATATACCAGAGGCTACGATTTCCGGTGAAGGGCTCTTCTCTTCATTTAAATTCCATGTTCCACTTACGCCCAAAAAAATTCCCTCATCTCCAATACAGTAAAGGATAAGAATAATAATGTTGATCGTCTGTAAACAATATGCAATAAGTTATGAGAGTGATATAAATATATAGTTGATCGATATCAGAATTTATACACTTATTTGCTATATACTCGTACTGTCTAAACGTATTAGAAAGTTTAAAAAGTTTAGTCAGATGCGTCAATTTCATTTAAAAAAACATGCGTAGCCAATTTTATGAGTAATCGTTAAAAGTGCTCTTTTCTATCCTATAAACAAAATAGTTAAAATCTTTTCATAATAATGATAGCAAACTTCAAAAGAATGCTCACTTAGCAATATACCTTTAGTACATACATATTTTTTAATGCACATGAGGGAAATCAACCGTATTTCCAACTAATGATTATTATAGATAACGTTTGTATGACGTCATCTTTGTTTAATTCTGACTAATTCAAGTTAAAAATTCTGCAATGCCATTTTCAAAGCAATTGAAGTTTTAAAAAAAATATTAGAGCGTTTAAACACACTACAATTATTTTGCTAATTGTTTATTAAGCTTTGCTATTGTTTTTTCCAAAAAGCCGTTAGCCTTGTTCTTACCAATTTCAGTGTCTTGATAAACATCGATCCAATCGTTTCCACAGACACCATCTTTTACCTATTAATTGCTTTTCACTTTTCAAAAATTTGTTAATAAATTAAATATAAAAGCTGCAAAAAGACTTTATGTAGAGGTACTTTTATTAATTAAGTAAGAGCCAAATTCTTAATATGCGTTCGATTTCGTTTTGCCGTTGTTCGTTGACTAAATTGTAATTCGATAGCACGTATACACAACAGCGTGCTCTAATGTGTAGTCCCACACACTAAACGATATTTACTTGAAGCTTTTGCAACTGTCCTGATAAGATAACAATATATGGAATGTTAGAGTAAAGAGGTAACAGAAAATATCGAGATAGGCAATACATTTGTTAATGTGATTGTGAAATAATATTTCATTGCGTTTTGTGTAAACATTGTCTTGTTTACTTGAATAAAAAATACTTGAATGAGATAAGTGTTTTCTTCGTTTTCTTGCACGAGTATTTATTCTGCCAATTTGAACTGTGATGATTTCAGTTTAAGGTCGTTATATTATATTATTTAAGCAATATATATTACATATTTATGGCCCGATTATACGTCGATTCAACAGTCTCTCTGTGCGTCTATATATGCAATAGCTGGAGTAAAAATATTAGGTATCTTCACAGAACTCAATATTCAAGTTTGCTCAATATGGTTGCACTGAACGTCAAGCGTGAGCTGCGTGTCTTATCTAAATGGATTTTGATTCAAGTGTATTTATAATACATTAAAAACTTTGAAAGTATTGTATTTCATTACTTTTGGAAACTAAAAGGAGATTTAGAAAATTTGTATGATAACTGTTTATTTGTTGCTCAAATTATTAAATATATAAATAAATTATCCACGACAAAATATTTAAAAAAATTATTTTATTTAAAATTATTTTATTTATTAAATTATATTATTTATTTTACAGTAATATCTTTCTTATTGATTTTATTTTATTTTTTTCAATATATGATGTATTTCCTTCAAATAGTATTTATAATATAATTGTGGAATACTTGCTAACAGTTATATATTTTGAATGTGAAAGTTTTCAAGTTTAGTGACGTAGCCTCTTATTTATTCCAACGTATACTGCCTTATGACGGCATACTCTATGGGGCCTTTATAGTAGAGAGCGCATCCCAAAATAGTATCCACTATATAAAGAGCACCCTGTGCAACACACAATGTTCCCATTGTTAAACCAACTCTACGTTCACTGCTGGCATATGCAAAACTACCATCGGTCATGTAACCAAACCAGAAATTTATTGCTATCCCACCTGCTGTTAACCACAATACGGCTCCAACCGTATTCATAAGAATGTCAGTTAAATCTCTATAGAAAAAATACAAGTATATACAGATATACATATATTAGAAATATAATATTAATTTAAAGGGCAATTACGAACCGTTTATTTGTGTTACCTCCGAAACAGTATCCGATAATAACTACAGCTGTATATATAACAAATCCAACAAAGATACCAGAAGCAAGCATTTCGAGGGAAGCACTATGCTTTTCCTGCAAGTTCCAATTGCCACCGATACCCAAGAAATCGCCGCCATTTCCCGTGCGATATAAAACCAGTACGCCTACGTTATTGAGCTAAAAACGGGAGCATATGCATTAAGTGGTAAGGTTAATTGATCTCGACTTTTGATTTGAGTGAGATAATTTATTTATTGTGCCAAGGTATCGAGAAATTTAATTTAAACGATCGGTTTAGTTATCACATTATTTCAAATAGCATTTATTATTTATTTACAAACGTGTATTATATATTTGTTTACCGCAAGCGATCGCTAAATTATCAGTACGCTTTTTTTGGTTTACCAATTTCAGTATTTTTAAACATATTGAGGCAATTGTCTCGTAAGAAACCATTTTTGAACGATCCATTTGCCAAACAAGCTTTCGAAATTCCTCTTTATCAAGGCGTTAACTTTTATCGCGTTCGCTTCGTAAATGAGCAGCCATCGACTAAACGCTTTACTCGTGTTAGCAAAAGTATCGTCACCGTTAAATGTGTACGAACGATAAGTTATGAAAAAAAAATTCGTGTATGATTTGTTGATTCGTTGCTTGTCCGCTACGATTAGATAAAAAATACATTCAAGCCACAGTAACAATACTTTACATATAACGTTCATATATAGATATGGTGTATGTATATACAAGTTTCATTGTTCACAAAATTCATTGTATATAGGTAGTAAATTGTCCATACACATTAAAAAGACGGTTGAAAACTTTGAAAATGATGATTCAGTTTTTAATAGTTCAAAACATAAATGCCAATTGCTTGTCCGTTAGTTAAAAACATGCCTACATACGTTACTAAAATGATATTGAGTTCAATAAGAAATGCTCGCCTCAAATTGATCAAGCAGTTTTAGCACCCGCAAATAAATGAATAAATACGACAAGTTTTGAATATTATTAGCACGAACATACGCGTATGTACATGTGTACACTACACTAGAGTGAGCGAGCAGGCGATTTTTAAGGCGAAGTTTATCTGCTGGTGCTCATAAAAATTTCTTCGTCAGTTTTTGAGTTATAAGAATGAAATTGAATACATAGGCGCATTTTGATATTTTATTGATTATTTGGCGGTATTGGCCAGATCGGACAACTATATCACATATCTCCCATACAAACGATTATTCAGTTATTTTATATACCCATAACCTGCCTTTAATTAAAAAACTAAGAGCTCGTAATTTTGCAGAATAGTCCTCTGTTATTATATATACTTAACAATGACAGTGAAAATAAAGAAAATCGGACAACTATGTAAAACATATAAATTTCGCATAACTCAAAAACTAACGAAGAATTTTTTTATATATATTATATAAACTTCGCCTTAAAAATCGCTGGTTTGAAATCGGTTTTGGAACCATGTTCTCTTAGGCAAAATTGTTTAGAATGAACCGTAGCAAATTTCTCGCATACGCGCTTTTTCCGTTTTTTTGACTCCCTGTAAATCAACCCGCTCTAATACACACATAACACACTGACACATGACAGTTGTAGAAAACGCGAATTACTGTAGATCAATTGAAATTTGTCGCCGCTAAATGAACTGAAGTGTCATTATTTTCAAAGCGAGTCTAACTATTAGCATACTAAAACTACGCGCAATGCTGACTTTACAAATACAAATCATTACGGATTTCTCTCCAAGTGTCTATGGTACAGGCATACATAACATAGGAGTAGTTTGTGTATGCGTGTCTGTGTTTGCGTTAACAGCGATGGAGACGAATTTTGACATACTACACCCGGCCATTAAATAGTGTTTCGGTTTGCTTTGTCGATTAAAACATGCATGTCTGTGTTTATATTGAAGGGGTATCAAATCTAGACTTAATGGTATTTATAGAGACACTAACTATCAGCACACTTACTCACATAATTACTGGTGTTACAGAGAGGTCAACAAGTTTAGATGTGTGTAGTTTCTGTATTAAATTTATTAAAATTATGTTTGAAATGTTTGGCGAATAAAGTAAAAAAGTGTTGTACATATTATGGAATACTGGAAACGCAAGCCGCACAGCTTGCATGTACTATTACGTAATTGTTACTTATTAATATGGCATTAGAGCTACAATGCAGTTAAAGAATAGGTCTTGACATTTCAGTACTCCGATTCGAAATATTTAAAGAAAAAGGATGATGTATAATTAAATATTGGTATAGATATCAGTAGCTGCAAATATTTTTTCAAATTTGTCAGTTTTATACAAGTTTGTTGTCAACATATAATTAATTATTGCACAAATATGCCTTGAAAATCATTTAGAAGCACTAACGCGCCACACCAGTATATTCAGTGTCGCCCTTCGAGTAGTGCAGGCAACTCATTACTGTGTCCACCAAATATAAAGCTGCCTCAAGTATGCAGAGCGATCCCATTATAATGCCAACAAGCTTGTCACTACCCGCACTAACTGGTACATTCTGAACACCCAAGTAAGAGTAGTCGCTTGTATTCATATAACCGACCCAATAGTGCAGAGCAATGCCACCAACTAGAGCCCACAAGAAGGTGCCGACCACATTCATCATGGTGTCTGTGAGTTCGCTGCAAATAAACGTGTGAGACGTGATTGCCATTATAGTTTTTCCATACAAATTTTAAACATACTGTCTGTATTTGTTGGGTCCAAAGAAGTATGCAATTGTGTGTACGCCCGTATAAACAATGAAACCAATGAAAATGCCGGAAGCGAATATTTCACAACCTGCGCTCTTCTCTTCCCAAAGATTCCATGTGCCACCCACACCCAGGAATTTGCCTCCAGCGCCAATCCGATAAATTATAAGGATAGCTAAATTAAGAATCTGCAAATTAAGTAAATATTTGAAAAATTGTTATTTACTGCTTAACAGTAAAAATAAAAGTTACAGTAACGGTTACACATACCATACATACATACAAACATATGTACACATATGATCCATACGAATGTATGTATGTATGGAAATTATTATGATCTGGTCTAGTCATATTAATTATATGTAATGCTTTTTGTATAATTTTCTAAGCTTAAGAATATTTTAGTATAGGTAAACATGTTTAAAACTTAGCCACTCCCTGTCGTTGTAAATGCGTTTATACATACATTCGAAGAACCAATACATTTGTATGCACATGGAACAACGCTCTGTGAGTAACGATAAGGCAAAAGCATATCGAAATTCAACAGAAAAACTGTGTTATGTTTATGAGTAAACCCTTCTATATTTCCCAATATTAAAATAGCTTTTGCTTGTCAGATAAGCATTTATAAGTAAGTTAAGGCGACCAAACTATAACAGGATATGTAAAAATTTGTTCAAAAAATTTTAATTTTACTTCAATTATATTTTTATTAAAATTTTAACGACTGCCAACAAGTTATTTATGATTTTTTAATATTTTATATTATTATATTTACACATATCGCACAGCACTACGTTGAGTGACTAAGTTATAGAAACACTAATTTCTTTTGTTTAACCAAAATCGCACACTGCTCTTTTCGCCTTAATTATGTATGTCCAAAACTTATTGCTCTAAGCCAAAACATACCAATTTCAATGCTTTAATCACAATTGAAAATATCCAAATCCAAGACCATTCCATTTTAAATAACAGTTAATTAGTTTTGAAGCAAGTCAATAAAAACCTTTTAAAATACTTTTGTTCGTTTGCGCTCGTATATAGTCGTTCGTTAACTAAAATTGAAACGATTTTAAACATCGAAAAGGCAAGCAACAGGAAAATACAGAGCTTTTGCAATCGCACTGATAAGATAAAACGATGTCACATATGTACATATGTACATAGAAATATGTATGTGTAACAAGTGCCGTTTTCAGGTGGGTGTTATGGGTAGAATGTAATGAATCATGCAGTTGTGTGTGCAAGAACCTCGTATTTGTTAACTATTTCAATTCTTACTTTTCTAAGCTTTTACTATGCAATGAGCAATGCTTAGCGCCAATTTAAGGTTCCATTTGCTTGATTGTTGAATTTTTGAATATCTTGTCTGCAATTTATAAACTCTTAGAATGTCTTGGGAACCATTAACGCTAGAATGTACAAACTATTCGAATACATTTTTTCCGAAGTAAAATCAGTGTTTTAATAAACACATATCCAAATATAGTTTATATATTTATACGAGTATAGCTTATATAAGTATATATATATTTGGGTGGAGCGAAAACAATTTTTTTTTTAACATCTGCCTCTAGACCCCCACTCACTTTAAATTAAAGTTTCGAGTTAAAATTTTTATTTCATAAAAAAGTTATGATAAGTGTTCTAGAAGCTGTGTAGAGTCCCCTTTCTGCCCAATTAAAAGTTATCAACTTAAAAAAAATTTTTGTGGTCATTATTGGAATTTTAAAAAAAAGTCATAAACGACAACATGCTTTCCTCAAACGTTAAAATAAATTTTAAGTCAAAAACCGTCAAATTCGATAGTTCTTATATAAATGGGAAGAGTTTAAACTAAAAAAAAATTGTTTTCCAAAAATTGTCTTATTTTATAATCTACAAATTTGACCTTCAGGCTAATCAAAAAAAATTATATTTTTCGCTTCAACCTAATATATATTTATATACTTATATTTAGTTTATATATATATTTATATATGTTTCTCTATAATGACTCTAATGGCGTGAACAGTACGGTATTATGGGTCATTGGAAGTCAAGGTCAGAATAATACTTCTGTGGAATTATCATATGAACAGATTTTGGCTACGATGCTGATATATATATATAAAATCGACTTGTATTCTGAAGTTTATTGTTCTGAAACTCTACACCAATTTAAACGTAATTTTAAAGTGAACTCTTGGAATATGCAACTCTTAATTCAAAAATCTCTTTGCTCAAATATGTTTTCAAGAAACCACTTTCAGAGTTTTTATTGTTGTGATGTCATTATTGTACATTGTCTCATAGTCATTTATATATATGTATACAAACATATATTATTTTATTATAACTTTTTTTCAATTTGATCGTTGATACTGTGCTACTTTGTATAGGCAAATTTCTCAGAGCGCGCTTAATGGCTCGCTTGTTGGTGTGAGAACAGTGCCTGAGCAAAGTCTCAGAAGCAGTAAAAAGGCTGGTTTTATGTAGATACGTATATATGTGTATTTACTCGTACGCAATTTAAATTTATATGTGTATGCATGTTAAGTCATTTTGGCTTGGCTCGTTAGATGATGAGTCATTTCAAATCGAGTGCCTGCATTGAATGAGAATAATTAAGAATAGGTTAAATTATACGTAATTAACAAATTATATTTGTTGTATTTGTTATTATATTGCCAAATTGTATTGAATATTAGCAGATTTGCCGAAAGGTAGGTACAAACTCGGTACGATGTAAACACCAAATATTGGCATTGCTAATGAGTCAGGAGCATATATAAGTATATGTATGTATATATAGCGATTATTTTTGCATAGCAATTAATTTTTTTAATATTTATTGAAAATGATAAATCGCTTCCGTTGTCATTCCAAACTTCAAATGTTAATATTGTCGCGGCGGCTTTAGTGCCGTCACACCACCTACGCTCTTTAATGATTCTCTTCAACATACAAAGTATGTCATACGCACAGTGGGTTTCAAAGCTTGAAAATTTATTAAGTTCTTTTAAGATTTAATATATTAGTATTATTGCAATAGATGATATTAGAGCCACTTTTTTAATGGCATAAAAAGTAGATTTTCATTTGAAAAAAAAAATTATTGATTTTATTTAACCTGACAAAATTTCTTTCCGCGATACACACATTACTTTATTTAATGTTTCTTTAAATGTTCCCGCTCAAATTCAAATTAACGAATTCTGCGCGCATGTGTATTGACAAACACACACTTATATGTTACATACATAAATACGATATGTTTCGTGAGCGTGAGTCATTTTATTAGCGTGCTTCGCCAAGTTTGGTTGTCATATTTTATTTCTGGCTTTACTAATTATACACTCGCAACATTTTTCACAAAGTATAACAATTTTGTTAACATTCACGAATTCAGATAAACAGTTATACCTATAGGCATATCAAGTATACGTACCGTTAATCTGTTATCTTTACAAACTCGATAAAACTGTGTACTCGCTAACAAGCTTTTACAATTATTGATAATTTAATCAGATATTCATAACAGAAGATATAGAGAAATGTCTGTTCTCATGTGTTCTGTTCCAGGTGGTTTTACAATTCTTTATCATGATCAAGATGAGACATATTTGATGAAATTTGTTAAAAAAGCTACCTTGAATCCAGTAAGGTGCCTTCCGCATCCACACAAAAGCGTACCTACTTATATACTTACGAAATCTATAAATATAGCCTGTTTTTATACGTTTACAACATGTTGCTACAGAGTATAAAAGCTTTGTTCATTTAACGAAAACTATATAAATTGTCATAACTAAACACTTAATTAAGATATAGAACTGTAATTTGACTCAGGGAATTGTAGTAGCAAGGGGCACCTATGGGCTAAAAATTTTGGAAAAATGGACGTGGCCAAATTCACTCAATAAGCCCCCCTACTCTAAAAATTGATAAAATCTGATGATAGCCCAGCCTACTCTCCATATAACGGTACTGTTAAAAATTACTTAAAGCGCAATAAATCAATGACTAAATACGCCAAAGACATTAAACTTTAACCCCGAGATCTGAATCATTCACTTTCCAGTATGCAAATCAAGTTTTACACGAATAATGCCCTTATGACCAAAAATTGTCCAAATCGAACTGAAACTGTTCAAGCTATTAGGTACCGAATATGTGGAACCCAGTTCCTATAGTTGACTTTTGCCAAAAATGGGTTGAATTGGGTCAATACTTCTCTTAACTAGCCATATACCTAATACAAAGATTTTTGCACTTTCTGGTGAATTCATACCGCATATATCGACCAATATATGAGTTATCTCAATGAAAATGAGCGCCCGGGTTTTACTCATAACAGTATATCTTCGTGCCAAAAAAGGATAAAATTGGGCGAAACCTTGACCCAGCCCCCATATAACTAATATTAGGATTATCATTAGCTGACTTTACTCCATATGATTGGTGATGGTATGTGAGGTACTTTAATGAAACCTTGGGAGAATTTTATTAGTCTGCGGCAAGTGGTATTGGCAAAAATTGATAAACTCGGGTCAGTACTACTCCCAAATCTCATATACTACTTATAATGATTTTCGTTTTTCTAACAAGTTGTATTGCGAATATGTCGTTTAGTTATATACTTAAAAAATTACTGGAAAATATGTTCTCAAGTATATCTCAGCAATGTTCAAATTAGTGCAATCAGGCCGAAATATACCCCATAACATGATTTCCGTCTTTCCACCTGACTTTAAAATGTTCAGGTTGGTGAAAATATAATATTTTAATGAAATTAACTGGACAAGTTTTCTTAAAAATTATGTGGTTTAGCACTGAATTACAATGTAATTGGTCTAGTCCTTGGTCTAAACCTCACATCCCTAATAAAATTAATTCCGATTTTCTGGTTGACGTTTTCCACATCAGCGCAATATATTAAATTTAGCCTTTTCGGTCGAGTTAATACACATATACATATGTTTAATTTGAAGGTGTTTTTCATATGCATAAAATGTTCGGTTACACTCGAACTTAGCACTTTCTTACTTGTTAAACTTGCAATTATATTGAATATTACGTTTCGGCAGAATATTTTCTGCCTTACTTGTAGATGTTATTTTGCTGATTATAAGCAGTAAAAAATATCTAATCCTCTCTGTTTTCTATTGCACAATTTTCACAGATTTTGTTTTGATTCTCAATTCGCTTGACTGTGTCTTTTCAGATTGCGCCACATCGCATTTCTGGTGTATTATTTGTTTTTATTAATTTGGTATTTTCCTTTCTCATTGTTGTTGTGTCGTAAGCTTTTGTGAATGAAAGCCGCATGTGTTTACACACGAGCACATTGCACGAGAACTTTGCAAGGGTAAGCGCGCTCCAAAGCTACGACAGAGAATAGCAAGCATTAAAGAGAGTACAATACGTAAACGCAGTTACTGTTTGTTATGCAAAAATTGTAGCCAAGAGCGGCAGAATACAATATTACGTTTTCCAGCAGACTACTTATCTATAGTTATAATTTTTGGCAGTCATCTGTATGTGTCGACTACGTCATACTATCAAACATTTATGAGAACTGTACAGCAAGAGAGCACTGTGTTTTCATTTTATTTTTATGTGGGATTTTCACCAAATAAACAATATATAATATTCAATCATTTGAACTGTGGTGACTATGTAAATCCAAATCTGATCGGCAGTACCGCCAGTTTTTATTATATTAAATAAAGTTCTATCAATAGTGATTTAAGATGGATAATTTGGAATATTAGGCACGTCCCTCAAATGAAATAAAAGTGCACTTTTTTATCACTGCCAGTGATCATAGGTTAGCTATTAGGTAGGCTATTGTTAGTAAACTAATATATTTTAATCATGCTAATATTTTAAAATTTTTCTAATAAATTGCCTTAAATTTGTTCTTTTTTTTTTAATAATATTTACAAAATATACACAAATTTCACAGTTCGTTTATGCAGTTTTGATAGTGGGATGGCGATGAACGGAAAAATAAATTATACTGCGTAATTTTTTAAAATTTCCTTCATTCTTTGATGGCGTTGACGTCAGAAAGTGTTTTAGTAAATACTTGTTTTAAAAGCTGTTCCTGTACTGTTTCCGTTAGCAAATACGCAAAAGGACAATATTTTAGTTTAACTACAAGTACCAATAAAGACAAATGAGGCAATGTGCGACATTTAGCTACATAAGCAATAAATATGTTTTAATTTTTTAATTTCTATTTCCCATTTTTCAATGAGGTATGTATTATATAATAACTTCACTTTCATAGGAACTTTTTGTTTCTCATGCTCAGCACATACTATTTCTGCTACACTCTCTATTCCACTGTTGGTTTTGTTCGGTTCGATTGATTTGAATATAT